CAATCATTGTTAACGAATGAATCCGATTGTGCTCGTCAATGTTATTTTTTCATCGCATAATATTTTTATTAGTAGAAACGACAAAAACTATCGGAAATGTGCGATAAACAAAACTTGAGTATCATTTATAAGTCTTTTTTCTCTAAGCAGAAAAGAAGAGAGCATCCGTTGCAATGCATTATTAATGTTTCAAGCTTGCAGTCAGTGAGGGGAGGGGGAGAGGTGTCAGGAAAGGAGAGAACGAGTTGAATTTTACAAAAAGAGAGGAAAACGTTCTTGTAAATACGCTAACATTCAACTGTTCCCAAGAGAAAGACAAGCAAACATCAACTGTTGAAGTCGAGATAAGACTACAAGTAGCATATCCATCTTCAGCAAAGATATCTGTCAGAGTAAATGAGGAAATCGTTTTCTTTCGCTCTCTCTCTCTCTCGTGCTGATAACGATGGGAAATCAGTTTCTGACAAAGTATGTGCGTGTATTTGTCGTTCTCGCTCAACCGATTAGTTTCCGGCAGAGACCATTTTCACCTATATGTGTTGTGCTCATTTTTGTTAAATTCTCAGTAGAAATTGGGAAGAAAAAAAGAGAGCGTTTTTTCTTTACATTAGGAAAAAAAAGAAGTCAAGTACCATGCAAGTCATAGACTGTTGATGATAGAAGAAGAAAGCAACATAACATATTGATTTACTCGTATAATGCCGAACTTTTCTCTGATGTGATCCGGTAGTTTATCGAGTACTAGTGAAAAGACTTAATACAGTCGAGCTTTTATTTTTTAGATACTTATTATTATTCTTTTGTTCTTCTTTACTATGGCACGCTACGAACGTTTTGATGACGATGTTCCAGCACCAAAATACACAATTACGACCAGATCCAACAATGAAAAACTTGACTTAATCTTGACGTCGGACTCGACATTATCCAAAGAAGATGAAACAACAGTTCGTCATGCGTCAATAACGTTAAATATTATCTCAATCTTTGTTAGCACAGTGTGCGGTTTCATTACGTTTTTCTTAGCTGTAGAAGAACAATCGGTATCGGCACTTGGCTTTGCAGTAGATACGATTCTTGATGTTCTAGCATTTGCGACAATAATCTGGCGTTTTACTAGCTCACAAGAACAAGACAAACGCGAAGTCTATGTTTTAAGAATCTTATCCGTACTCTTCTTTCTTTCGGGTTTCGGTGTATTTATTGATTCAGTATTTGATTTACGCAATGGAATTCATCCCATACCAAACCATTATTTGGCTGTTGCTGTGGGCATACAAACATTCGTTTTCCTATGTTTAGCCTTCGGCAAATACACAGTTGCGAAAAAATTGAATGTGATTTCTGCTTATTCGGACGCATTCAATACATTCATTTCAGCATTGATGGCTTTGTCAGTCGCTGTTAGCACAACTATTTACAATTCGACAACTAAATTTTGGTATATGGATCCACTTATTGGCATGTTTATTTCAGCAACAATTATGATTTATGGCATTTGGATGATGTTTAAATCGATTCAAGGTCGTTTTTAAAAATTAGACACTTTATTTATATGAGCAAAGCAAAGCACGAAAAACATTTTTTTTAACGTCCCGGCTGCCATGGAATATAAGAACCTGTCGTTCGTGTTTGATTACCAACAGTTTCTTCATTTCGCTGCTCATAGTCATAATGTAACATCACAACAGTTATAATCACACCAATCATCAGTAATGTTGTAATAATATTGACCACAAATGTACGCTTTGACCATAGAACGGCTGCGTCATGTCGATTTTGTATTTTGAATTGACTCACTCTGTGTGAAAAGTAACAGCATAGAATACCAAAAGGTACAAATAAAAGATTAAAGATAGACCATGGAAAGAACGTCGGAATCTTTTGTGTTCGGCGCGTTGGTGTAACTAAAGGTTCGACAGATTGAAAGCTGGAATGCGCACTGATTGCCTCATTTCTTAAAGTCAGCGTTGGACGAGATGTTCCAGCTGGTGCACTTTTGGAACGGGAGATCGATTCTGTTTCTATTGCATTCGAAGCCATGTTGATTATCGTATATTTTTCACTTGATTTGTAAGCATAATCACTGACATAATCGATATGAAATATCAATCGCTGTCTATTGTTACCTAGCTCTTCGCTTCAACGATTATCTTGTCTACTGTGCGTGCTTTCGAAGACATCTCAAGAGTGCATTTGTCAGTGCAAAAGAAACTGAGTGTTTTTATTTTTAATTTCATGCTATGCAATGCTCGTATGAAGTAGATGCGACGATAAATGGCTTACCTTTGAGCATAATGCTGTTAACTAGCTATCTCTCCAGATTTCTAGATCATTGCGAAGAATATGACATGTCACTGTTGATGTAAGCGCACACTGTCGTAGATGTTGAAAGAATCCGACGTCAGCGGAAACGATTCCCGATCTTATGGTAAACTCTCCGGGTCGAGATTGTTTTCCTCTTTTTCTTTAATATTTTTTACGAAGAAATTTCACCATTTCTCCGATCACGAAAGTGCGCAAAACTTATTGGAAATTTCTCAGGATTTCCTAAGATTATCAAATTAGTTGTTCACAATAGAGAATATATTCTTTTTTCAGCATTGTTTGGGAGAACTATTCAAACCCGTTGTCTCATTGTATATTTTTGATTGAGTTCGCCAGACTATCATCATCCGTAAGATCATTGTTATGCAATATCAATAGTTTTCCACATGACTGATTCTTTGTCTTGACACACGTGCTTCACAATCGAGAAAAAAACCGAATGCTAAACAATTCAGTTACACTTTTCTTTATTTTTAGTTTCGTGCTAAGGAGTACAGAAAGAAAGAAACGCCAGAGGTCATTTGTAAAATGTATAAGAAGACGAACAGTCAATCATTGAACATGTACATTGTCCTTCACATTATCTATCACTATGCTATACAAGAAAACCATTTCTTCGTGGTTCACAACATCTCGATCTATGTACATGAACATTATTTCTTTCCGGACGGTGGTCGTTGATTTCGTTGGACGGATGGTTGAACGGATTCATTCGAGGACAGCGGTATATCTTTATAATAATCAGTGTCCTGAAGATACTGTTCGATATATGTCATCATTTGTTCATATGTCACACCTCCATCACTGTTTGAAATGGTGAAATCGACTAGAACATATACACGCCGGTATAAACAACAGATGATCTGCTATGATAAGAAGGAAGTCACTAACCTGCTTTGAGATTCAATGAACTAGTTGATGCAGAACGTGAAGCATTTGTTAATGACTGCATGCCGATACCCTGTTTTCCTGCTCCGCTGTCCAATTCAATGGAATCACTCGAATGATTCAATAATTTTGTCAATTCACTTTTTAAATGCTGAGCTGAACCTTTAGAGAACAGAAATGTCCGATATCGGTCAATTATACGGCGATGTTTATTATCAGTTGAGTTCGGCGGAATCTAGATATAAGCAGAAAGAACAATCAGAACAAACCCAGCTGTACAACAAGCGTACGAATGAGATATGAACAAGTTTATGAACGATGTCAAGTAATTGACTGACAGGATCTGTTTGTCGAAGTCGTTTATGTGAAATACTAATCGATCCAGTTGCTGACGGTGGACGAGAACGATTGAATGGACTTTGTCTAAAGTACACCGTGTGAACAGTAGAAGAATTGGTGTTGTAGAAACATACTTTCGTTCCATGTTGGACGAACTTAATGAGACGTGTGTTTGTTGCACGAGATTATTACTGTCATAGCCGCTTTCGAATGAAATATTCGATGATTCTGGCGATCGAGCTTGATAGATCGAAGCTAAAGAGAAGAAAACAAATTAGTGAATAGTTTTTAACATTTCTTCTTGCATGTACTTTCGATTGAATTTAATGACTGCTCCGAGGAAACACGATGTATCGGACGGCGACCATTGGTTGGTCGTGTCGAACTACTCGGAGGTTGTGGTGCATTGTTAAAAACCAATTCTTTGGATGTAATCTCAGGTGTATCGCAATCCGAAACTAGAGATGAACAACTAATCATTCTATTTATTTTGATGTCTTTCATTTACCTGCAGTAAATGTATCGGGTTTGAGAGTATCTTGTTGCCCGTCAGTTCCATCAAAACTCATATCAGGAATACCACCACTATTACTTACTAACGATTCCTTCGTACTCGAACAACTCAAACAACGTTGATGATAGTTAAATTGTTGTTGTAGTTGAGATTGCTGTTTGATCAAATCAAGTTCACGTTGATAATCCTGCTGTCTTAAGCGTCGTTCCAACGTCTGAATTGTTGTGCATGATCGATCAGTATACAACATTAATTGTTCGGTGCATAATTGTGATACGCAACAGATATCTGGTCGGCGTAGAGGATCAATACATAAACACTCGACAACGATCTGTCGTATACGATCCGAATAATTTTTCAATGGAGTTTGATCGTATTCACTAGCGCAAATCTTGCCAGCCAGTTGAAGTATATTCGAAGTATAAAACGGCGGAACTAATGTCACCATATGATACAGTACACAACCTAAACTCCAAACATCTGCAAAAAAAGATCGAGAATAGATAGAACAGACAATGTAGAAGATAACCAACCAGCTTTCTCGTTGTATGGCATATGTTGAACGATTTCTGGACACGCGTAATACAGTGTTCCGACAACAGAAGTCATTTTACTGCAATCATTGTCACGTAGTTTGGCTAGACCAAAATCAGCTAGAAAACAGAAGATTGAACTGGATGTGATACTATATTGAATCTCACTAACTAATTTTCACTCGATATTCATCGTCTAACATGATGTTATTCGCAGTGAGATCTCGATGAACGATTCCTTTTTCTTTGTGCAAATATCTCAATGCTAAAATCAGTTGAATAAAAACTTTCCAAATATTTTCCTCGGTCATTTTCCGATTTGTGTCCTTTAATAACGATAAGTAATCTTGTAAAGATGAACCAGCAATTAATTCCATGACAATGTATAATTTCTCACCTACAAAATATTCAACAGACTATATTTTGAATGCAAATCGAATGGGAATGGCTTACTCTCAGCAAAAATCCGATAGTAACTGACAATATTCGGATGACGAAGCTCTTCTCGAATGATTTTCACTTCGTTAATTCGCTGTCCTAGACTACGATCACTTTCTTGTCGTAATGAACGATTATCAATCTAAAACAAACTCCCGGTCTGATGACAATCAAATACCAAATGACAAACTTCTTTCAATGCGCAAACAGTTGTCGTTCCTCGACGTACAACACGATAAACCGATCCAAATGCTCCCGAGCCTAAACATTCATATAGGCCATAATCACGTATGAATCGAGTGGGCTCTTGTTTTGGATTTAGTGATTGTAAACGTTCGACTTTGACTTTAGTTAATTCATCATAGTGGATTGTGTTCCATGCATCCGTGATGGGTTTGTAAGCATTTAAATCACGCTGAAAACTGCCAACACTCAAAAACAATTCGAAGATTTGAGTAGGAAATAATCGTCGATATTGGTCACGATTTTTATTCAATGAGAATAAATATCGTAATGTTCGGAAGACATTCCGCTAGAAAAAAAGATGCAAGTTCGAGAATAGGCCACTGAAATTCGACGAAATTCTTTACTTGGAGATGATTAAACTTTTCTAAACCTTGAAAATCTTCGTTTTCAGGAAAGAGAAGTACTGCTAGGATATAAATTCCATTTCGTTCAATTATCGTTTGACCATTAGTGTAGTCATAGGAAAGTTCAGCTAAGCACGTACAACAAGCTGATTGCATGTCGAATAATTGATCGCGACGTGACGCTGTCTACAAAGCTTTACATGAACTTTGTCGAGCCTAAACAATTTATTTACTTCGACATCTTCTCTCATGGATTTTTTCGAATTTTGTCCTTGTGATCGTTGATTTGTACTAGCTGATGGTAGTGTAAAATCAAAACCTCGACTGCTAGAAGAAAGATACAAGCGATAATGCAATCCAATGAACAACATTCACGTTTTTACCCATTTTCAAGTAATGACAGTAGTAATGGAATTGCTCCCGTAATACGAATTCGTCTGCGATTGTCTTCAGCTTCAGCGCAATGGGTCAAACACCAAATGGTATGATCCAAAACTTTGACATTGTTGTGACTCAAGTGACTAAATCAGATAAATTTCGTGCGAAACTATTTTGCTTGTATGATACTGAAATTTACCTGGTAAATGCTTCGAGAAAGTCATTCGGTACTCGTGGAATACATCCTCGACCTTCGGGATGGCCCAAAAAGTTTGCCATCAGTTGTAAAACCAGTCTAGAATAAAATTATTCATCTCTACAAAGAAAGTTTTCACCTTTAACGCACTGTTCCATCTCCAGATCTTTATATGGAAGTATTTGTAATAAAATATCAATTGTATCTGAGTTAATAATCTCTTTGACGTAGGATTCTCTTGAAAAAAAATCAATCCAATGAAATGAGAGATTCGAAATGTAAGTGACTCCTTACGATTGATCAATCATATTCATCAACAATCTTAAGATATCTTTCCGAATTGCGAAATCTTGCGTTGTAATTAACAATCGAGTTATTGATTCGATGATTCCACTCGATATAACATATTCTCGTTCAGCATGATTAGGTGTGTGCATGATCAATTTTAGCAGAATATCTATTCAAATGGACGACTGCTTGCTCGTTATTTTACCAAGACAAACTCACTTAAGATATGTCCGAAAACTTTACAAGCTGTGTACGCCATTTCGTTGTTACTATCACAGAGATCCGATGAGTAATTATTCATATAGAGATCCATTTGCTATTGATAGAAACAACGAATATTAGTTGGAGTAAGAAGATGAGAAGAAAATAGTACCGCTTTCAAGCCGACCATTCCATTTTCTTGAATAAAAACAAGTTGATTTTCCACATCACGCAACAAGATTCGCAGACAGTAGACGACGGATAATGAACACGATTTAGTCGAACTGAAAGATTGAAACTATGAGTTATCACCCTTCTGTGAACTACTTACGAAGTAGAGAACTTCTTTTTGATTATAAAGCGTAGAATCTACATGAAGAAAACTTTTGTATGAGAATTCCAATGTCAATTTGACCTACATTTAAGAACTGCTTATATTCGGGATTTGTTGAAAACTTTGCCTTGGAACCAAATTTATTTCTAATCAATGAATTTCTTCATTACGATGTTATTTTCTAAAAAGATAACTTACTGAAATTCATCGAACGCCTTTTCTTCGAGTCGTTCGTTATCTGTTTTCTCACTCCGTTCTAAATCGTTCCAGATTTTACTCAGAGCGCTTCGTTCGGCTGAGCTAATGTGTTCACATCGGATGTAATAAATGACTCGAAATTTGTCAAAGTGACTTACTCGCGTTTGGCTCGTTCATTCGTAGTCATTTGTTTTGTTACCAAACTAGAATAGCGAAAATGACAAAAAGAAATAGAAATAGAAATGAATGCACAGCCGATTTCTAGATGTAAAAACATCTAACTCGATATGAATATTTCATCAGTAGCTTTCATTCTCAGGGAAAAAAAAGAACTTCGAATTGACATTGATTTTTTTCTATTTTCTAAACTTTGTTTTCTCTTCGGGGAACAGTTCGTCATTGAACTCATCAAGTTAAAAACTAAACAATTTACTAGAAAGAAAAAAGAAAGAGAATTGTTTGGAATTTTAACAGCACAATCAGGTGTTTTGTTTACACCTGTGGCGCGGAAACTAACGACACCTATCGAAAGAATTAATTAATAACAAAAAAAAACGATGAAATCTATCGAAAAACTTCTCTTTTCATAATTTTTGCTCAGTTTGATAAACATCTAATAAAAAGTCGCATGTAAAAAATAACGAAACTCGTCCATTCTGCCGGTTCATGCAGTCTTTCTGTCAAAGCTGTTTGTTTGATTTCGTCCTTGGGAGAAGTTAGTTATTTTCATCGAAATGGATCAAGAAAGTGCAATGATGATCTTCTTATCTTATCAAAAATTACGAATGCCTACATTCAGTAAGTTCATTGGTTCACCAATCGCCACCGTTTCGCATTCATATCTTAGGTGTTCGACAACGACGAACAGAAAACCCACTACGTGAACGTTTACTCGTCAGAAAATTTATCGTTCAACTGGAAACATAGTAAATCTTGTTTCACTGAACTACACTGTCTACTTTTTTTCCGTTTGAATAGCTATTTTCAACAGCAACAGCAACTATCAATGACAAACTCTGACAGTGAACACATGGAAGTCGATCAGGTAAGAATTTTCTCGAAGAAACACGAATAACTATGGCGAATATTTGTTTAGGAAATCGATAATGACGAAGAAGACGATTAAATTCTCTCCTCCATACAGTATTTTTGTTTGGTAATCAACAAATCTCTGTGTTTTAGTTGTGTCGGAAAAAATTAATTATGTCAGATTAATAATTATTATTTTTTATCTCATCTCGTATCTGTCAGACGTGTCAACATTTATTGTCTTGTTTTCTTTTGATATAACCAAATAAATTTCTTCATGAGTTAACTTTTTTCAAACGATGTATTTACTTTATACTTTCTTGTTCAAATCTAAACATCAGAAGACGAAGAAAAAAGTCCGAAGGAAAAAAGAGACAGAGACAGAGAAATTTTTTCTTCACTGATTTTGTTATGACAACCATAAATGATGGCAGTGATTGTTTAATTCATAACGACAAAGGAAATGCTATTTTCGTGCAAAAAAAAACAGCCGACGTGAATTTTGTTTAACTAAACAATTACAAGTTTGATTTTTCTTTCGAATGGCTACCGTCGCATCCCGCACTGTCCCCACCACGGCAATTCGTCGCGCACAATATCAATCCCAAACATCGACCGGTTCGGTATCTCTCAATCGCAGCTCGTCAGTTGCAGAATCAAGCACACCTAATGACGGCAATGTTTCTTCAACGCTCTTATCTGCTAATCCATTAGTAACAATTACATATTCGACAATTTTATTAACCACCGGTATGTTACAATAATAGTAAAAATTTCAAAAACGAGAGAAAGATGTATGTGCGCACTTGAGTCGTCGTCGAACATGAAATTCATTTCGAATAAATGACATTGAAGCATGTCTTACTTAAGAACAATTAAGAGAAAGAGAAGCTAGAACAAATATGTCTGAAGTGTCAAATCGAAATCCTCATTTGTGTCGAAAAGCAGCTACAGCTAAAACATGGAAACACAGAAACGTACTTCGGTTAGTGTAGCCTCGAATTCGAAAGTCCCAGAAGCGAAAAAGCCTCTGATCATAGGTAGTTGTACATTCATGCGAGTCATATACGGTGGTAATCGATTTTCCTTCCATGAACCTTCGTCAGTTCTATTCAACATTTAGAAAATCAACAAGTGCTTGTCAACAGTTATTCGACTTGCCGTCGATTATTGGATCATATGAAATCAATTATTGGTTCGCCACAAGATGGTAAATGAAAGTTGAATGAAAAAGGGAAAAGGCGAATTTGAGATTCTTTATAGAGGTAGTCGATTTGATGGACAATGACGGCAAATTGAAAGAATTGAACGCACATGCAAACGAATATGCAGTTCAATATCTTCCAGCAAGAAATAACTATTATGCGCTGAAAGTTGAAGGTTAGACAAGAAAAACGTGGTCTGAAAGAGAAAAAAACACGAAGCATTTGTAAATTTAGTCGACAGTACAACAGGCGACAAACGTTACACCCCAAACTTCAATATCGATCAAATTGATCAGAAAATTTGTACAGTATTAACAAGTAAGTTTGCGAAAATTATGTTCGAGATAGTTCGTTTGATTGTGCTTTTAGATTCTTTGAATTCATTGAATAAATCTTCGACGAAGATCAAACGTTCGACTGGACCGTCGAAATTGAATACATCAGGTGCATCGTCATCTAGTACATCGCAAGCAAAAACCAAACGAGCGTCCAGTCGCAAATAGAGTATCTTTTTCCTAACAAATTTATTCCAAATCGGTTCTATTTTTCTGTTATTTTTTTACTTTTCAAATGCATGAATAATTCTGGTGAATTTTTATTCAATTCGAAACAAACTATCGCTTTCCCTAATTTGATTTTCAGTAGATGAATCCTCTCGGTCAGATAGTAAATGTCGTATGTAATAAATATTCATACACGAAGTTTATTAGAAAGCTATACAACAGATAGAAGATTATGAAACAGAACAAATTCCTGTCTCTTCTAATGTACAACAAAAAACAAACGAGTGATAACGATCATGAACTTCGCTTTGCAAAGATTCGCCGATTGATTCAATCTGTAAGAATAATCGCCATCCATTGTCTAATTGAAGATATACGCTAGTTTCATCATTTTCTCTCGAAGGTCACAAAAGGATATACGACGGATGGGTTCATATATCCAACACTGCTGAAGAACACAGTATAGATCAAAGTCACAATTGGGCGGCTGAAGATGAACTTTCCGTTCGACACCAATATAGCGTGGTACATCTTCGTCGTTGGCGATGTTAGGATAAGGTACACAAGGTCTATCTAGTATCAATTGAACCATGAGAAGACCAAATGACCAAACATCACTTTTGGATGAAAAACATCCGTAATTTTGGTCTGACGACGATCCACGTCGTCTGGTAATACATTCTGGAGCGAGAAAACGAGGTTGAAAATTCCATCGGCCGTCTTTTGCACACGATGATACCAGATAATTGTGTCCATCGATTTTCTGTATCGCATGTCCGAAGTCGGCAATACGAATAAACCCATGGGAATCGACAAGAACGTTGCTAGCTGTTAAATCACGATGCACAATCTGTTTCTTCTCCAAATACATCATTGCGTTGGCTATTTGAAAGCCGATATTAACAACACGACGCATTCGCGATCTGACTGTGCTGCCAATGATGGGACAGAGTGAGATTAAAGAATTTCCATTATCTGCAAATACCAAATAATCGTAAGTGTTGTCCGTGTAATGGCCATACAATGTTGTAATAGAAAAGAAACAGAGATCTTTCAAGACGTTTAGCTCATTTTGAAAATGCTCGTTCTTCTTTTTCATACGTTTGACAAAGATATTCACACTTTCTTGCCGCGATTTTTTCCAAAAACCTCGTGATGCACCGGCATGATGTCGGCCGCCAAAATGACCTTCCGTGAAATCCAATCCGGTAATTTCCTTTGGATCTAACGTCCAGTTTTCATTCTCTTTTGGTAAGATCAATTCATTTGTTAATTTCGTCACTTTCTCTCGAAGGTTAACTTGACATTTATACTGTTTCAATAGTTTGCTGCGCAGTTTCGAGTCATCGGCTTCCGTGTACGACAAGCGATAATTCATCACTGCACACTGATATTTAGCTTCATCGACACGAACGGATAAAACAACATAGGAATCTTTCGATAACGCTGTCGTGGTTGATTTCTTCAATTGGATCGATGAGATAATTTCATCATTCGATGTTTGATATCGTAGAAGATAGGTACCGCGTGATTGCGATGCTAACGCTCGAGCAACGTAAGCAGGAGACACTCTTTGAATCGTTAGTCGATTGGGCATGTGAAGAAAAATAATACTATCTGAAAATATAATAATTTTGAATAAACATATCAGTTTTATATGCAGTGGAGGTTTCGGCGAGAGCAGAGAGTTTTCTTTGATAAAAGAACAATTTGTCTTTCGCCGAAACTCTGTTGGATTAAATATTGACATGCAGACAGAAAGAAAAAAAAACCGTCGTCTACATGAATACATTGATGACGAACCGTCTCGTTACATAATTTTTCCCCGACTCCTATGAAGTTCAAGGACGCAGCATCTTATCTTAGATTTCTCACTCTTACCTTTTCGTTTAATGCGTGTCATATACATCCTGCATTTGAGTCTCATAAGAATATCAGTAGATGGTTTTATACTGCAAGAAGAAAAGACTATTAATTTACGCGAAAGAGAAAGAATATTTTTCGGTGACGGTTGTTCTCTTCCTTTCCTGCGCTAGGAAGAAAAATATATTTTCGCCGACAAAAACAAAAGTACGTTAGTTACGTCAATTTATTTAATAGATCAAATTTTAAAATGCCATCAAATCTAGATATTAAAGCTCCGAGAAACTCTACAGAATCAATTTCATTTCATATGCATCAGTCTGATTTTCATAGTAGTTCTCAAGGAAATGAGTAATTGCAAAACCATGCTTCGTATATAGATTATATGCACGTATATTTGACGTGTCCACTTCCAGAGTCATACTCAACATCGCAAGTTGTCGTGCATGTTCTATCATATGACGTAGAATTAGGCCACCGAGACCTCGCCCACACTGACTCGGATGAAGTGTTAAATTCGTGACGTTTGAATTACTACCTGATACGATCTGCATACCGTATCCGACTATTGAATGATCGATGGTAGTAGTTTCAAGTACCCAACTATACGCTCTTGGATCGTTGAGAGCATTATGAAACGTATCTATAGGCCATGCTAGCTTTTGCCAAGTGTCTTGATCAATTTTGATTACTGTCTCAAGATCGTCTAAAGTCAACGGCCGAATAAGATATTGATTCAAATCGTTGTCATAAACAATAGATAACTCATAGGTTTTTTCAGAGTCCATAGGTGGCGGCATTGGATCGGAGAAAAACATACGCAACTATGCGAAATATATTTCTATTTATTATCACATGCAGCCAGCATGACTCACGAACACACCGAGAAACTGACGCAACAGTAAGGCAATTCCGATGAATCATCGATTAATAGCAACAAAATGCCATGAGTCATTCAAAAATCACTCCTGCTATTGAGACTGCTCTTATGAAAATCACCGTAGGAACACTTATGGAATTCAGTTTTGTCCACGATTACGACAGATGTCCTACCGTGAACTATTTATTTAAACTCAGTCTTCAAAAAGTGCAGGGTAGTCACGACGAAAGAGGAATGAATCATCGATATGGCTGCGGGCGTATGTTTATTTGCAATGAAATTAGCATTTTGTAAGCTTCAGAAGTTTCATAATAATAATACCGAAGAACTCGTAGAATCTGAAATCCATGAATTTATAAACACGTAAATTTGACGTATTGACTTCTAGCGTGATACTCTAAGCATTACATCGGCGAATATAATCTGTCATATGATTTAGAAGTAATCGACGTATACCTTCATTTAACATATCGATCTGGATGAACAGTTAAATTCGAGATAAATGAGTCATTTCCGTTAACATATCGACAAGCATATCCAATGATGAAACAATCAGAAGTCACATCTCGAAGTACCCAGCATTTAAAACTTGAATCATTAGAATAACGAAGAAAATGTTGACACTTCCATGACAAGTAACATGTTCAATCTCAATGATTATTTTCGTATAGAAGTAAAAAACCATTAACTGCATCATGTGTTGCTTTCTATTTCTTCAGTTTATTTCAGAAGTTTTGTGCATGAGGGTTGTATGACTTTACTTAGTACTGAAAAAAATGTCTTTTTTCCTGCTGCTGCTCTTTGCGTGTAATTATGAAACAATATATCAAATTCACCGGTTGCTTTTCTCTTTCTTGTCGATCAAGCAAAACAAAAGAATGATTGTACTTTGCCTCAGTGACACATATTTTCCTTTTCTCATAGAGTGCACTGGTGTACCTAAATATAAATTATCGACTAATGCGTTGCTCTACTCAGGTTTATGCATACATCTGTAAACGAATAGCCAAAATTCTGCTCGTCTTCATTGTATAATTCAAATCTTGGAGTTCATTTCTTCGGAATGAAAGAAAATATCTTGTTAATTTATATCGAGTACGCCTGGGCACGTTTGTGAAATACGAACTCAACAGCGTAAAAGATGATCACCCATATCATGTTCGTCAACAATTGACTAGAATTGTAGTCGATGATTTGGAGACAAAGTTCATGCTGATATTCATATAAAAGAGTGTTATCAATTGATCTTTTTTCACAAGTTTCTCGATAGATCAAGCAGTGACTTAAGTATGAAGAGTGTTTGATAGTTAGAAGCACATAGTCTATCATCGGATGCCAACTTCGTGCGATTTTTGATTAAAATATTTCTATTAAAGATTGACGTGATATTTGTTAATGTTAACAAAAACGTAGTGTAGCGCGATATTCGATATATAAAGATGTGCTCTGAATGGCATTTGGTTCGATTCGAACAATGTTAGATCGTTTACGTGCTTTGGTTCCATCACGAACTGCTCCGCCGAAACGTATTGAAGTAATTTCTTGAATGAATGCCGAATTCGTCTGCGTTACGATGAAATTTTAGAAAATAGACGTACCGAGTACTGACGAAGAACAACGAGAAGAATGGGATCGACCGATTGAGTTTATTCTTTCGTTGATTGGTTGTTCTGTTGGTAAGATTTGATAGTTATATCGATTTAAATCAGATTTACGATTCTTTCAGGCTTGGGAAATGTGTGGAGATATCCTTACATCGGTAAGTTGACATCCAGACAGTCCTATGTCTATATTTGTTTCTCTATCTACATGCTGTTTTAGCATTCAAAAATGGGGGTGGTAAGAATCAATAAAATATTGTTTTTGAAACTCGTAGTATTCTATCGATTTAGGCGCTTTTCTTATACCGTACTTTTGCGTGTACTTTCTCATCGGAACGCCATTGTACTTTCTTGAACTATCTCTTGGACAATTTACTAGTCGTGGTGCGACAGCTGCTTTTGGGATGTCACGAATGTTCAAAGGTAGAACAAAGACAATGATTTGTTGATAGACAATATGAAGACGTCCTTTTAGGAGTTGGTTGGGCAATGGCTGTCAACTCTTTTTTTGTCACAGTTTACTACAATATCATTATTGCCTGGTGTTTATTCTACTTTTTCGCTTCATTTCGTAAAAAACTTCAATGGAGTGATTGTGGAAATTGGTGGAATACGAATCGTTGTTCAAGAGCAGGTTGTATAAGTAAAAATGGCGATCGTAAACAATCTGTTTCAACTGTATTTAGATGGTTCCTATAATTCGACTATGCATTTCTTCTGTTTAACAAGTAATCGATCGGCTAATTGTTCATTACCCGCCCTTCCGCCCGAAGAATATTTCGAGTATGCCATGCTTACTTTTCAATATCAATAAATTTCTGTATTCAATAGTAATTATGTCCTACGCCGGAGTAATTCATTGGAAGATATGGGCAGCCCGCATTGGTCGTTGACACTGTGCTTACTCTTATCGTGGATTCTTGTTGCTGCATGCATTATTCAAGGAATCAAATCATCAGGCAAAGTATAGATTAGAATATCGGATTTGACAGGATCTAAGAGAGATATCTTTAGGTTGTGTATTTTACTTCATTATTTCCATATGTGGTAATATTTGCTTTGATCATCCGTGGTGTCACTTTGCCAGGTTTGTGATATTTGCTATGCGAGAGAATGTTTTTGTATATGTATGGAAATAGGAGCAGCAAATGGTATCAAGTTTTATTTGAAACCAAACTGGAGTAAAATTCGTGAATTTGACGTAATTAGGAAGCATCCAATGATTGACAAGCTAACTTTTGTTTTGTTTAAGGTTTGGATTGCTGCCGCCTCTCAAGTGACGTTCTCGCTTTCGGTCGCATTTGGATCTATACTGGGTTATGCTAGTTTTAACAAATTCAAATCTAACTATCTTAGGTATGATGCCGATTACATTACTCGTTCGAAAAAGAAAACATGATTTCTCTATATGTAGAGATTGTATGATCGTGACTGCATGTGATTGTTTTACTTCAGTAAATGATTTTGAAGGGCATGTGGAAATAAAGATCATGCGTTGATTGTAGGTATTTGCTGGATTTGCTGTTTTTTCGATTCTTGGTTTTATGTCATACAAAACCGGTTTACCAGTTGATCAAGTGGCAAAAGCAGGACCTGGTTTAGCTTTTATTGCTTATCCGCAAGCACTGTCCATTATGCCAGGTGGGCCATTTTGGGCAGTCATCTTCTTTTTTATGTTGCTAACGCTGGGTCTCGACTCTCAGGTACATCATAATGTGAAAGCTAGCACGTGTAGATATATTCTTATGTGTTATTTAGTTTGCGTTGTCGGATGTGACAATATCGGGAATTGTCGATACTTTCAGTAGTCTGCGACGTTATAAAACCTACATCATCATCGGCTATTGTGTTGTTTGCTTCTTAGCAGCCTTACCCATGTGTGCACCGGTAAGTGAAATCATTCAAACATGCTGTGCTTGTAAAACATTTGATTCTATATTTTCAGGGTGGAATCTATTTATTCGTACGTAGTGATTTGTGAGCGAAGATAATTCCGACTTAGCTTTGTCTAGACATTAATGAATGAATATTCAGCTAATTTATCAGTGATTGTTTGTGCATTCTTTGAATTCATCGTCATCGCTTATATCTATGGTAAAATCTAAAACATTTCGAATCACCAACACAGTTCTACTACCGTAGGTTTCAATAAATTCATGGAAGATATTCGTATGATGCTAGATCGACGACCATTGGAATCTTATTGGTTTGTTACTTGGTGTATAACAGGTCCTATCATTACACTCGTAATTTGAATGAATGATTGAGAGTAGGGATGAGTTTACGTATGAAAGAAATTCTTTTCTTTAGATTGTTTTCTTTTCATCAATTATTCAATTTAAAGCACCGACGGAAGGCAATTATGTTTATTTGCCATACGCAAATGCAATCGGTTGGCTTATGTCGTGTTCATCAATAGCATTCATACCTGGTGTGATGATTTATCAAATGATCAAAGCTTGGAAAGTAACCAAAACACATCAAAGTCAAGTAAAACCTTTCATTTCGTCTTGCACTACAAAATTTTTGCTCTTTTACCTATCATTGAAGATTTCAGATGACATGCCGCATTACTTACGAGCACTAACATACGCAAGTAAACCTGAAAATGATTGGGGACCAGCAAGAAAAGCGGATAGATATGGGCGATACGATGAAATGAATCAAAAACTCAAAGACGAAACAACATCTCGCATCTCTTCTAATACCCTTAACCATGCGTTTGATTCCGAAACAACAATCTGTTCACGTTTTTGAAAAAATTGATTATTTCGATGATAATAAAAACAAACATGTTTTGCTATTGATCTCATAAAGTTAGATGAAAGTAAAACTAAGAGAGAAGCGACATCTTCATTGAATAGTATTCTGTTGGTCTTCAAATTTTGTTCGCTGTGAACCAGTCAGGTCACTAGAAAAGTCGGTCCTTTTATTTGGTTGCAATTGCAATGTCGACATCGGAAAGCAAGAGAAAATCTTCGAAAAAAGATGAAAAGAAAGTGCCGGATGAAATTCCGATCGAAGAGGTATAAAACTCAAGATTATGCAAGGAGAGACTTATTCTTTCTGTAGGCCGTTTCATTTGTGTTAAACTTTTAATCTTTCAGTAAATTGTTGATGTCGATCTGACGTGTATTCCTCCTTCAGGTTCACACGGCTAATAACTGGGAAGGTGCTGATCTTGGTGATGATCAACGAAAACAAAAGTTTCTCCGTTTGATGGGCGCAAAAGTAATCGCGTTAACCGCGTATCCTCCATTCAAATCTTGATTTTGTTTTTCTAGAAACGCAAAGATGAAAGTGGAACAAGCAGACAAAGCTCGAATGAAGATCAACCTGATGAAGATGTTTCACCCGAGAAGAAGCATTGTCGTTCAAGTTTGTTTTGCTCGTTGATATTCGCCGTTAAATCCGGATGTTCGATTTCTAGAGACCGAAACTGAGACGATCAATCGCGAGTTGGAACAACAATTCAATGAAGGTTTACAATCAAAAATTAATCACACACATCATGGTGGTTTAGGTTTTCATGGTGCGGACAAAAGTGGAGCGTCGAGTTCAGGCGATTGGCAACGTCAGCCAACGAAAGCGATCTTTGTGCCAGCGAAAACCGAAGAAGGATCATCTATGGACCATATCGTCGTAGAAAAAGAAGAAGAAAAGTCGAAAGATAAACAAGAGAAAAAGAAGAAACGAAAGTCATAAAATATAGAAATTTGCTTGTTAAGTTTTCTATTTGATGTAAATAAACAGAAGAATATGACGTTCATTCGAACAGTTTCAAGTCGAACTTTTTTGTCAAAAAAGAAAAGCAAAATCTAATGGCCTTATTTCGTTCGTTACGTAATGCATTGATTCGTTCAAGTACGTCGATATATTAACAGAAATTTCAAAAACGACCTTTTCTCGTCGCATACTTTGAAGAAAAAAACCGGTGAGAGAAAGAGAGAGGGAGAGAAAAGAACAAGTATGATGTCAACGTAAGTTTCTCCTTTTTTTTCTTTTTCATTTCCGACATTTCATAAAACAGCTAGCTCGTCGTAGTGAAGATGTCGACTCACATAGAAGAAAAACAAAATGTAAAGTTCTTGAAAACTGACAAACATGAAGCCAAACACAGTCTAACCAAAGAAGAAATCCGACATCAACGATTCGTCAAAGGTTTGAAAAAGGATATGTATGCTGCTATTCTTCCTCAATTATGCTTGCTTGTCTAACAATGCAATATTTGTAGAGAAATTTGTTTGAGACAATCTCTCCGTGAAAGTCGATTCGATTCAAGTCTATATAAATCTTCTCCAAAAAAACGTTCACAAACAACGGATCGACGATCGAAGGCTGATTCGAGCGTTGCGTAAATCACTCTTTTCTGCTCTATCATTCATTCGTTCGATTGTTTTCGCGTAGATCTTCAAAGAAAAATCGACAACGTTCCGTGGAATGTTTCCAACGTGGTGAATTGCAACGTCTAAACGCTGATGTTGACGCTATTCTCGTATGTAATCAATCGATCGATGTCGTTATTCAAATGAAATTTTCTGTTTGGTCTTTTCAAGACAGGACCAGTGATTAAAAAATTCTATACTAAATTCCTCGAGAAACCGGTACAACAGCACTCAAAAGCAAGTCCTCGAATAAATATTCGTTTATTAGAAGAATCACTTCTACAAACAGATGAACAAACTTAATTGCAACAATCTTTTGCTAATTTTTAACATAAATCGAAGTGAAATCAGAAGCGGATATAGCTTCAACGTTCTTTATATTTGTCATAGTAAAACGAATCTATGAAATACCTTTTGATCATAATATGTATGAAAATGCGGTGACTAGGCAACGTTTAAACGAATTTGATTGCTGTTCAAGCGTAGTCAGTGACCTTTGATCTCTGGTCATGGTTACTTTGCTCGACTAATTCTAGCATGGAAGTCTTTTCGTGTTCGAATAGATGATAAAAGTCTATTTATTTCTATTGATGTTTAAAATAAACATATGAAGAAGAGAAGAATTTTCCTAGGAAGATTTAACATTGTAATCCTGACGAAGAAGTTACAAATTCAATCATTTGACAGATTTTCTTGCGTAGAAAACAAATCAGGAATAAATAATCATGGACACAGAAAACGAAATGGGTTATGCTAATCTAACATTTGTTATTATATCAGGTCGCGATCGACGCACGAATAAAATTTTCACAATATGTCAACAAACAAAATGACAATGTGTACGCAGCATATGTAACAAAAGAAATGCAGATGAATTTTGAGCAATAAACATTCAAAAACCGGTTGCTATTCTGCTATCAGCACCTGAATTGAAAAAGTCGTCATGCACATAAACGGAACAAGAATGGGAATTAGAGAACATACAAATAGTTATTTAGCTATACACGACATAAGAAAAAAAGCAACACATATCTCCACGATGAGAGACAGACAAAAAAAGAAGAACAAACAGTGAGATTATTATATAAACGAAAAAGAAAAGTATCAATTCGAATGGTATCAAAGCTTCTCCCAAGCGACTGGTGATGGCGGAAGTTCATGTGCTTGAGCAACCTGTGATCTACAAAGGAACGCGTGCGTGAACGGAAATAGAAGATTAAAGAATTAATACTTACGTAGCAAATGTTTTGTATATTGGCGAATCATGATTCAGTCGAAGCGGTACACTGTTAGCCTGACTGAACTCCATCAATAGTTTGTGCATATATTCTAATAAAATAAAGCGACAAACATCGTAAGAGCAAAATCGATCTAGTGTTTATAGTACCTTTCGCTTGACGTAAACTCGTGAAACTTTCATCAGAGTCATCATAACGGAATCCGCGAACAGGTTCAAGACTGACAGTATACTGACGTCCGTTGGGCGTGGAAAAACAACAGCGACACATACATGAGTGATAACGGATACGTCCTTCGTGAATATAATTATTTTCTATAACGAAAGAAAACATGATTTCCGTTTCGTTCGCTGCGATCACTTACCTAATGCTTGATTTATTGTGATTCTCTTTTTTGGATCCCATGTTAACATTCGTAATAAAAGTTGTACAGCTTCATGGGTAACATTTTTTGACAGAGAATAAAGTGTATTGACTTTTGATGCACGCCAAGTTTTCGACAATATATACGATTTAGCACCATCACACGCAGACGAGATCTCTTCTAAGGGTGGTGTACCCAGTAGATTGAGTATTAAATCAAGCTAGAAAAGAAATGGAAAATACAATGATAAACTTCGAACAACGACGACGACAATTTTCCTACTTGTTTGAGCGGTGACGATGCTTGGAAGAGGATCCTTCTCCCAAGTAGTTCAGCGAATATACATCCAACACTCCAAACATCAATGGCATAGGAGTAATGTTGCGCACCGAGTAGTAATTCTGGTGCACGGTAGTATTGTGTCACAACTTCTTGAGTCATTCGTTTCGTTCGATCTAATTCTTCAGTACGAGCCAAGCCGAAGTCGCAAATCTAAAATGAAACACAACGCGTGCCATGACTGAATCGCAAGTCGACCTACCTTTAGTAAGCAATCGCTGTTAACTAGAAGATTTCCCGGTTTTAAATCGCGATGAATAACGCCAGCTGAGTGAAGAAATTTCAACCCTGAATGAAATGTAATATGCAACAAACAGATTTTCTTAACACAAAAATTTTACCTCGAAGAATCTGATAGAGAAACACTTTACAATGGTCTATAGATAGAGCCTGCTGTGAAACAATGATTTTATGTAAATCAATCTGCATCAATTCAGCTAAGATATGCCTAGAAAAAAAGCAGCATATTGCAACTGATTTGTCCAGATATGTTTCGCCTACACTTCATTGAATAATTCAACTTGACTAGGTGGTTGGAGTATATCAATAGCTTGAAGAATCTAAACGCAAGAATTTGTTGATTATTTTTCTCGGTCAAGGTGCTTGCTCCTGCTCGTCTTACATTATCATGTCGAAATGTGCAGAGCATTTTGATTTCTCGAAATGCTCTTCGAGCTGCAACAACGGACTGGAAGACATTGGGCATTTTCTTCAAAGCCACGCGTCGACTTGTTCGCGGATCTGTCACCGCCCAAATGACGCCGAATGCACCATAGCCGATGAGAAAATCTACATCAGATCAGACAAACAAAAACATTTGACAATTGGTCAAATGAAAAACGTTGTTTCTCATACCTCCAGGTTCATTTTCACTATTGGACGAAGCAACTGCTGTTGATGAAGTTGACGATGAAGACGTGCTCGACGACGAGTACGAGGATGTACCTTGATTGTTCGTGTAATAATGTTGTTGCTTATTCTTACTCATGCCATGTGTCATTGAGATCTGTATGGAAAAATATCTATTGAAAATTTCTGTGAAGAAAAATCGCACACACTGACCATTCTTTCAGAGTTGCATATCTGTCAATGTTAGAGTTACTCTAAGAAGAAGAAAAAGAGAAAAGAAGAAAATATGCCAGTCAAACGATCGACATGAAGACAGCGTTAAAAAAACATATGGACTATGATCATGGACGGACGGACAAAAATGGACGACCGATAGTTTGTACGTTCGTATGCACACAGGAAGGAATGAGAAAAGAAGCGAAGAGAAAGAAAACATTGACATGACCATGGTCAGTTTTGATCCAATAGGTTAATAGCTTGACAAAAAAGGAACACATCGAAGAAATAATTGGTTCACTCTCGTTTTCAATGGTCGTGAAAACGAAAGGATTTCATTGAACGCAAAGATAAGATTGTGGGGGAGAGAAATGATCATCGACAAGATCTTAACTATTGACTACAATTATTTTGTTATCAAAATAAAAGTTTGTCGAAAAACAAAGAGTCGTCTTTGAAGCAAATTGACAAATATCAAATGATATTATTGGTCGTTCGAAGATGAATTGTTGTTGTGTATTGTACCGTGATTTAAAACATGTTAGGTTGAATTTCTTTTCATCTGTCGACATTTATCAATGTTTTGTAATGAAACTTAATGTCAAAACAAAGATTTGTTCTGTTTGATCAAAATCAAAAGAAGAAAATGTTCGTCTATGTGTGTATATAATGCATAACTCAGCGTTCACGTTGATGTTTATCCGACTTTGCGTAATAATTAGTCCTATTAGTAAATCATGAGAGTTATCTTTCAATCATTGGAGGGTATTTTTGTGAATCAATGACGCACATTTGTATGCTAAGTACAAATGCCGATTTCATCATGTAGGAGGATTGTGTGCTTTGTTGAATGAACAAACGAGATCATTTCGTCAAATTTAACTTTTCTTTCTGTTGAGATGGTTTACATTTATGAATTCTTATTTTTCACATGCTAACTGCGTTGTCATTGCAGATGTTTCAGCGATGACGTCTTTTTCTACTTCGATCGGTAAAAAGTAGGTTAAAGAAAAAAAAACTCTTGTTTACTCGTAGTATAAGAATCGAACATTTCTAATCGACTCGATTTTTGCAGCTTTTTTCACCATGCCAGGCAGCATCAACAGTGATGGAAGTGTCTACAATGCATCAGGAGTCCGAGTAGGTCAAATTAATAGTGATGGAACTGTCTACAATGCAACGTATACTAATGTGGGCAACATTGAAAGGGATGGCACAGTTAGGAATTCTATTGGGATGATCGCTGGCAAAGTAGAGGATGATGGAACGGTGCGCGATAGTGGATTTATTACAATTGGAAAAGTTGATGATGATGGTACAGTTTATGATAGTAACTTCTTGAGAGTTTGCCAAATCTACAATGCTCCATCACCGGTATGGGTGGCTGCAGCGTACTTCTTTTTTGACTTCGATTTGTCGTAATTCACTAGTTTTTACCCAATAAACAAGATTTTCACAAAGAGAAATCAGATTGCGTTTGGAATTTTATCGTAAAACGCATTTCTACTGGGCTTTCTCAATCATTTGGTAGTCAAACGCTCTTTATAGAGGAAAAAATTCACCTGCCCTCCCGAAAGATTATATTCTCGAGAAAAAGAATGAATTACGGTTTTTTTGTGTTTCTTTTGAAATTTCTTTTTTGAAGCGCACATTTTTCACAAACGACGGCGGAAGAAAAGTAAAATAAAGGCATTTCTTATGGCCAGATTGTTTACCACTATAGTCTCATCGGTGCAAAACATGATGTCAACTTATACACAACCAAAGAATATAAAACCAGTGTCCTTAACTGAGTTATTGGACGAAAAGCAACCCTACGAAGAAATTGATCGCCTTCAGGACGAAGACTTATCCGAGTTAAACGATGATGACGCAATGCGTTCGAGAATTCAAGGTTCTCTACTCGGTCTTGCTGTTGGTGATGCACTTGGTGCGGCAGTTGAATTTCGACCTTACTCGTACATGAAAAGCAATCGTGTCACTGACATGCAAGGTGGTGGGACGTGGGGCTTGGAAGCAGGAAAATGGACGGATGACACATCAATGGCACTCTGTCTGGCCGCTAGCTTTATCATTAAAGGTGGCTTCAATGCTTACGATCAATTAGTACGATACAAGTGGTGGTATACAAAAGGTTATATGTCATCAACGGGAAAGTGCTTTGATATTGGACAAGCCACGCGTGATGCAATAAGGACATTCGAAAAGCGTCAACGCCAGTGTGCGAAAAATTCAGGTATATCACTCTCCGACGGTTCTATGGATCGTCTAAACCAAACACAATTGTCTGAAATAAAATTCGATGTAAACTGCGGTGATTCAAAGGCTGCTGGTAACGGACCATTGATGCGCTTAGCACCAGTTCCTTTATTTTACCATTGTTCGGAAGTTGATGCTATTCAAAAGGCAGGTTTTAGTGCAACTCTCACCCATGGTGATAAAAGAGCTAGTGATGCTTGTCGATTCTATTCTGCACTCATTTGGAAGGCTATTCATGGTCACTCAAAAGATGAACTTCTAGATCCGAGTTCTTATCAGAATAAATTTTCACCACCACTCGATGCTGATGTGATGAGGATCGTCAAAGGCTCTTATAAAGAGAAGAAAGGGTATGAGGATGGTATTCGTGGAACAGGTTTCATTCTGAACTCATTAGAAGCAGCTTTGTGGGCATTTTATAATGACGGATGTTCTTTTGAAAAAGGTGCTCTGGCTGCTGTTAATTTAGGTGATGATACTGATACGACAGCCGCCATATATGGTCAACTTGCCGGAGCGGCGTACGGCATCGATAAAATTCCCGAACGTTGGCGCGAGCAAATATTCGAACGCAAATTTATTATCACTTTAGCTAACGGACTGTTTATCCATGGAAAAAAACTATTCAGTTCTCCTAAACGAAAGTCCCAATTTGACATACATTCTGATAATGCTGATCAAACTAAAAGAAGGCCAAAAACGCCCAACGAATCGGACTGCTGACCTATTGTTTTCTACGCTTATTTAATCATGAAAAAAGATCAAGAAGAAAGATTCTTTCGATTGCCGAAAAATGTATAACAGGCAAATCTTTCACTGTTTCTTTCTCTGCGTTTATTCAATGTAAAAGAGACTTTTTCATTCAATAACTAAAAATTTAATGCGCGTAAAAGTGTAAATAGAAAATGTTAAGCGGTTGGATCTTTTTTCATTAATGCAATATCAGCCGCAACCATCTCTTTAACCAATTCCTACGAATGAAGCAAATGAATTGGAAAACTGGAGGATACATTAAGTAAGAATCTTACTCGAAAAGTAATCTTTGGTTTCCAGTGAAGTTTTTCTTCCGCTTTCTTTGGATTACCAATTAAAAGATCCTGTCAGAAAAAGAAACAACATTCATTTCCAATCTCGCATCATTACTTAGTGATACATACGACTTCTGTTGGGCGAAAATATTTTGGATTAATTTTAATACGAACGACACCCGTATCTTTTTCTTTTCCAACTTCGTTGATGCCTTCACCTTCCCATCTATTCGAAGCTTTTGTATTTCGCTACAGAACGTGTCATCATTAACTTACATAATTCGTTTGCCAATTTCCTGAAATGCCGCTTCGACGAATTCACGAACGCTGTGTGTTTCCCCGGTAGCGATGACGAAATCTTCCGGTGTGTCATGTTGTAGCATTAACCACATGGCTTCAATATAATCTCGAGCATGTCCCCAATCACGTTTCGAGTCCAAGGCACCGAGTTCGAGAACTTCTTGTTGTTGAAGATGTATTTTGGCCACAGATCGTGTAATTTTGCGTGTGACGAAATTGTCACCTAGAAGAAGTAATTAGTCCAGCCTTCGAAAGCTAAATGTCATTATTTGCCTAAATCATACCTCGTCGTGGTGACTCATGATTGAAGAGAATACCATTGACTGCAAACATATTGTAGGCTTCACGGTAATTGATTGTTATCCAATAAGCGTATAATTTAGCAGCAGCTATGACGTTAATCAAAATATGTTTTCAGATAGAAGAAAAATCCATGGAACTTACCATATGGTGATCGAGGATAGAAGGGTGTTGTTTCACTCTGAGGAATTTCTTGAACTTTACCATAGAGCTCCGATGTCGATGCTTGATAAAATCGAACTTCTTTTTCAAGACCACATGTTCGAATGGCATCCAAGATACGTAAAGTACCAACAGCATCCACATCAGCTGTGTACTCACTTAAATCGAATGAGATCTAAAGAGCAATTTAATATTTGTTTAACTTGTCCACGTAGTCAAATCTTTACTTTAACATGACTCATAGCACCGAGATTATAGATTTCAGTTGGCTTGACACTAGCAATAATTTTAACTAATGATGAACTGTCGTTCAAGTCACCATAGTGTAATTTCATTGCTTAATATACACGAAAACATACGAGCGAACGAAAGATCGAGTAGGAAATGTTTACCTCCTTCTTGATGTGATGCAGGATTTGCATAGAGATGGTTAATTCGGCCAGTATTGAAGCTACTTGAACGTCGAATGACTCCATGTACTTCATAACCTTTCTCCAGGAGAAATTCAGTCAGATAACTTCCATCCTAAACAAAGAACAGAGAAGTTCTCACTCAGTTAATCGAATCCTTTTTTGATAATTACCTGTCCTGTAATGCCAGTAATCAAAGCCACCTTACGTTGGCTTCTTGCATCCGTAGCTACCTGACTATCTTGCGGCGTCATTTCTAGAAGAAGAAGATGCAAAGTGATTAACTAGTGAACTACGAATTGTATAATCTCTTGTATGAAATCGTCGATGTCAATACAAAGCGCAGATCTTTCTTTCCATCGCCTAAGAATTTTTTTTGTTTAGTCTGGTATGTCAAAGACATAATAGAAATGAATGAATATACAATAGATATCACAAATCATTGTTGTTCTCTCGTTCTTCTTACATATCAATTATCTATAGATATCAGTTTCTTTCTTCGTTGTGTGTCTTCAAGCGCTCTAGACCAAGATTCTATACTGTGTTTTGATTGGTAAGAATACTGTCTAATCCAAAAGATGTACACCTTTTTGGGAAGGAAGGAAAAAACGAGCACAACTTTATTTAGGGTAGGCGTAAATGTCTATTAATTCTATTTGTAGTATTTGTCTTTAGAAATTTTGCTCCAACTGATTCGAGATATTTATTTGAAGAATTTACTAGGAATTGCTTGTTTTCCCTTTTAGACATGACTTCCAATAATTCAAATGGGCTCGATCGAACTCAAACGAATAAAGAAGATGGACTAGCCCAACTGAGTTCGTAGAACAAATAGAGATAACTGAATGTAACTTTCGTTCTATGTGTTCTCTGATTTTTTTTATCTCAGGTCGCTCAGCAGACAATACAAGAAGAATTAAAAACGTCCAAGACAAATTTGTGAATAGTCAGGTACATGATTTCGTTTTTGTCAGCACACTTAACTAGTTAACAGTCTCAATTGATTTTGTAGAACTTGCAGAAAGAAGGTCGAGCTCTAGTTGGTGAAGGTATTCTTATGAAAGTATGCCGGAAAAAGCCGAAGCAACGCGCTTTCTTTTTGTTCAATGATATTCTTGTCTATGGACGTGTTGTCATCAGTGGACGTAGGGTAAATGATTTGTTTTTACTGCGAAGAAATGTTTGTTCGTTCGTTTTTTTTCTCTTTTGTAAATCTAGTACTCACAACAAAAGATCATTCCACTCAGTGAAATCCAAATTAGTGCCCTAATCGATTCATCTGGTACGCTCGATGTCGATATTTCAATCTTCTGTTTAACTCTTGACTTGTAGAGAATCCATATGCGTGGTTAATTAGTAGTCCAAAGAAATCATTTGTTGTTCGAGCGAATTCAGATCGCGAACGACAAGAATGGTTAACACATCTCGAACGTTGTATTCGATATGCTTCTGGTATGTTTTGAAAAGAAATTTGAACGGCTCGATCTTTGAAATGAATCATTTAGAGGGAAACAATTCACAACATAATGCTGTCGCTGCACATTGGATACCTGATGACAAAGCAGATGCATGTATGCACTGTCGTACGTCGAAGTTTTCCGCTGTGAACCGTAAACATGTAATTAATCCAAGTCGAGTTACTTCATTGTATCGGTTCGTGTTGTAGCATTGTCGAAATTGTGGTATTATTGTTTGTGATGGTTGTTCGAAGAAACGCTTTTTACTTTTACATTTGGATCCAAAAGCAGTTCGAGTATGTGACTCGTGTTTCACAAAATTAAATAGCAGCACTATCATAGGTAGTGACTAAAAGAAAAAGCGATTCTTTGTAATTCAATTCATTTCGTTTGAAGATTCTCGAGCCAATCAACGTGATCGAACTGCTGATAGTAGTGATAGCGATGGTGATGATAATGCTCAACAATACTCTCCCATTCCGGTAATGTATTTCCATATAATTTTCTACGAAACCATCTGCTATTTTAGGCCACGTTCTACCAAAACGTTGAAAACCTTTAAACAATTCGACTTTACTGTTCATTTCAATTGCAATATAACTAGTTGATCATATAAACAAACATTCCTGAACTAAACTACTTTTTTTATACGTATATATATACATATGTTGATTGATTAGTCTATTATTCTTAACATTATCGTTGTTTTTCCGAAATTTCCGAATGCAACATCTCTCTTCTGTCAATGAATAAAAGTATCTAAAGAATGTGAAGTTCATTTTCGCTCGCTGTTTTTATTGCGCCAATTCGGATTCGCACAGTAATTTTCCAAATCATTTGTTCGCTTTTCATTTCGTATCTCAGTCAAACGATGGACTATTTTCATCAACCAAATGAATTTTCGGATGTGAAGATCTCGTTCAAAAATGAATCTGGTAAATGCACCTCAACTGCTCACTACGCTTATCATTTCAGTTCTATCATAGATGTGATTCTCTATGCGAACAAAGCTATTCTATCGGAAGCGTCACCGATCATAAAAGCATTTTTAGCTATCGAACCCGATAGTACCTTCATTATTGATGAAGATGACGAACAATCCAGTATAACATCGACCGATATGATTGAATTATTAAAATTCATCTATCCACAATTTACAATTAAAATAACCGAACACAACAGTGAGATTTATGTTTCTTGATCAGAATTAGTTTATTTCCTTGCTAGTTAATGGTTTAATCCATTTATCGGAAAAGTACCTGATTGAAACACTTCGAAATGAATGTAAAAAGTACATTCACACATGGTTAAACGACCTGGAACTGACAACCGTCGATGACAAGAAAGAATGTGTACCGAGGCATATTCTTTATAAAGATGGAACACGCAAGCACATTGCATCGGAAATAGGTAACAAATTATGTTCTACATTAATGCGCGTCGAATTTCGTTTAATCGTACATCCGAAATTATAATCAGTGTCTCGTAGCTAAGCTCACACCGGAACAGATGAATCGTATTCGCACTCTCTCGATCAGTTGCAAACTCTATTTCAAGTGATTGTTCATTTCAGGCACATTATGTACTTGGCTTCATGAATATTTATCACGTGACGAAACACTCTCGTCGTCGATTCTCAATATTCTCAAACATGCCTCGACCGAAGACCTTGAGCGAAACGAAATCTTCTTGCAAATGATCGATCGTGAAAAAACGCATATATATAAGGTGATCAGTGAATATTTGGAATATCAAACAAGTCCTGACAAAGACTCGTCAAGAGTTATTCATCATAAACAATCTAGTTCGTTGATGTTTGCGTCCGGCGACAATTGAAAACACATTGAATTGAACACACACAGACTTTTTTTGTTTTTACTTCATCTCAAGAAAAAAAAACGTCGGGGTCATCCAGAGTTCAACTAAAAAAAAACTAATAAAACCCTTAGTAGCGTTACTAGAGGAAATTGAATTTTTTTCCTGCTTTTGATGCTAGTCAAATATGGCAATTCGCCAACATCTTATCGCCGTCTGTATAATCATTCGTCGACACGGGAAAAGTGACCGGCGGCGGCGGCGGCGAAGACAACAACACGGTCCGCCAATACAAACGTACGTCTCATTCGATGGTCATTGTACAGAAAGACAAAAACGAGGAAGAGAAAGAAAGAAAGAAAGGGAAGAAAAATTTTCTCGCTCATTCCCCTCTCCTCAAGAGAAACACTCACTCAACACAACTCAACGTATTCTTCTCGATTTTAAATATAGAGTACGTATTGGCTAGCGAGCCTCCGAAAAGGCGATTCAATAAGCATATCTGATTTACAGCATGACCAATTGTTAATCAATGGATAACAACGAACTTCTTCAAGAATCTTTTGATTATGATCATTTTTTTGGCGAAAATACCGATGAATATCATACAATGACCTGTTTGGAAACAACGAATGAAAATCTTCTCGATCTCAACAATAATAATGAGACCCAAATGAAGAATCGAACTACAGGTAGATATCCATCTTCCCTGACTTCCTTTCCATGTCCGAATCAAAGGCAGATGTTTTTCTTTATGACGATGATTACCGTACGATTGATCTTTGTGATGCACTGAATGTTAATCAATAAAAAGAAAGCGATATCCTAGAAAATAGTACAAGGTACTAATCGTATCTCGTCGGACAGGAGAAAATCGTCATTAATCACGAAGAAATTTGCTTGATCATGACCAGAGACTATCGCATATATGAATAAAGATAATCGTTGTCTGTATTGAAGAAAATTCACAAGAGAATTTTGCTCTTCGATATGATTTATATCAATAAATGTATATTTTTTCCTCTAGGCAATATTTTAATGGGTACAACTGTAAATGAATATTTCAGCTCCGGGGTTAATATAATCAATGGTCAAGTTATTAAAACTGAAAATGTAACACAATATTTCAATGGAAATACGAATCAATATAATACGAATAACAATAATCAGCAACAACAAACGGTCGCTTTCGACAATGGGATTTATAATACGACGCGTAAAGTTTTGTTTGTCAACTAATTTGTCGTGTTGAAAAATGAAATTATTCTATTTCAGTGGTTTCTAATCCACCGGTTTATAATATACAGCCAGTAAATGTTCCCACGATTGAGAAATCCGCTGTCGCCTCGCCACCTCCACCGCCTAGAGTGTATAAACCGTGCGTGGTTTGTGGAGACAAGAGCTCCGGATATCACTACGGCGTATCAAGTTGTGAAGGTAGTTATTTTATTTTCATCCAATTGCCGAAATTACTGATATATTTTTCTTTTAGGTTGCAAAGTATGACTGTTGATTGCATTTCGTGACACGCAATTGCATATTTTCGATGTTTCCTAGGGTTTCTTCCGACGTAGTGTTCAGAAAAACATGGCGTATCAGTGTCATAAAGATCAGAATTGTGAAATCAATAAAATGACACGAAATCGTTGTCAGTACTGTGTAAGAGGTGACCATATTGGGAATTCTGATTTTATGATGCTTTCTTCTAGCGTTTTCAAAAATGTTTCGCTGTTGGAATGAGCAAAGAAGAGTTGCGGATACTAAATCATGCAAAGAAACTGTTGAATCCCACCGATGCCAAAGCAACGAATAACCGCCAGAAGAAACGCGTCTCTATTCAATCAGTTCCGTCGACTGAATCATTACCGGTGGTTGTTGAACCTAAAGTCTCACCTGTTGATAGCGAAAAACTGATTCATATCTGTGTCAACTTACACAAGTCGACATTCGATTTCAAACCATCCCAAGAAATCGATGTAAAGAAATCGAACAATCACACACACGCACACTTTACTTGTGTTTTTCTTTTAGGAAAAGCCAGATATTCGCTGGCAGAAAACAGATGAATTTAGTCAAAAAGGTATCATGCAATGTATCCAATTTTGCATGCAAATGCCTGGCAATGATGAATTATCGATCCAAGAACGTGCACATTTACTTAAATTAGGTGTTCATGGTGTAGCCTTACTTCGTCTCGCCTATCGTTATGAACCTGAAGAGGATAAACTATATTTGTCCAACGGTATAACACTTGATGAGAACACCCTTATGACCCAAGGCTTTGGTTGTTATGGTCATACTTTCTTTCAATTTTGCCGAATATTCAGTCGATTAGAATTGACTGTTGAAGAATTTGTTCTTCTTTGTTGTATCGTATTTTTTAGCCATGGTAATTGGATGACAACTATGATCGAAATAATAATCAGCCCAATTTTCTTTTGATTTAGACCGAATTGAAGGCGAAGCAACAAGAAATAAAGTAGAACAAATCCAAACGCGATATTGTGAAGCGGAAAGGTCATACATCGCGAAAAATCGTTCCAATGATCAAATGCAATTTTCGAAACTTCTCCTCTTGCTTTCAAAATTACGAGCTTTAGATGCGTTAAGTATGTCGAACACCCCTATCCGACTAGTTCATTCTCACGTTCAACTTTCTAGTCGCTGAACGTCTTCTTTGCTTGCAAATGAACACCGATGGACAAGTACAAAAATGCATTTTCGAAGTGCTTCATCGAGAAGCAACGAACATTGTCGTGGTAAGTTGTGATTATGAACAATGACGATCTCTATCGCTATTTCGCAGGACATGGAAATCGACTATCTTGATGCCATCGATACCAAACCCGATTATACTTGGCTTGATTATCCATCGAATACATCGAATTCTTCTTCCATCGCATCACAAGGGGTCACGAACAATAATTAACGTCAGATAAGTTGCCGGTGCTGTGCCATTGTGCTCGAATGTTGCTCAATCGATTCGGATGATATCTCTCTGTTGCACATTTGTCAAATAGAATTTTTGTGGAGATGTCTTATATATTTTCAACGGTGACTTCTTGCTGGTTGTTTTTTTTAAATATCTAATTATTGTCTTCAGTATTATATAGTTCATCATCAGGGTTTCTTTTTCTGTTACTCTTCTTAAATGTTGTCCGTCCAGTATTGGAATTTGTTTTCTACAATGCAATTTTGTCGCTTGATTTTTTTAAATATCGCTCTGTGCTATACACACATATATATCACTGTCATTTTTGCAATATGTAAATGATAACAAGAATCTAATTTGCGTTTTCTTTATCGTTGTGCAAACAGAATGTATGAAGTTCTTTTTATATATTGTATATAAAAAAAATCATGTTTGACTGTTAATACTTGTCTTATAGAACGCGTCGATCGGATGCAACAAACTGAAAATATCGGAATTCGACATGACTGTTTATTTTTCACCAAAAGAAAAAGTCTTGGTAATATGTTTCATTGGAAACAGTGATATTTAAGTAGCTGTTTGCAAGTATTGACCATTGTGCTGCGATGATGTTTGTCGCCTACTACTCGATGATGAACGTCTCGTCGAAGTCACTGAAGTGATTTGACCACCATAGGGAAGTGAAAGCGGTGGAAGCATCAACATTCCGTTTTGTGTACTTGAACTATTTCATTGAATAGAGAACAAATATTATCTGCCAAGAAATATTGTTTCTACTTACGATCGTTTCGAACTATGACTGCGATTTCTTCTTGGTTTTAATAACTCATACGTAACTCCATAATCCATTCCATATGCTTCCCATGGTTCTACAACGCGCAATGCTGTTACACGTGTATAGTAACCAGATGGAATCTCTAATGGCTAGAAGGAGAGTACAACAGACTTGATAAGTTAAGCTTAGAGATTGTCGTTTACTCCATCAAGTGCTTTGTTAACACCGCTTGTATCAAAATATGGACCTAAGTCGTTGTATACATAGGGTTCATGTGCTCGACTAGAATACAAAGAGAAAAAAGCTAGAAAGAAGAGAAGTTTGTGAACGGAACTGTTTTGGTCGATGTAATTTGGTAGACTGCTCTCGAATTTTCTCTTTCAAACGACGTAATTCGTTTTGAACATAATCTTGAGGGTATTGATCAAGTGGTTGAAGAGTTAATTTTTGTTCCTTTGTATTGAAGCGAATATTCGAAAGAAAACTAAAGAATACATTTTAGCTCTTCGTTTTTCATTATTCAATCTTTACTTGTAAACTTCTTCTCCCTTAGTTATTTGAATTCGTCGTAAGTGCCAACTATTCTTCTTATCGAGTCCCGAACATTCAATAGTAATCCGTTTGATTCTACCCACATCAGTCGTTCGAGATGTGAATTCATCGGTTGCTTTCGACTGAAATGGCGTAGCACCACTCTTAGTCGTTTCTAATGGAATAATTACAATTCCATGCTCGCCACGAATTTTAATATTGACTGTTCCATGAAATGTTCGTTCACCTGTGCCAACTTTAATCTTATAAACAGCATCTGAAAACAAAGAAGACGACAGTGTAGAACTGAATGTTTGTTCGAGGTTTCTTATCTTCTACCATGCCGTTTTTTCGTGTGAGGTCTAGCTGATTGAGATCTTGTCATTTGAAAACGAGAGAAAGTAAATACGTATAGGTATTTTTTGCTACTGACTAGGCGATTTTTTCCTCTTTGTCTTGTGTTTTTTTAGGAAGAGAAAAAAGAAACTGTCCTGTGTGATGCATTCTTGACAACACACATTTTATATTTTTATTTACCTTTTCTTTCAACGTCAGAAGTGGATGTTAATGTCGCTAACGAAGAAATTAAATTACATGAAATCGCTTAAAACAAGAGTATACTTACATTCATCCACAGGTGGGTCATCTGATGATGGAGTGAATTCCAGTTCGACGTTTGGTTCGATTGTACGTTTAATGTTGAAGCTAGAAAATTTGATCAGAGCATGCTTTCAAGGTCGTTCACTCGAAGATATAGTTTTACTACTGAAGGCGATCGTATCAGAGAAAATCTTTCTTAGTCATGTTTCTAATGATTACAGAAAATATGGAGTAGTGCGAACAGCATGCCTGTTGCTGTCTGATTACATAAAAGCATATCGAGTAGACAACGTGTTGTCTACCATGTTTAATGAGTAGGATTGATCATTATTGGCAGACAGAGTAGAAATCGGAAAAAGGGCGATAGGGTGCTAATAAGATGTGTCAGATCTAAAGATGAATTCAAGATCTAATGGCTTACATTGTTGTTTCATCTCCTCGTTTGATAATGATACGATCCAGATCGGAAGCTTTTGTATGTTTACCACCGTTTTGCTCCAGGGTTATTTTTGTGATCTGTTCTCAAACGAATTCCAAAAGGAGAAATTCAATAAAATTTCGAAGAAATGAAACAAACTTGTCCAACGTCGAACGCTTGCAGATCGATTTCACCAGCCAAATTCTTTCGAAGAACCATTCTTTTTGTTTGACCGTTCGATCCAAATATGACCATATGAAGCTGGGATTCATCATCATCATCATCATCATCGTCATCGAGTGATCGCTGTTGTAATGTACCATACTGCACCAAAACTTTGTATGTTGTTTCTTAAATTAGAAAAATGAATAGATGGGTGTTACGTATTCGACGTATAAAATATACCATGAACTTCTAATTTGTCTGTCATGGAACTACGTTTCGAAGTATTAGAACTCGGTAGTGCTTCTAGAAAATAATGGAGAATAGGATTTTAGGAGAGTCCTTTTAGTTACCTGGTAAAGAAGGCGTTAGATCGATGTACGGCATGGATAAGTCGAGTGTTGTATCAGCGATAAAACTAAAATAAATATTGAACTTTCTGACGATTGGCTGATAACAGATGAGACATACTTATAGAGTTCTGATCCGCCTTGAAGAATTTTTACGGCATCTAAATGCCACATTGGACGCAGACCTTTTCCATCTTGCCCAATGTTTATTTTATGAATCTAAAAGTGAACGTAGACTTGCAGAAACATTTCATTTCGTAAACGTACCTTTCCAACATCAACAAGTTCCATTTCAAATTCGCTCGTTTGCCCTTGTCGAAACAAAGATTCCGAATCTTCATCAGGTTTAATTAATTGAAATTTTTTTGTTTGCCCTTTTTCGCCGTAAATTGTCATAAACACACCGGAATCTGTACTTGAATCGTCTTCCGAACTGGTTATGACGGTTATTTTATAAACAACTTGATCTGGAAAAATACATGTGACACTGCAATTTTAAAACTCGAATTTTCTTTACCTTTTTTTGACAGTGAGTCTTCAGGAAACAAATCGACAAAGCTCTCATCTTTTGCTTTCAAACACCGATCAGCTTTGAATCTGAGCATGAAGAGCAATCGTAAAAAGTAGTCAGTGAGCATAATAACTTACGTGTATTGTTCATCTTTCTTTTCGATTCGCACTGCTTCGAGAGACCATTGTTGGTCTTCATCTTGCCCATCATGTCCAATATTGATCTTTGTTATCTAAGTCGAATGCACTTGGCTCTATCATTTGTATATTCTCATAAGCAATAACTTACTTTTCCGACATCAGTGGCTTTCAAATCAAATTGTAATTGACTATTCTGATCAAATCTAGCTTTTGAATCGTCCATCGTTTGCGTTAAAGCGAAGTTTTTGGTCACATTAGTTTCTCCATAGATGCATAAGATTACATTACTACCGATACCAGATTCGCCAGTGATGATGGTTGTTTTATAGGTAATATCTGTTGAAAGATAGGATCACATAATGTAAATGTCACATTTTCTTAGCACATTCGACAGAAATCCGGTGATTTGACAGAGATTATCCGATTCCCCTAGGAACCAAACTACGAGACTCTCTTACCGTCATTATTTGCTTCCGGCTTAATCGTAATCCAACTAAAATCTTGACCTAATCGACTTGATAGCCAGCATCGTCCTTGAAAACTACAGAAGAAGGATTTCTTTCTCTTTTTGCACGATTCTTTCACATACTGATAAACTGTTTTTTTATACTTGATCTCAACAGCATCCAGCATCCAAGCAAATCGTTGGTCGGGGTCATCGAAACCAATGGTAAGACTTTCAATCTAAGATTAGATATGCAAATGAATACGATGTCAGATATTCCTTTATCACCTGTCCAATATCAGCATGTTTGATTTCAAATTGATCTGTTTTTCCTTGTTGAAAGATCTTCTGCTGCTCGTCTGATTTCCAATGTTCCTTCAATAATACTTTCTCAACTTCGCCATTTGCTCCTCGAATACTTATTTGCACGTTCTCTGCTATTTCGTTGTGAGGAACATCTCCGGTTCGTACTGTCACCATATACATTGAAGCTGTGTGAGGAATAAAAAACATATGAGCATCAAGGAATTCACAATTTATGAAATTACGTGGCGGTGATGGTGCGCGTCGTGTCAACTCAACAAATAATTTCTTATCGTCTTTCGTTGGACTCAACCATCTATTTGCTAAAAATCTAAAAGAGACTTTTTGTGAAGTAAAACAATCAGTAGAAAAACAAGAACGAACGTCTGTTGTTCAGAATCGATTTGCACTTTGACACTTTGTAAAAACCAATCATTCACTGTTCCTAAACCTTCATGTCCAATTATGATCTTCTCAATCTAAATCAACCACTCGAATTTCGATCGTCACTTTAAGTTCTTGTCGAGCTCACCTGACCAACATTGTTACTATCAACATTGAATTTCGCTTGAGAATCTTTGGTAAACGAACTGTTTTTCGATTCTAAGAAGATCTTCGGTGTTGTCGACACTGTTCCAAAGATTTGTATATACACTGGTGAATCCAATGGTTCCGTCTGTTCACTGCCTGTGTAAACTTCGATGTTGTAATTGACAGCTAAAATGGACCAGAGAAGTCATTTCAAAGTTCAAGCTTATTCAACAAATCACTCACCTGGCTGTTCAGTACCAAACAATTCCACCGATAGTTTCCGATCATGTTTCGTTTCATCTAACCACCGATTGGCAAAGAATCTAAATCAAGATTTCAATATAGGATATCGTCAATTGACAGCATACCTGATGAGAAAATCATGAACGGACACATCAACATAATCAATGTACCATCCACTGCCTTTGTTTTCATGTCGCAGAATGATTCGTTGCGGCTTACCGACATCAATAGCTTGAATTTGAAACTTTCTTGTCGATTCTTGTGAAAAGAACTTCTCGTTTGACGATGTTTTCAGAAGTATATCTTCCGTCTGTTGATTATCGCGGCCGAATATTTTCAAATAAACCGGACCATTGGTACCGGAATTGCGGTAATTGCCCGTTTTTACAGTAATCGTATATTCAATTTCTATTTTCGAATGAAAGAATATTACTTAAAAAGTATATTATTAGATATATCTCTCAACTGGAAGGACCGGCAGGTTTCATAACGGGATTGATTTGTCGAAGCTTTTCCCCTGATGATGAATCAGGTATTTTGTCTAAAATTGTCGAATTCTTAGCGATAACATTAATTATAGTTCACGTACCCACTGGTTGTGGAGATTTCACATTGGTACTGGCTTTTCCGGTACAGCAAGGCATGGCTAATGTGATAAGTGAAGAGTTTTTCCTTCTTTTGTCGTGCCTGACGATTCGATGATTAAGCTGTAAAACTCACTCGACTAGTCGTTTTCTTTCTATTTCTCCGCGTCGTATCACCTTTATGGATGACAACCACTTTGAATTACATGCAGAAAATGTCTTCTCTCATTTGTTTTTTGAGTGTGTTGGCTTGACAATATATAATTCTGTTATATTCTGTGTAAAACAAAGTCAAACGACTGATAACACAACGTATCAGTTAATACTTTTTCTTTCGCTTTTCTCTTCTTTCTATGTAAATCAAAGATATTAACATCATCATTCTACTACTTACGAACAAATCGATTACGACCGTTCTAAGAATATTCATACATGAACTTTTGTTGTAATCGAATCCAGATTTATGTAAAATAAAATGAAAAGATATATTTAGCAAAGATAAATATAGCAACACATCACACAAGTTGGAAAAGAATCCGTTACCATGTCAACTGCAAGATTAGTTTAAAATCTACAGCGCAGACGTGACGACTTCTTATCGTCCTGAGTGATTGGTTAGAAACCATAATCAAATTTATCATGTAAAAACAAAACAGATATACAAGACATTATGAGTTGATTAGATACAGAATCTCAGCAAATGCTTTTAAGATTCTCTGTTCGAAATAAATGGACGCTGACATATCGAGAAGTCGATATTCGAACATTGTCAAACAGTTCTTTTCTTCAGTGTTGGCAAAGAGTAATAATAGTTGAATGCATGAATCAATCATCATATCAGCTGAATGATTGACTGGCATTGTCGACGATGCGTTGTAGTAGGATGCTAAGGTTGCGAGCAGATACTGTTGTTGACTGTATTCATAGAATTCCAAGTAATTGAAGATCAATTCAATACAAATGATTTGCGAAGAGAAATATTCGACTAAAGAATGATTTCGTTTGCATAGGGAACAGATGATGATTAAACAGTATTCACGATTGGTATCTTCCTGTTTGATCGAATTCATTAGAGAGAGAAGTGTGCGATTGAACGTTTGCATTTCATCATAGGTCAGTTCGAGTAAAATGAAATCAACATTGCTTTCGTTTGTGCACAATTTTGCAAAGATTTGTAAGGTAATTTCACGTGGAGATATGTGAATTTTCTTGTTAGTCATTTGCTCTTCCATGTTCATCGAAATAAATTTTTCATCAGCAAATGACACTGCACATAAAATCCAATGAATGAGCGTATGAACTAATCGAAACCGTGTTGTCGAATGATAATGCTGAAGTTCAATAAAAGTCGAGAGATTGGCTAATGTAACAAATGTATTATCCAGAAGATACATCAAATGCTGTTGACTACATTCTTTCGAACAAGTCAATGGGCCATCATCTAGCAGACAATTCGACTCATTTACTGATTGTGTATACGAACAATCAAATAATTGATGCAGTGTTTCATGATGACAGTTCAATACTCCTAGGAGAATATCGATAAAACATCGATCATTAGCTAAATAGTTGTTTTCTTCAATGAATGATAAATTTCGTACTATTGTTGATAAACACGAACATCGGGTCATCAATGAGTGAGAGCGATCGATAGAAATCATATGCTGACGGTCAGTTGCTTGAGAGATCAACCGTTTGAGTACATAGCGATGTGTACCGAAGAAGAGTCTTTCTAAATGTTGTTCGTTTGATATAGGACCAATGACACCCTCATCGATCCGTAATTTCAACTGAAGAAACCAATCCATGCAAGAACCATTTGGCGGCGAAAGTTGCACAAACGATTGATGAAACAATTCATGTAGACAAGCTAGGCAAGCGGACAGCTATTTGTGTTAGAAAATGATTCAAGTCTTACCGACGTATTGTTCCATGATGGCATTAAATAAACCAGGCAGCGATTTTAGATGAAAGTAACAGGCTGTATGCGGTTCGCTGAGCAAAATAAGAAGCGTATCTAAATGTTTGTTTATATCCGCCAGCCATCCAGTACGGAGAATAAACGCGAAATGTTGAAAATCAGTCAGGCATAATGATTGTGTTGAAGTGCGAGATGAAGGGATGTCAATAGGTAGTGGCAAATACTTTTTTGTTTCATCACAATCATGCGGCGTTTGGAATTGTTGTTTACCGATCTAAGCAAAATAATAAGCCGCCATCAGGAAGGAGGTGTTTGAAAACAAACTTTTACAGGTGTTGACGCACAAATATTACCACGCTTTCTCTTCTTGACCTAAATCTCAAGTGAAGAATAAGATGATTTATTTTTGTTTTACACGCGAACTGAACTGTATGTGGCATCTCAGCCATTTCCATCACGGAACGCGGATCAAGTCCAGCTCGATCGAAACGACATTCGTATGCTAGTAAACCTAATCGAATGTAATTACGTTTAACACTGTACGCAGCTGAACCTAACAGAAATCAACGAGACAAAATGTATCGAACTTTTTCCGTAGTACTGCTTACCCGAATCACCAAAACCTAAGATATTCGAGATCTCTTTCCAACCACGATTCGTCGTGATTTCCAAATAGCCTTGTCTCTCCTGAACAAGATGATGTAGTTTGTACAAATCAAGCATTTGATTCGTGATTGTCGGATAGGATTGACAGGAAATAGTCTGCTCGTCCCAAATACTTTGCAAACGTTGACAAAACAACAGTCGGTCCTAGAGATACGTTCATATCTTCGCAAGAGAATCAATTACAATCATTTCCTTACTGATTCATGGCCAAATTTCAACAATCGATCGAAGATTTCTATCGTCATTTTCTCACGTTCCATGGCGAATAGAATCAATCGACGCAATTGAATGTTACGCGCTTAAATTTAATTAAGTCAATCCATCAAGTCTAACACTTTTTGATGCTGAAAAAGAGAAACATTGTTGACATGATTAATTCGTTGAAAACTCGTCGAGCTTAGCCGACTTTACCCTTTCATTCATAATTCATGAATGTCAAAGTAATCTATTGTGAAAAAGGAGAAAATCTCTAGTAGTAGATTACAATGAAACTATTCGAGTTACATTTCCGAATGAAATAATTCAAGCTTTATTTCAAATATCAAAGCCATTGTCTGCTCTCGAGAGATTTTCATGACTAACAGAATGAGTTCACTCTTCTACAGTAAATCGATCGACTTCGACTATGGCAAATACCTGTTTTCTTTTCTCCACTTACTCCCTTCTAATCGGTGTCGCATTGAACATTTTCTTACTAGTTATTCGAACAACGGTGCTGTTCTCAAAAGAATTCACTGCGCATGACCTATTTATCAAGTGTACCCTCCGGTTCATCCGAAGAGTTCCGATTCGAAATCGTTATTATTGATAATTTACTATTTCTCTATCACTTCTTCAATAACCTTATCGGCTATATTCATCAAAGTCACGCAGTAGGTCAACACTATTTGATTCACGTGTCAGATTATGCTTGTAAGTTCTTTACTTATTTCGCAAAAATGAGTTTGCTTCTGACAACATGGCCGATAATCTTCTTAATCCTCAATTAGTCAATCGTCTTGAGAAATCCTCGTCGAGGTAACTCTTTTTGGAGTTGGAGTTTAAATTACATCAACACGACGGATTTGACCGTTTTCCTTATATTTATTTTTAGCATGTTCAATGTTTATCCAATTGAAGTTCTGAAGTATCAAAGAAGAAAGATTTTCAAGATTATCTTCAGGGTAAAATACAGGAAAACTTCTTTCCTTTCTCTTTTGATAATAGCTTCTAAATATAGAGAGAAGCATTGAAGTGTGTTCTATGACATTATACAAGACCAGTAAACAATTATTAAATGCAACTAATTATTCCTATAATCTACTTGGAATTTCAATACCATGTTTAATTATCTTTTTCATATCTGTTTTAATCGGATGTCAACGAAAGAAAACGAACAAAAAGCAGATATCTTGCAAATCCATCGTTGCAGCGATGGACTTAATTTATTCATTACTTCATCTACCATCGAGAATCAGCGATCTTTTGCTGATGTCGTTATCACCCTATTCGGCATTTTATTTGCATATCATGCATTTCAATCGTCAGTCGCAATCATCTCTTACGTTTTCCTATGCATACAAATGTTTCATTTGTCGCCTTCTATCAAGTAGATATTGGTATCACGCGAAGAATCTTTTGTGTTTGTTAATCAACTATAAATATGCCGCTCATAATGAATATCACCGTCAACAACATTATTTACACGGCGAAAACTTTCAAAGGCAACATTCTATCAGAAAATCTTCGTCATTAAGAACACCTGTAGATTTAACTGGATTTTCTCATAGATAGATTTCTACCATGTCATACTGCTCGTTCTTCATTTTCCTCCATTCTTGTAAAGCGACTTGTAAGCAGTTTTTTTTTTCATCGCTTTCTTCTCTTTCTCTATCATCCTCTCGCGCTTTTCTTTTATAAACTTAAGAGTGAGCTTTATTCTAGCTAATCTAACAGAAGATTAATTGTCAGTCAATTTCTTCGGCACTATTCACTGTTCGAATCTTGCATTAAAAGCAGCCAAAAGTGAAAGAGAAAGATGTTAACCTATTGTTTGTAAGGCACGCAAAAATTTCATTTCTCGTCTGTGTTCTCATTGACTTTTCTTCTGTCGACGGGTTAAGATCTATCTCTCTATTGTTCTTCTTCGCTTTTTCTTCACATAGATTGTTTTTCCAACAGCAAGGAATTTCTCCATTCCGCCTTTCAATAAAAACAATTTATGTCACTATAATTTGTCTGAAAGAACATAATGAATTCGACCGTATTTTGACCCCCTAATACAAAGCAGCAGTTTTCACGTCCTGGTGCCCGTTCAAAAACGTTTCTTAAATTGTTTTCGCACACACACATTAGTCAAACCTAAACATTAAGTACAAAATATGTCTTTTCTTCCAATCCAAATGAAACATTTCATTTCTCTTTTTCAGATATGACAAACGACACCATTTTATAATAGACTCTTGTCACGAATAACTAACTTTCTTTTACAATGTTGTCAATTATGATTGATCAAAAGTAAATTGTGCATGTTAAAGAGAAAACTTCGAAGTTGACATTTATTGATGCTGTTATCGTTAAATACAACAGCACAGTCTTCTTGATTCGAATTCTAATCGACGATTTTTTCATTGAACATTAGTAATCGTATTTGTAGATATTCAAGTACTTTTTCTTCCTGTCGTACACAAGTTAAATGGAGCACGAATTCATGTTTTCATAGAAACTAAATCCTTTGTTCTTCTCTGATAACACACTGTTAAAAAGAGAAAAGGAACACCGCGTTTTCTTCTCTAAAACAATCGTCGTTCACACAATTTAACATCGATGATGAATGCTACGACTTCTACTCCAACACAATCGACTGCATCGATTGATTACACTGAACTAGGAAATCGAATCGGCACAGTTATCTATTCAATTATCTATAGTTTAGGCTTTACTGGAAATGTGTTTGCTCTTCTGACGTTCTCTAGTCATCGCATGCGACAAATATCCAGTAGTATCTTTCTTCTGATTCTTTCGATTAGTGATTCAATAGCGCTTATTGCATCGTTATGGTTCTTCTTGGCCGACGCCTTCTCCATTCAATTACAAAATTATTCGGCACTTGCTTGTCGTTTTCGAACGTTTTTCGGGTATGTTTTCATGGATCTTTCGTCGTGGTGCATTGCCGGCTTGGCAATAGACCGATTTTTACGAACGGAAATACCTCTGCGCGCGAAACTTCTGTGTACACCGCGAAATGCTCTAATTGCGGTACTTATTTTCTTTTTTCTCCTGTGCGGTATCAATGGACATTATTTTTCGGCTGGCATCGGACAAGAACGAGGCGGTAATCGAACGATGGCTCACTGTTTGGAAAATCGCGATGAGTATCCGAATTATTACTTTTTCTACAAAGTCATTTGGCCAAAAATCGATATGATCGTGTTTTGTTTTCTTCCTGGGTGCATTATGATCTTTTGCAACATTCGAATTGTTTGTATTCTTCGACGACAACGTCACCATTTCGAAAGTCTTCGAAGTGCAAGCGTGCCAACGAAAATCACGAATATTCAACAAACATTACATGGAAGCATCTCGTTGAGAAAAAGTCCATCGCATCGGAAAGCATTCGAACGACAAATGTCATTAATGATGTCTTCATGCGTTCTTGTCTTTCTATGTACAACTGTGCCCGTCACTGTTTATTTGATTTTTCTTGAACAAATCAACCGCGATCAGCAGAATCCTGTTCCAGATACTCGTCTCTATGTATTTATATTTCGCATGCTTCGTGCGCTCATGTACATTCATTTCGGCTGTAATTTTTATCTCTATTGTCTAACAAGTCGAATCTTTCGCGGTGAATTCATACGAGTGATTACATGTCGACGAATCATTCTCAATAAAAGCCATGATCTGGCGACAAGTTTTGCTGCTAATAGGAGTATCGATGCATCAAATTTGTAGGACGCAAGTCAAACGAACTGGTTATATTGTTAGGCATTCGAATCACTCTGTTATATGTTGTTTATTTCAAATAAATGAATATCTTTTTTTTGCCAATTTACACTTTGCAGAAAATTTGAGATTTCTCCGGCGTATTAACATGCATTTGTCGCACTTCACACTTAGAAAATATATTAACTATTGACATTCGTCAGAGATATTTTCATTAGTTTAAACCCACGTATTCCCATCAAGTTATATTTAGTTGAATGATGAATAAAATATCTTCGAGAAGTAAAACAAGCTTGTCAAATAAATGAGCCTTACCATAATGACAGATCATCGAGTCGAAGAAAGTATCACACAGGTTTAAACAAAAGAATATTTCCTTTTTTCCGCTACTTTAAAGTAAAATACATGAATATTACATTGAATGAAATGCTTTCATTCAAGAGCGAAGATACTCAATCAACATGTCGATAGTTCTTCTTTTCTTTTCATTCAAAGGGAATTTAAATTATTCAAATCTCAATCAATGATTCATATTCCAGAAGATCTTCCATCAAGTTCTGGAATATGATCGTACGCATGTACGATCAAGATAATGAATTCACGTTCTATGGAACTCGTCTCAGTAGGCTGATAAATAACACATTTATATTTCCCGCCTATAATCAACTGTAATGTCATCTAAACGAGGTTATTTAGTTCATTTTGCACGGATATTCTTCGCTAGTTTATTACTTCTTGCGTGTTCATCATTGACGCATGTCTGGAACGCATATCAGCCATTGCACCTCGCCTTTCAGATACAGCAATGTCAATTAGGTTTATCGAATCGAAAAGATCTGTCCGCGAATATTTGGCCATGGTTAACAAGTTTTCAACTAAGCAAAATTTTGCCAACATTTTCATTTCTCTCAACGTCGAGCTCATCGAAATGTCTATCTCATAGTGAACTGACTTATCCACTGAATGTTCATCAGTATATTGAATGGGTTCGTTCGGTGATAGCTGTGTATCTTGTGTATCATCTAGTATGTTTGTTCCTTTTTCATGCACAAATGAAGCGATTGGAAGAGAAACAACGGTATTATGGCCGTCGTTATCGACAAGAGGAAAAAGTCCGATGTTCAAAACGTTTATTGAAAACATAAAACAAAGACTAACATTGTTTTAGTCATTTTTTTTCTCTTTTCATCATTTGATTTATTTCGCTTTTCGCGCGTTCAATCGTGCTTCGTCATACATTTTTCGTATGTCAGCGGTAAAACGATCATAACACAGAACACCATTCTCATCGAAATAATTTCCAATCGATTTTTTTAGTGATTTTGTCGTCTTATCTGTCCCATCATTGTAGTCCAAAGTTAACTGATATTTATCATCATATCTAAATGAAATTGGATTTTGTCGAGAGATGTAAACAACGAGTTTCTGACGTACTTTTTCAATTTCGATGAAACCGTACAGCGAGAGACAGGATCAACACCAGCGCGATCGACTAAATTCGTTTCCATTAAGTTCGAAGCATCAAAAAGCAATACAGAAACTATTTACCGAGTTTACCAGTGTAGAATTTACCGTGCTCGATGAATTGCATGTAGAATGTCAGAATGCCCATTAAAATAAAGTAGCTAAAGAATATGATGTTCAGTATATGATCCATGGGTTTTCAACAATGATGAAGATACGCGCTGGTGTTTGCCTACTTACGCTATGACGCAAAGAATGAGTATTGCACGTGATTTGGGAAATGGATTTAACCAATCGTAAATCAAAGCATAGCCCGAAAATAGACACGCAATAAACGAGATATAGAGACGGCCATCCATTAATTTGTAGTCTTCAGAGAAATTCAATGTCTCTTTGAAATACTAATCATATCAAGATGAATATGGTACTACTTGAACATTTGCATGTTTCTTACTTTCTTGCAAGCGTCGTCAAGTGCATTTTTAACTGCGTTCGTTTCCCATTTATTAACTTTGATGGGCTTGTCAGCTGTCGTAACCCCTGCTGCCTGGAAGAAGAGTGAAAGAAGAGAACTGTGGTTAAGAAGTTACGAAGAGACGCGATCTTACAGTATCGCTCATTGTAATTAATCTAGAAATATGAAAGAAATAGATGATTCTTGATGATTTTGATAAGAAAAGAAAAATATCCGATCTGTTTATTATTCTACAGGAAAATAATCTCTATCTGACATAGTTATATTAAATGTATTTGTTCATTCGTTTAGTTTTCAGCATCTTCGATCTTAGGAGCCAAATAGAAGCGAACATGGCCCATTTCGGCGATCTTGAATTCGCACACTAAAATAGATATAAACTCGTGAGACCGCTATTCGAACATAGATATGCACGTACTTAATGGTGTATCTTCGGAAAGACTCAAACCAACTTGAGGTGAAAGTGGTGCAGCTTTACAAAACATGCTCAAGTATCGTACAGCAAATGTTAATGCAACCGCTTCTTTCATTTCAATAATAACTGCTTCTTCTTCCTTTTCAATGTTGGTCGTTTGAACAAGACGAATACTTCCTACAGTGTATTAGTGAGAAAAAGAAATAACGACGATCATTCTGTTGGTTAGTATTACCTTGACCAAGATCACCTTTGGCGGAGAATTTCACACCTTCTTTCGTTGTGCATATAAGAACCGAGTCGCCCATAATGCTCATATCTCGACAGATACGAGAAAATTCACTGCTGGGCATCTTAATTGCGCATGAATAGTCTGTATCTGGAATACCTAAATGTTCACTATCCAAATCCATCAAACGTAACTCGTAATCGGCGAATTTATCTTGATCTAAAGGCAATATTAAATGATATCTTATCCGAGCGAAGAAAATCTCCTTACTTTGTGATTCCATTGCGATAATAATCGAATCCGAGTCATCGTTCACACGGATGGTTAACGAATCATCTTTACCCATCGTTTTCAATACTTTTGACATACTAAAATCAACGTTCATTCATATAATAATTCCATAAAAAATCTTCTCCTTCGCACCTGACAAGACTGATACCAAGACTCATATTTCGATCGCATCGATATGATTCAAAGCCTTCACTTCGCATTACGAGTGAAACTAATGCCACGTGAGAACTATCCATGGCTTGTAGAGTTATACCATTGCCGCTGCATTCCCACGTTGCTTCATTGACTAGTTCCCGAAGACCTTCAATAACTTTAGCAAAGATTGAACCGTGTAAAAGTCGAGCCTGAAGAATTGAAACAATAGAAGAAACAAACAGCCTGTACTCTGGTACGTACTTCGAACATAATTAATATTCAAATTATCTGAGATATGTGGCTGTAATATCGATAGATTATCGATGAAAATGTCGATTTATTTCTTTGTATCTTTGTATGTGTGCTGTGTCTTATTGTGAATCGGTTTGACGCGACAGACCAATCAAATATATGCACCTATTCTCAAGTACTAGAGGCCGTAAGTTTCTATTCCACCAAAACCTGGCTTTGTTTTCTCATATTAAAAAAAAATTACGGTTTTTACAATTCGAAAAAATGTAATCAGTTCTTTGTTCTTGTCGAAGTTCGAATATTACTAAATCGACGTGTGAGCGCTGATGATGGTAGACATTGTTGGGCAGTCACATTGAATCGCACACTGCGCTTTTTCACTGTTCTTGCGAACTGAAAAGATAAAACGCATCTACAGAAACATATTTTCTAAATCTCAACGACGAACATTATCTACGAGAAATTGATTCGCTTCAGTGATAACGTTTCGATTTGCCGGATATAGATTTACTCGAATATCAGTTAACGGTGGTACTGGCCGATTTTCTGATTGAATAGCTCGGTGTGACACGTATTTAGAAAGCAATTGTAGATAATAAAATGAAAGACAAAATTTCTTTCCAATATCGTAGATAAATGGAAATAGCAATGTTGAAGTGCCCGCTTTCATACCATTTTTTGTCGTTAAATGTACTAATCTATGAAAATCTGCGTGTAGAAAATCAAGAACTAAGAGTAATTTACTTGGTATTGATGAGTAGCGTATGCAGGGCTAGATGGATGTTTCGTGTGATTATGTAGACTTGTTCTTCATCCATTTCGAGACGTTGGAGTTTACCGGATTGGTGTAGGGAGACTTTGGAAGGCGAAGGTTTTTCTTGCTTCTTAAAAGTTTTAATTTGAGTATTTTGAGAGTCACTTTCAGATTGATATCCAGGTAATCGTTGGTTGTTATTCTTCGATTTGTACCTAAGAAATCGGCAAGAAGTCAGAAAAAGAAGTTATCCCTGAGCACAAATTACCTGGCTTGACGTTTAGTGGCAGTATTACACGTCGTATTTGCTTGTCCGTCGGTATTTCCATCGAACGTTGCTGCCATTTCCAGATCATCAAGATGACACTGAAGCTTGCCAACACTCGATTCAAGTAGTGGAACTGTTTGGAATATCAAATGAGGATAATGCTGAATGATATGCGCAATGTGGCGAACTTCATGTTTGAATCTATTCTCATCGAGAAAATGAAATCGAAATTTTCTCCAAAAATCTAATTTACCGGTACATTATCTTTCGTAATTCTTTGTGCAGTTCAACAACATCAGGTTCAACCGAGAGATGATGTCGAGTCGCACACATGTATGGTGCACGAATTTTTAGCATCTCATCATCTTCATTCAACTGACTACGAAGACGTAGTCCATTGATAGCTGTGAGAAATCGATAGACATAAAGAATGTTGATAACCAAACGAATGATTCGAGAAGAAAATTGAACGATATCAGTAAGAAAATTCAGAGATACGCGAGGATTTTGTTTCGGTGCACAACCTTCGAAAGATTGGTGAATCATTTTTTTTTAAAGTCTCTTGCAAATTAAAGAAAAGATTGAGAAAAACAAGTCAGCGCTCTTTTAGATTTCTTCGATAAATTTTGATAAAAACTCTGACAACGGAATGATTCATCTATCACTGTTCATAATGCATCTGACTGTTAATTCACCTCGTCGGACGGATAGAACAATGAATAACGGCCACGATTTTCTTGACTAATGTTCATCATGTACTTGAGATATGGCTCGAAGAACGTACGCTTCTTGATGTGAACCTCGACATGCTTGCAAACGACGAGGAGAGTCTCTCTACGAGCATAAATAAAAAAAAAAGGAGGACGATTAGTTTTGAGTAATATCAAATATACATGATTTTCTTCGGCAACATATACAGGAGACGTATGTCCTTGATTCGTTGTACCGTTTTGTTGGTTACTTGATCCATGCCGATGTTTCTTTCGCTGAAAAAAAAATGAAGATATTGTCATGAACAAGGATGGAAGGACAAACTTTTTCATGATTCGTTTCCGATTGTTTCACTGTCGATTCATTCGGTTGAGCTAGGTTTAGTTGATTGAACTGATTGATCGTTTGATCAACTGTTCGTTTCATTCGATGTTGAACAACGTAATCGTAGGTTGATAATCCATGATAGGCTAATATCATCAAAGTTAGTAAACTAAGAAAAAGATCTTGTACACTTACACAAATATACATGAAATGCCAGAAGATACAAAGCTAATCCACAAATAACAAGCGTGAAGAATGCAAGAATAGCTGTGATTACTTGAAATGCAACTAGTGATGACGGTATCATTAAGATTGCATATCGATCTAAAAATCGAGTTTAAGTGTGAGGTTTTCTGGTTCCGAAGATGAAATCTACCTGTGTTATAGAATGGTTTTAACTGGAGCGATGATGTTGTAGAAAATGATCCAATAAACTGAAGCAGACTATTGAGAAACATAAACAATGTACCCAAAACGGTCAAACATAACATTGAAAAGAATAGTCGATAGTTTTTTCCACCCACACAGGTATTTAACCATATACAGTGATGATCAAATGAATAAACACATTTATTACACGATGAACAATGCTTGGCTCGTTCACTAACATGTACAGAACAAACATGACAGTACAGTTGAGTAATGACATGCGGATGCTGACGACGATCGAAATCGATTCTTGGTCCTTGACTTTTAAGAATAACTTGTTCATCAGCTGGATCAATACAAGATATAATAATAAAAACAATTGAAAATGGAAGAACAACAAACGAAGAAAGAACAATATTTAGCCATTGCCATGGATGCGTTGGTACATTCACACATAATGTTAAATAGTTCATTAAGATTAGAAATGGAATGACTATCAGAGAGAGTATTTGAAGATAATGAAAGGGTAGTGAAAAGGCATTTCGACGACGTCGGGCCACGTGGGACGGATTATTCGAACCAGAGCTGATAATCGCCATCCATAAATAATCAGACTAACGAAAACAAAGGTTTCGCTGGTACTTAATGCATGTTCATTCGGAATGAGTGAGCATAGAGCATTTGATCAGAACAAATTACTGTCTATAATTCTTTTTTATTGCCCTTCTCTCTTTTCCTATGTTACCAAGATTGTCGTCAATGGTGATACAGAGAGTCTCAATTAGATGTCGCATATGTACAATGAGAAGATGAGGTGTGTACGGCGAAATCTAACTATCACCATGAGCTCGTTTATATTTTCTGTCGAAATTTCGTACGAAAAAATATTCGAACATTAACTCATCAAATGAGATACATGCAAAATGTACTAAACAGACGTGACTAGAAGGAGTGAGTTTATTTAGCGATTAAATCTTGATACGTTCAGAATTGGTATGAATGAAACCGAGACGAAGGTAAGTATCAATACCGATACGTGATACTTGTCGAAGAGTTAACGATCCGCCGAAAAACTTCGAATAGAGGCGGCAAACAGGAAGACCGAATCCATAGCCATACATTTGTTTCGATCTAGAATAGAAAGATGAGTCGAGCTTGAACCACCAACCTTCTATAACAACTTACGATTGAGTCATACGTTCTTGAAAATCGGCTAAGATATCGATATGTTTTTCCTCTTTCTCTTCGTTGGGAACATCACCTACGGGAAAGAATCAGATAAGAACATGCCGATGTCATTCGTCACCTTTCTTACCACTAAACATATATGTGAATAGTTGATCATCACTTGCGTCAATTCCACCTCCTTGATCTTTAACTGCGATGATAAAATTTTCATCAACAGGATTCGATGCGATCTCGATTGTACACAGTGGTGTATCACGATGTTTTTCAAAGTATTGCTTGACATGTTGAATGTTACCCAATGAACATTTCGTGTGCTCGACAATTGCACGCATCGAATTTTTCAACAATTCACGTAGGATATATTCCACAATACTGGGGAAATAGGGAATGGATTCCTGCATAGAATTTTCTACTTGAATATGCGGCACAACTGTATAGGTTTCAAAACATAATGAAGAAACATCCTTGATACATTGTTGAACTGCTTTCGCAGGTGAGAAATTCATACAGATAGATCCACGCCATTCGGGCTGTGTTTGTTGTTTATGTAATTCCATATAATGTTCAGCAAGTAAACGCATGGCCAAGCGTATATGAAGAACATTATCAAGAAATTCCTTCATGGTTTCATAATTTTTGAAATATTTCTGTGCTTCACTACAGCCTGTTGATAATAATCCGATCACATCGTTGTTTTGTACAATAAATCGGCCGATTAATTCTTGGAATTTTTCTTCGTCTTTCGATGTTTTAATTTGACGAAATTGTGCGAGACTTTCAAAAAGTTTCAGATAGCGTTCATGCAAAGCTAATAATGTTGGATTAACGCCAGGAAGGAATGGAATCGCTTGAAAATGGGACAAACAATGTGCGAGACGAACTAATAATTGATCATGAAGATCTCGTGCGGTTTGAATCATATCAATCGGTGTTGACTGTTCAGGTGAACAAGCATCGATCATACGATTCGGGTAACAGTATGGAATAGGTCGTTGAGAGTATTCGATTAGTTCATCGTGAGATGAAAATTTCGCTAATTGCTTAACTATACTGGAGAGACAGGCCGTGTTTGGAATTGAATTCGATGATCGAACTGTTGATGATAAGTAACGATAGACAGACATTGTAAGTACATAAAGAAAGGATAGGAAGTGACAATCGATTACATTGATTTGGGAAGACGCGCTTGGAGAAACAGAATAGTCAATATTCCTATTTGTTAGACGAACAAGCATTAGATCGACCGAATCCAAAAGTTTTACAAGTAGATGGCGTTAGTACATTACAGAATATTTTTGATATAGAATTAAGTATATATTTATTTATTCAATCTAATCGTAAGAGTACAACAAAAAGAAAAAATAGATTTGTCCGCTGTGGAAAGTAATTGCAATCCGTATATAGATAAGGATAATAAGTGAAATTGATTTAGTCGAAATTCGATTCCCCTAAAGTAATAAGACGAACAGTTTGATTTGTTGCAACGAGAAAGTTTTCTTCTTCTAATGCTCGAATGGCATCATCGAACATGTCACGTGTAATTCGTTCATCGCTTCGTTCACGGATATCATTAAATAATGTATCTTTCTTTATTGGGCCTGAACTCAGTGTTGATTTACGTTCTTTCAAATAACGTTTCAATGTCTGAGCAAGATCAGCACGAAGACGACGTTCACCAGCGCTGATACCTGTTGTTAATATAGCCACATCCACACGACCTGTCTTCGGGTCAACTGCCTATAAGATAAAGAATACTTTTTAAGGTAAACTGATCATGAATAGAGAAACTTACAGCCTGTTTCAATGCTTCACGATAGAGCCTAGAGAAATAACATGACATTTTATTATCTACGAAATCAAGACCGTTTGCTGTATTTACCGTTTTGCTTCTTCGACGTCAAGTTCTTCAACTTTGTCCGAAAGTCGAACTTTCGCATGTGCTTCAGCTAGACGAATTAGAGACTCTAACTGTCGAGGATATGCCGATATTTGTCCTTTTCCACTTCCTACTTTACGCATTTCCACATATCTAAAAGTAAACTTATCATTGTCCATTCTATTCTATTCTACGCATGTATTGAAATACTTACGAACTAACGAGTAGTTTGCCAGCAGCTTCAGTTAATAATGGGCTAACAAAAGTACGTGCATATGAAATGTAATCTCGAAGTAAATCCGTATCCTAAAACAGTCGATCAGGACATGTGTGAAATTTAAAAGACAAGAACTCACCATTGCCTCATGGTCGTCTTCACCTTCTTTTCCATATTGATACCACGAAGCAAGATGTTGTGCTAAGCGTCGATCGTAGGCTTCATCTTGTGGATCGAGTAAAAGAAAGATTAAGTCGAAGCGAGAAAGTAATGTTGGTGGTAATTGGATATTGTCAATGATCGTCTTCGACTTGTTCCATTGAGATTCAATTGGATTAGCTGCAGCTAAGATGGATGTTCGAGCATTTAATGTACAAATAATGCCGGCTTTTGCAATTGATAAGGTTTGTTGCTCCTAGCATGGAAAAAGAATTGTTATCAAATCGACGAAGAAGAGACTGCTTACCATCACTTCGTGAAGGATAGAACGAGCGCTTTCGCTCATCTTATCAAATTCATCAATACAACAAATACCATTATCAGCAAGAACTAATGCACCACTGAAATTGAGAGAATAAGATCCATTGTGCATACACGGAGCAGACGAATCTTACGTTTGAAGTACGAGTTGGCCAGTTTCAGGATCTTTGGTGACATAAGCTGTTAGACCGACGGCACTTGTGCCTTTTCCATTTGTGTACTGAGCACGTGGAACCAAGCGATAGATGTATTGCTGTAATTGCGATTTGGCTGTGCCAGGATCACCGCAAAGTAAAATATTGATTTGTGAACGACAACTTTTTCGTCCGGCATCGGTAAAAGTTTTCTTTGTACCGCCAAATAATTGTAAAAGAATGCCTTTTTTGATATCATCATGTCCGAAAATACTTGGCGCTGAAAGAGAATTAAAAATGATGAGTGTGTTACGGCACGCATATCTTACCGATTGCATTAGATAATAATTCATATATATCGGGACGTTCCGAAAGGTTACGAAATTGAGCTAGACGTTCTTTGGAAAACTTCGACGAACTAAAACAGATTGTCCTTCGTGAAATTATCAGACAAGCGAGCAAATGGCGAACTTTTACCTGGATTCTTCATCGTCATTTGTAGCTTGCCCTTCGGCGCCGCCTTCAGCAGTAAACGTTTTCTGACGACGGAAATGAATCACATCAATATATGTTCGATAAACAGAACGAACATTTCGTGTTTTGGGATTCATACGAACTGGCACCGCTCGAAATATACCAGTCACTTGTACACTACGGAGTTCTTATTAGAATTGATTACAAAGAGAACAGAATACATACCGGTCACCCGGTTGTACAGCATCGACCAGATCATTGTGAGCTACCACAGTAACCGTAACAGGTGTTTGCCCAGCTGGCATCTCCTCTAAAGAAGAATGAAGACTATTTCGCTTTGAATTGATTGACTGAATTATTAACCTGGTGTTTCTTGTAATTTGATAAATTGTTTATCGGCAAATAGCGATCGATTATGAATCAATTCAAATGAGTGTGCTGTGTTACACGATGTGCACACAGTTGGCTCAGAAATTCTTCCACGATCGATTTCGACTTGAACATGAAAGCTACATGTATTACAAATGAAGTACGCCGAACGCATCTCAGGCATAATCAGTGATGAACGGATGACCATGCCTGTTAAACTGACCAGTTTGTCGATATCTAAAACCAACGAATTCAAACGACGTTTAACACATCATTCAAATAACCTTCCGGATCCAAACACCGCATATTTCGAAACATATCCACATTGTATGGTCGGACTTGGATTTGATGTGGAAGGGTGTCATCTTCATACATAGTGAAGAATAGTTCGTTGACAGCAATATCAAATATTGGAATAACTTCTTGTGGATAGGCAAGCAATTGATGATACAAAGTTTTATCAATTTGTTTCATATGTATACAATCAACATTGAGAAAAGGGCGTTCGAGTAAATGAATTTCTTCCAGCTTTTGCATATAGAATGGTTTTGTTGGATCGACACCTTCGAGATTTGCTTCTTCAACATTCAAATGAAACTTTTTCAAAAATGCAATAAACCGACGTTTGCAATCGTTGACGTGAACATCGGTACCCCAGATAACCACTTGATTGTCAGCTGTGTTCACATCAATATCGCCTTCCTAAGAAAACCGTACAGTTTTACATTTTATTGCGGAAAAAGTGACCGACCAATTCTTCCTGCTCGTTGACCAAACGCAATTTTCGCGCGCTACCAAGATCAGATCGTGCTCGTGATGGCGTTGACAAGGGTGTTCGGCCGCTAGGACACATATTGCTATGCGCCGGTGATGTTGTGAACGTCATTGGTGAAAAAGCCATTCCTTTTGTTTTCACAAATCAAAAAGTAAAGATTTAATTGATAAAGAATGGCAAACCTCGATTCTTATTTGGTGTACGACCGGGCGTAAATGGCATTTGAAGGACAGAACTTGACGCTGGACTTGCAATAGGTTCATCTTCTTGCAATGCCGTTAATGGATTTCGCTTTTTTGCTGCTGCAGAAAAAAGAGATACAGATGAAATGAGTTCAGTTCAGGAAATTCACTAACGCGTTCGTTGTGTCGAACCCGGTGTTTGTTTCGCCGGTGTTCGACGTTGTTTCGATGGTGTACCATTTGATTTCGACGGAGTTGTCATCTAGAAAAGTGAACATATCTTTTTTACAAATTATCTGGTGATTTTATGCATAGAAGGAAAGAAATTATTTTATTTAAATAATATTCGTTTCAAGTTTTCGTGTTATTGTTACAAGATGTTCGTGCATGGAATTGGTTTGTTCATGGATAGCATCAAGTTTCTCTTGTAAATTTATATTTGTATTTCCCAGAGATAAACGTGACGCATTAATTAACCGTACAAGTTGTTTCAATACACAAACGAATTCTTCATGTAAACGATGATCCAAATGGATTGCATTATTGGCATGATTATGATTCGATGGATTATTTAATGAACGAATCAACATGTTTAACTTTAGCATATCGCTTGACGAATCATTCAATGGTTTAATTATTTTTTGTTGAATGATTATAAAACGTTCGACGATGAATTGAATATTTTTCAAAAGATTATTTATATTATGCATTCGTCGATCTGAACTTGTATCCATATGAATCAATAAACGAATGATATCATCGAGATATTCATTGACACGTTTGCATAATTGTATTGTCGATTGAGAATTATTATGGTATGAACACGACTGTGTTAAAGCACAAGGTATTAATGGCGGAGTTGATTTACTTGTTTCAGTTGCATAAGGAATGTTTAATGACGTCGACGGACAATAGGAAAGTAGCAGTTCACCGTTTAACATTGGATGATTTGTTTGGGATTCAAAACATGTAGTTGTGTTATTATTATTCATTGTGGATAGATTCATTCCGTGGATCATTGAAATATCTGGAGCAATCGCTGGATTACATGATGGAACTGATGGGCCAGTTTTCGAATAAAGATCAAATGGACACATATCGAGAAAGAAATCCAGAGGAATTAAAGATGATTTCGACATGATGGTTTGAATGAATGGAGAACAGAATGTGCATGTAAAAGTCGACTGAATTGAACAAATAAGTAATGTTTTAGAAAGACCGCGGAACAAAGGACACAGACGACATTGGTTATTGTCAACAGATATCCGAAAAGATGTACAGTAGGTTCTCGATGAATTTTTTCCGAGCGAATTTTTCAAATAATCTAATCAATATATACAGATTGCCGAGAAAGAGGTCGCTCATCTACTCGAACATGTATCAAATATAGTCCAAATAAAGGAAAAGATGTATGATAGCATGATAGCACATTGGTTTTCACTTTGATTCGTGTGCGCACTTCTTCATAGCATTCATCATCTCAGAAATGAAGAAAATTTATCAAGAGTAGAACGTTCGATAAGACTTTAATTTAGGTTCTTGGCAAACACAAAAAGTCATGAAGAGAGCGTTCTTATCTCGGAAGACAAAATTTCCGTCTGGCTGGAAATGCATTAATTTAAAATGATGTTTTTCTTATTATTTTGGATATTCGACTGAAGATCATCACGGTTTCATCCCGTTCAAATGAAGCTTTCGATTTTGAATAGAAAAATGCTCTTCAAGGTCAATCAGGCGAAATGCATTGACTGCTTTTACTCAACTGAACGACCATCAAGATTCATTAGTTCGTTGAAATGTTTGTTTGCCTACTCTCTGATCGCTTTCAAGTGAAACAATTGTTTTCAACTACTGTTCATACATTTCAATGTCAAAAGGCAAAGAACAGGAATAATTGGAAGATTTCGTACTGATTAACAAATTTATTATCGAAAAAGCAAACAAATGTTTTTGTTGACATTCAAATCGAGTCAATAATTGAGAATGTCCGATGATGAACAATGTAGAAAAGGACTTCCTCTTTTTTTAATTTGAACATTTTCTTACGAATAATCATCGATTTCGTGAAATTTTCAGGAGACAGAATATGATAAAAATTTGAACCAAGCAATTATTACAGATAATAGATTATTCAATAAATACACCAAAAAAGCGGACTTTCCGCGGCGAATATTTTTGGTAGAACAGGGAAATTATGAACTTTTTTAAAATGAAGAAGAAACTTATAGCTAAAAATTGCAAGAGACACATTTTTAAATAACTTTCGTTCATGTGCTATACTTATTTTAATTTCAAAACTGCGAAAAATGTTTCTAGCGCTACATTCATTTATCCCAAAAAATGGTGATATTTTCTAAAAAACCTGTCCCTACAATCTCTAGAGCAGTTTTCTCTTTTGAATGGGAAACACGATCAGCAACATTGTCGAGCAAACTGTATCATGTTTTGCGTAGATGCTGATTGCATACTATGCATAAAAGAAAAGAGCGTAAAAAACACCAAATTTTCTTTATATTTCCGGAAATAAAAATTAACACGACTTTCGAAACTAAAATTACGTTAAAGTTCTACTGTGTCGTCATCCGCTTAAGAATTGCCTATATTCAATGCAAGGTCAAATTTTTGCAAGTGCCCTTACAGTCATCCCAGCAATCTGACAGCAAAATTATTGACGACTAAACAACTTTCCAATATTATTAATATAAACAGGACCGCATTACATCAACATAAGCACAAAGAAAAATGACTGAAAACACAACCTGTTTCCACTAATGCTTCTAATAAACGCACCAAACCTGGACCAAACAAGCTTTGTTCATATCATATTCATAAATATTCTGAAGGAAGACACTAAAGACTACCAAAATACGTAGTTTTACAAAAAACGATTTTTTGACGACGGTATACTCTTTCATTCTATTTAAAGGAAAATATTCCTGGAGTAATTTGGATCATCTAAGGCGACGTACAATACATATATATACCTAACGTTTAAACCCATTGTATTTTATATTGCAGTCTAAACCCACGGCAGTATTCGTTTAGTTCATATTTATTTTTTCATAGAATCCTTATAAAAAAGCAAGGAACAACGTTTATTTTTTTGACTTCGTTTCCTTTAACTCAGCAACCATCGCTTCCGATAGCTTGAACTTTTGTACTTTGCCCGTCGGTGTCATTATGAATTTATCTACAAATCGAATGTGTTTCGGAATCTTGAAGAATGCAAGTTTGTCCGTCAGAAATTTAGTAATATCATTGACTGTGCATGCCGGTGCATTTGGTTTCAGTTTGATCCATGTACACACTTCTTCACCGTATCGCTCGTCAGGAATCGAAAAGACTTGTGCTTCGGCAACACTTGGATGTTCGATAAGAGTGTTTTCAATTTCTACGGGATAGATATTGATACCGCCACGAATGATCATTTCCTTACGTCGTGTAACATAATAGAGATAACCGTCTTCATCCATTTTAGCTTCGTCACCAGTTCGAAGCCATCCAGAAGGAGTGAGTGCTTCTTTTGTTTTTTCGGGGTCATTGTAATAGCCCATCATGATCGGGTAGCCGCGTGCCCAAATTTCGCCCTGTTCACCGATGGGTACAGCATTGCCATTTTCATCGGCTACTTTGACTTCTAACCGTTGCATACATCGTCCCAATGATCCCTGACGTCGTTTTGGATCACTATCACCGGCCCACATGCCACTCGTCAATATGGCACAATTTTCTGTCAATCCATAACCTTGGGCTATCCGTTTAACTGGTATTTCTTTCTCTAACTGTGATAAGAAACTAGAGTGCATTGGACTGGCACCAATTGCACTGAATTCCAACGAGCTTAAATCGTATTTGCTCTTGTCAGGATGTGTTAAAATATCGCGAAAGATAATCGGTGCACCGATAAGAGCTGTACATTTTTCTTTGTGAATACTTTCCATCGTCGAAACAGTGTCAGGTAAAATCGCCGGGAAAATTACTTTTGCTTTGGCTACAGCTACATTTAGTACACCGACGATTTCCGAAAACATGTGAAACATCGGAATAGGAACACAGAGACGTGTGAAGAATTGGCCAAGGTGCTCCCATTGAGCATGCACTAGATTGAGCATGCCAAAGTTACTTAATGTTGCAGCTTTCGGCTGACCGGTTGTACCCGATGTGTAAAATATGGCTGCCGCCGAATCAGGATTCACTGTTGCTTGCCGTTCTTCCAGCGTCTTGTGTGATAGTTTACTTCCGCGCTTCACCAAGTCATCATACGAATGAGTTCCACCGCTCTTCGATCCACTATCTATCAGTATCACGTGTTTCAAAGTTGGAAGCGCTTTCGACGACAGCTCACGAGATGTTGAGTGACTATCCAGTTCAGGAACCACCTTTCGAAACAGATCTAACGATGGAATCACTTTCACCGAGGGTGGTAAAATCAACCCTTTGCATCCCACCTTGTTGATGCAATACTCGAGTTCGCGACCAACATAAGCAGGATTGATGTTCACCTACAACCATTCTTCTCAGAAATCGATGGATCAACACAGTGTCGGCTCACTTTGATGAGACCTAGCTTCGATGCAGCATAGGTCATTGCCACATTCTGTGAGGTGTTCGGTAGCCACACCGCAAACCGATCATTCTTTTCGAATCCGAGTTCGAGAAGAGATGCAGCTAGACCGTCGACTTCTTCTTTGAACGACTTGAAAGTATATCGTTTTTGTTCGCCTAGATGATATATGAAACTGACTAGTGGCGGTTGTGGAAGAATAACTTACTAGAAAAGACATAGCACTCATGATCTGGATATTTGGCAGCAGTCTCGTCAAAGTTCTGACTGATGGTTTTGTAGACGAATGGAAGTGATGAGGAATGATGAAAATAGCTGGAGGTTAGTTTGGCGGGTGGCACAGCAGAAGAGGAAGCTTGTCGAAGTTTGAGGTGAAGAATGATCCATGATGCTTGTTGATGAGTTAGAAAACGTTTGGTGTTTGCGATAAACATGATTTGAGCTTAGGAGTATTCAAAGTCCAAAGATACACGTGCACCACGTTTGTAGACGTGTAGTAAGACGCAAGAGAATGAAAAATGTTTTCTTATCGTTCGTTCTTGCTGGTATAGTTAGTATGTGCGTGAAAGAATCTAAATATAGTTAAGAAAGGAAGAGAAACGCAAAGAGGTAAAAATGTTGGTAAATATTGGAAGGTATGGATGGGTTATGTCAATCTAGATATCGTAGTGTGTGAGCAGATTTATACTGTTTTGTGGGACTTGGATTATGAAACACTGCAAGATGATTTGTTCTATTGTGACAACAATTATTTTTGTCTGCCAAACAACAGATTACTGTATAACCATTCTGGTTTGTTCATAGCTTGCAGAAGAACGCTACATATAGTTAATACACACCAATATATCTGGAAGAACGGACTGTGAGACCTTATAGATACTATATTTAAACTTCCTGAACGAAGTCATAGGATGAGACCGGAAGGTTAACGCGCTCGAGCAAAGTACATCAATCACCTTTATCAATTTCCACAAAAACATACTATTCTGGAAGTTCTCCACCAATGAATGTAGAAAACTGTGCTAAATCAATAAAATCCTCTACACAAAAATCATCGGAAGAAGAGTGTTTATTTTTTCGACTTCGCTTCTTTTAACTCAGCAACCATCGCTTCCGATAACTTGAACTTTTGTACTTTGCCCGTCGGTGTCATTATGAATTTATCTACAAATCGAATGTGTTTCGGAATCTTGAAGAATGCAAGTTTGTCCGTCAGAAATTTAGTAATATCATTGACTGTGCATGAGGGTGCATTTGGTTTCAGTTTGATCCATGTACACACTTCTTCACCGTATCGCTCGTCAGGAATCGAAAAGACTTGTGCTTCGGCAACACTTGGATGTTCGATAAGAGTGTTTTCAATTTCTACGGGATAGATATTGATACCGCCACGAATGATCATTTCCTTTTGACGACCTACGTAATACAGGTAGCCGTCTTCATCCATTTTAGCTTCGTCACCAGTTCGAAGCCATCCAGAAGGAGTGAGTGCTTCTTTTGTTTTTTCGGGGTCATTGTAATAGCCCATCATGATCGGGTAGCCGCGTGCCCAAATTTCGCCCTGTTCACCGATGGGTACAGGATTGCCATTTTCATCGGCTACTTTGACTTCTAACCGTTGCATACATCGTCCCAATGATCCCTGACGTCGTTTTGGATCACTATCACCGGCCCACATGCCACTCGTCAATAGGGCTGAGTTTTCTGTCATACCATAACCTTGAGATGCACGTCCAATTGGTATTTCTTTTTCCAGTTGTGTTAAGAAGTCTACATGCATCGGACTTGCTCCAAGAGCACCAAAAGTTAACGAACTGAGATCGTACTTTTTCCTGTCGGGATGCATTAATATGTCGCGAAAGATAATCGGTGCACCGATAAGAGCTGTGCATTTCTCACTATGAATAGCTTGCATTGTGGTGACTGTGTCAGGTAAAATCGCCGGGAAAATTACTGTTGCTTTGGCTACAGCTACATTCAGTACGCCGACCACCTCTGCAAATATATGAAACATCGGAATAGGAACACAGAGTCGAGTAAAATATTGGCCCAGAAGTTCCCATTGAGCATGTACCAAATTGAGTATGCCGTAATTCGTAAGTGTCGCCGCTTTCGGTTGTCCGGTTGTGCCCGATGTGTAAAATATTGCTACCGCCGAATCAGGATTCACTGATGTTTGCCGTTCTTCCAGTTTCTTGTGTGATAGTTTACTTCCGCGCTTCACCAAGTCATCATACGAATGAGTTCCGCCGCTCTTCGATCCACTATCTGTCAGTATCACGTGTTTCAACGTCGGAAGCGCTTTCGACGACAGCTCACGAGATGTCGAATGACTATCCAGTTCAGGAACCACCTTTCGAAACAGATCCAACGATGGAATCACTTTCACCGAGGGTGGTAAAATCAAGCCTTTGCATCCCACCTTGTTAATGCAATACTCGAGTTCGCGACCAACATAAGCAGGATTGATGTTCACCTACAACCATTCTTCTCAGAAATCGATGGGTAAATACAGTATCGACTCACTTTGATGAGGCCTAGCTTCGATGCAGCATAGGTCATTGCCACATTCTGTGAGGCGTTCGGTAGCCACACCGCAAACCGATCATTCTTTTCGAATCCGAGTTCGAGAAGAGATGCAGCTAGACCATCGACTTCTTCTTTGAACGACTTGAAAGTATATCGTTTTTGTTCGCCTAGATGATATGAGACTGACTAGTGGAGGTTGTGATAGGATGACTTACTAGAAAAGACATAGCACTCATGATCTGGATATTTGGCAGCAGTCTCGTCAAAGTTCTGACTGATGGTTTTGTAGACGAATGGAAGTGATGAGGAATGATGAAAATAGCTGGAGGTTAGTTTGGCGGGTGGCACAGCAGAAGAGGAAGCTTGTCGAAGTTTGAGGTGAAGAACGATCCATGATGCTTGTTGATGAGTTAGAAAACGTTTGGTGTTCGCGATAAACATATTTTTTGAAATCAAAATGTAATGTCAGTATACAAGTAGAGAAGGCACGTTATCAAATGTAAAGCATTTTTCCTCATTCGTTGGTTTTGTTTTTAATATTTGTGCGGAGAACGGCGAAATCGAAAACACCCAACAGAGAGAACGAGAAAGAACTGATGAAATTTTACACGGAGGAAGTCACATGTTTTCGATAGATTATTTTTATAGGTGTTATCATTCGACGTCACACCCTACTATAGTACGAGAAGTTCGCGATTTGATATAAATGAAAGTTCGGTCTTGGAACAGTATTTATTAGAGAGAATACGACGTATAATAATAATATACAATTGCAAGATGAAAGAAAGTAGAGAATAAAGTTCGGTAATATTACTCATTGATTTTATCGAGATTGGAATTTTTATTGTCGGCTGATTGATGATTCCCATTAACTAAAAATAAAAACTGATGAGTTGAAATTCAAGACGAATCAATCTCTTACGAATATCCTCTTGGTTTGAAGATGATGCTGATGGTTCCTTGTTTGATGTCTGATTCGCGAATCGTTGTTGTTCTTTTCTCTGAAAGTACAGTTTCCACAGAGGTTGCGCTACCTATTATCTTGAATAAACAATACCTCTTGTCGACTCTTATATGCAAGAGCGATCAAACGCAGTTCTTCACGCCATGCTTCAAAGCGATAAGCAATGCGAATCGCTGGTACATTCGTGCGACGAATATCATTCCCCGCAACTCCTGGCTCCAGATAATCTGGCCCAAGCCAATACATTTTCACCTAGAAACGATCGCGTATAAAGTCGACATATCAGATCAGTTTTTTTTTCATTTACTTCATGAGAAAATCCACTCATTAGTACGGAATTACGTGCTAATTCACACATATCAACAGCTGACAATTTCCATACTTGAGCAGCAATAGAATATTCTTCCATCAACGGTTCCTAAGAGAAACGGGTTGAGTTCATTCTCAATACTATTCACAGCTCAAACTTTAGTGAAATGAAATTGCATTGGATCATCTGTAGATAACGATACACACAGGCCGCGTTCGAAATATTCTAACATTGGATTACGATTGTAGTTAATAAATAACGAATTATTACTCAATGGTGACATAGCAATACCAATTTGACATAGATAAAACAAATATTGTAAAACAGGCGACTAGAACATCAATAGACATGAACTTATCTAACATCAATCATACCTATACAGACTTTGCGCAGGAGCAAGCCGTGAGCGATATTGTCTGCAACCATATATGCTGTGACGAGATGTGTTACAGCACCTGCTTCACCACAATGTGGACGAAATTGAAATGTATTCAAGCCTCGCGTTCTAAAAAGAAAGAGTTGAAAAGCTAATTCGAACAGAGGAGAAAACTACCTTCGTAGTTGATTCAACGTCATAATATTTGCATACATATAAAACTAAAATACACGCTGATCATGTACACAACAAATGTTTTTCATTGTTCATCTTACTAGATAGTAAACATAAGGTGGATTATCGTTCGTGTTCCACTCATCTGGATGTGGCATATCTGGGGTGAGAATCGGTCGTTCAGGTTTGGTTTCATCGTCAACTGAATCAAAACCGGTTAGATGATGCATAAAACGAAATAGTTCGGGATGGGATTGAGGATCAATTGTCGCGTCGAACAATGGTTTGAAGAGATTGGTTAGAAATTCTTGAAAATTTTTTATAATACCATTTGAACGATAAACATTACTAAGGAGAGATACTCTTGAATTTGAAATCAAACAAATTCAACATACTAAAGACGAGGAATTTGAACCATCCAATTGACATTAGCTGAATACATCGTATTAACTATCGCCCATTTCGCTAACTTATCCCATTCATCCATACTTTTACCATAGATTGATAGCCGAGGTTCGGCATGTTGATATTTACTATCTTCTAGATCAGCTATGACTTCCTACAAGCGAAGATTCAACTAAAGCATTTGATTGTTTTCAAATAAAATCTACTTTTAATAGATCAGCAAAGAAAACACCATCGATGTAATTATCAGTTTTCAGAAAGATTTCCCTATGTCGAAGAGAAGTCAAATAGGATATTATTCAATCAATTCTATACACTACCGTAAGATACTCTGACCGAGTGGATTGTATTTCGCGTTGAAACGATCAAAGCGTTGAAATGTATTTCGATCCTGCGAAAAAAAAAATATTCTACACTTTTCTCATCAACATTCGAATTACTTACTGCGTGTACACCGAGCATATCGACACTTAGATCGTAAGCTGTGATATGCAATTCATCGAAAACTTCTTTCAATGTCATCAATCGTCCATCTTTTGTTTTATGCACATACATATCGCTGGATGTTCGCAGTTTTTTCTTCATGAACCGTAATAAATGCTTCTGATTCATTGATGATGCGGCATGAATATGTGCGTCGACTTTGCGGACGTTATAGAAGTCACGATGTGGGGTTGCTTTGATTGCTGCCCATTCTTTAACTTCATTGAGTAAGCAGTGCAGCTCGAATTTAGATTTTAGATATTGTAGACGACGATAGCAGAATGATTTCAACGGCCCATCGGTAATCATTGCCGATAAAAGTGTGTAATCATCAATAAATTGATCACGATCGATAATCGGATACTCAGCTGATACCCATTCCTTCTCATCATTCAAGATGTAAGCTGATGGAATACCTTTGTCCACTTTCACACACATATCCACTGGCGGAAGTAACGGAAGGTTGAACGCATCCTTACGTTTGATCACAGGCGGATGGAATGGATGAGGTTCGTCTAGCAAAGCAAAGATATAGATAATCATTTCGATACGGATAACAAAATAGATGTTAGGCTAATGCTAGATGAAAAAGCAAAATACCAGAATCTTCTTCGTTAGTTTTATCAATTGTTATTTGTCGTGAGATCGTATGTGAAGATGCAGATTCATTATGCTTTTGGTGTAACTCTTGGCTAAAAGTAACAGCATTCACTCTTTGTAGAAGGCCTAAATGAAAAGAAGGTTTCACGGCAAGCACACGCACACACACGCAAACAAGTATAAGTTCAAAAGAGATACAGATAAGAAGCAAAACAAATGCATCAAACGAAGATCAAGCAGTCATACAAACCAAAAGTAGGATGGAAACCAACGCTGGATGGACGGCGTGATTGCTCTTCGGATTGCAATGTTCGTGTCAAAAATTGTGCGACGACAGTTGGATAAGATTGTAAACTGAAGATCATATATCTACGAGAAAGTAAGCGAAAGTGATTGAAAAACTATTTGACGCGAGTTTCAAACTATACTTTTCTCGTATAAGTAAAGCACGAAGTAATGGAGCTACCGATTCGTCTAAATCTTCAATATGACACATATCATGGAAGTCTCCCGTAATTCGAATTCGTTGAAATATTTGAGACATATGCGGGCGGTCAAGAGACCCTGGACTTAACCCAAATGAGTGTTGTTGAAAATATTTAAACAAGTTATCTGTTTGATCAGAACTTGTTACTGGCTGAAATAAACCTTCAGCGTTTGATGGTACATTATCGTTATGCGCTTGATCGGTATTCTCATCTTGCGATGCCCTACAAAATTTCAGATCGGATATGATGCAAAAACTTATTCGTTTCTAACAAACCGATTTTGTACAGCACGCTGAATTTCATCTTGCAATGAACTAGCCATTTCAAGCGGCATGTCGCCTTCGAACATTTCCATCGCTAGTGGACCGCCAAAGCGTATATGACGCCGTTTTTTCAGTTCATCAGAAACTTCGTTCAGTGATGGAATAGCTTCAGGATGAATAACATACGTTGGATAGTCAGGCTTTTTGTTCACTAAAATAGCCAATCGAATCGCTGAGAAGATCGCAATCAATCCAATTTACTTATAACGGATCGTTGTTCTTGGAGTTGCTGAGACGATTCACCAGAAGTACTGGACAGTTGAGTTTGAAGCACATTGCGTGCATCGACAGTTGTCTGTCGATTCCATTCCTGATTCGAGACCGGTGCTGGTCGATGGCCAGCTGTAATTTCGTCATTCGGATCATTTGAATCCGTACTTGTCATTGTAATATCAGAAAACGGTACAATTGAGCGTCACCTGACTAATAAATCTGGAAAATACAAAGCGTAATAAAACAATATACACTAAATACGTACAAGGACACGTTGAGTAGGATGAAATATATAAAAGGAAAGAGAGAGAAAAAAAAAGAACGTTTAGCCGATAGTAACAAAGAAGCAATATACGCATATACATGAAGCCGTACTTCACGAGGTATATTTTTCTGTCATGTGCATTCGCGGAAAAAAAACTAATCGATTCAACAGAAATACAACTGTAATTTGCTCATTTTTTGTATTTTTTTTAATCGATGCCGTTTTCTTCCTTTCTTTTTAACAAAATGAGTGCAAACAAAGTCACAATGCGAGATATGAGTCATAGAGACTTTTTCTGTTGCTTGCTTGCTTCCGACCAGCAGTTGTTGCTATCAATTTTTAACGGAATACATGATCGTACGTTAGTTCCAGTTGCAAGATGTTTTATGTTTATTTGCATCTTAGAAATTCGATGAAAAAGCACAAAACACTCACCTAAGGACGGATCCATAGGAAAAAAGAAGATGCGATAGGAGCATAGAAGAAATAAAAACGAAAATTTAGACGACCTCTACTGACATTTACATAAAGATTGATTTTTTTTTTCTCTCTTACAATTAAACATATGGTTCAAGGACAAAAAGGAAAGTTCGATATTTTCACTCGGCGTTAATTGTGATGTCGCGCAATGCCAGATTGCTGTTCGACGTCTTTTAAACTAAGACCAACATCTTTCCAAACCTGTGTCAATGCTTCGACTAATTGATCAATCATTTCACTGGTATGATACGGTGTCGCGGCAATACGTAAACGTTCAGTTCCACGTTCAACAGTCGGATAATTAATCGATTGAATGTAGATTGAGTGTCGATCGAGCAAATGGTTGCACAGAAGTGTAGCAAGTGCAGCGTTTCCCACCTGAAATTCGAAGTAGATTTCGAAAAGAAAAGGATTGAGAAGTTCATTGTCATACGTGAATTGGAATGATGTGGCTGGGCGACATCATGACTGGAAGACCAGCATCGATTAATTTCGATCGTAATTCACGAACATTTTCTTGTTGCTTACGTCGAAGTGTGCGACCTTCGTCACTCATAGAAATCTAGACGAAACTCATGTCAATGAATGTTTCCGCTCATCCATTCGTACCTTAATTGCAGCTAAAGCGCTAGCTAAAACTGTAGGCGGCATTGATGTTGTGAAAATGAAACCTGAACCATAACTGCGAATGAAATCGGTCATTTTCGCACTGCCAGCTATATAACCGCCAATGCTCCCAAATGCTTTACCTACAAAACGAGTTTCCCCGTGAAGTTTTTCCTTCGATAAAAATCATTTACTCACCAAGTGTACCAGAGATAATATCCATTTTATGAAGCAGATGATCACGCTCACCAATGCCTGCGCCATTATGACCATATAAACCAACAGCGTGTACTTCATCAATGAATGTAATGGAACCATATGCACGAGCAACATCTAGCATGGCTTCCAAATTACAAATTGAACCTAAATCACATCACATCATTTATTGATCCCTACGACAGTCCATGCAACAATACCATCCATTGAGTGAACTGTTTCGAAGGCGACAATCTTTGGTATATGTCGCGGAATTTTTTTCAATAATTCTTCCAAATGTTCGACATCGTTATGTCGAAAAATATGCTTTGGCACTTGACTATTCCGTATACCTTGAATCATCGATGCATGATTTCCGCTATCCGACAGGATGTGACAGTTCGGTAAACCTTTTGCTAATGTATACAGCGTCGTATCATTAGCCACATAGCAAGAAGTAAATAACAGAGCGGATTCCTTTTGATGGAGACGAGCTAACTGTTGTTCGAGTTTTTCGTGCAATGGACTCGTTCCCGATATATTCCGAGTGCCACCGGAACCAGAACCATGTGCAGTGACTGCATTACTAAAAAGAAACATAATAAAAATTGGAAACTAATTTGAGAGTACTGTTTCCTATTGACGCTCGAAGAAGTTTCTCACATGATAGAACATTTCAGAAAATACTTACATGACAGCTTCCTTCAGTTCGGGATGCTGACTTAAACCTAAGTAATCGTTGCTGCACCATACTGTCATCGTACGAGAATCGTGGTCTTCATCAAGATGCTTCTTCTCTTCAGCTTGTGGAAATAAGCCACTTCTTCGTTGAACGCGCTTGAAAATTCGATAGGAATCATCACGCTTTTTCGCTTCGATCTTCTCGTCGAAGAATGTATTGTATTCAAACAAATTCTTGTAATCTATCATTGGTCGGATTGGTTTTCCTGTAAGAAAATCTTGTAAAACAACATCGACTAGCAGAAAATAGTACCTAGTTTGCCGTTCACTTCAATTATATCTTGATCCATATCTACTCGACGAAGAGCAATGGGTGTTGTCTTCAAAAACGGACATGAAAGATCCGTACATTCGGTAGAGATGATAACTTTGAGAAAGAAAAGAACAGTTGATATTTAAGGAAAACCACTTTCTACACATACTTTCATTGTAAGAATTCAATGCTGTTGGTAATTTGATTTTCGATATTCGTTTTCGTTCAGCAATTTTCTCATGAGCGGCTTTGATCTCGTCGAAGCTCGGAGGAGGCGATGAAACTTTCATCGATGTTGCCGTATTCGTCGTTGCTGTCGACATTTGTCGTGCCAATTGTCCAAAAATTGGACACGAAGCAGCACCTGTATTGAGGATATACGGTGCTGACGCTCGAACTTGTTGTAAGGTCAATTGAGCCAAGTACGGACATTTGTAAACTGACATTGCTTCTGTATCAAAAGATATGCTGGTCTAAAAATATTCACCTGTGTTCTCTTTTTTTTTTGATGAAAATATCTTGTGACATCAAGCAGAATTAGTAAGAAATGATTAGACACTTTTTCTGCTTTTGTCTTGTTTGCGTGATGGAAGCAATTTTTTTCTATTTTCTCTTCTTTTCGCACTTACCTGCGTTTCCTCTTACACAGTAGATCATCAAATGTTCAGAAGAAAATAAATCAGCCGATGAAATAGCTTTCCGAGGATTTCAACATGAAAACTTCCATTGCCAATTCCCTTGCAAAGAACCCACTAGAAAAAGTAACCGAGTAAAAATCATACGAATCAAGATTTTGGCTCAGATCTGATAATCTTATCTGACTAGCAAACAAATGTCGATTTGATCACTATTTATAAGCTGAAAGAGTGATATGGAGTGCGAAAATAGACCTATTCGACCGACATGTGGGGAATTTTGAAAAACTACAGTCGGATATAGAACAGGTACAAAGGTTTTATTTATAAAACTGGCTGCATATAGATCAGTATGCAAAGAAAAATCCCAAACAAATAAACCAGATGTATTTACAGATGCTCTTCAACATGCAACGCAAATATGCTATTGCATATTCAAATCTTATCTTTTATGTAAATTAACATTACTCAGAAAATGATAATTGAAAGCGAGCGAATGACTCAAATGAAATTCTGTCAATTTTCGTCTTTCTCAACCGCAAAATCATCATCAATAATTAACGAATAAAAATCAATGCATAAACCTTCCCGAAATAAATGTCTTCGAACAGATGGTGCTCGTTGTTGGAATGAATCTGACTGGTCGAATTTGTCTAATTATTTACTTTCACCCACATTCTCTGTCATTCATTCGTAAGTCAATCACTTGAATATGTCTCATCAATCGGGTATTACTGGTACGGATAATTAATGAAAAAAAAATCTTTTTTTATTGTCTTCTTCTTCTTTTTTTAGCGACTGATCAACTGCGCGATAAATTTGCTGATATGAAAGATGGGCATACGCGAGTTGTTGTCGTTGTCATCGAGAATGGTTTGATCGCTTGATTGAGCTTAAATCTTCCATAAAAAAAACATATTTTTTTATCATAGAAAAACTTGTCGCAAAAGAAGAACATAATGCCGTTCGGTCATTCAACGAAGGTAACATTTTAACGTGCAAAAATGGTGAAATTTTCGTTTGGTTTTCTCAGATTTTGACAAAATGGTCCCACCGTTAGTTCACCACAAACATCCTGCCTACTTCTTTATCCGATTAGACACAATTAGCGAATTGAGTGGGCATAATTGGTTACTAATCACTTATATTCCAGACGATGCAACAGTAAAGAAATTTTCTTGTGGTAAATCTTAACTTTTTTGTTGAAAACATTAGGTACGCGAACGGATGTTATATGCATCAACAGTTGCAACATTAAAACGAGAATTTGGCTTAACTTACATTACCCAAGAATTTCGAGCGTCATCAAAAGTAAATTCTATTTGAAAAGAGTTCAATCGGTTCGAATTTTCTACTTACTAGAATGAAATGACTAGTCATTCATTTCAACAGCACGTACGTACTCAAGATGCACCACCTCCACGAACAATGCGTGAGGAAGAAATGCTTGAAATTCAACAACGCGAAGTAAATTCTTCTTTATTTCATTCTTGGGAATAATCATGTACGTTTTATTTAGGCTTCTGCAGATATTAGTGTTGATACTCGTCATCCCACCTTACAAGGTTTAACATTTCCCTTCGATGAAAATGTTATTGAAGCAATACATTTGTTTAAAAAGCACCAAGTTGATTATATTCAACTAGTAGGCATTTCATTTCTGATTAAACTTCAGCACAAACGAAGAGTTCATTTAGGAAATCGATGATGACGCAGAACGCATTCTGTTATCTCATTCCGAATCTCATGCGACACCGGAGCATATTCGAAAATGCCTGCCAGACCAACAGGGAAGATATCATGTATACAGATTTAAACATGACTACAACAATCAACCTATCGACTCAATGTGTAAAATTGCTCAAGAAACAAGTTTCTCATAATAGCTAATGTCTTCCTATGTGATTTTAGTCTTTCTGTATTCTGTTCCTGGACATGGTTCAAAAATCAAACAACGAATGCTGTACGCTAGTTGCAAAGAAAGTGTCATAGAAAATCTTGAAAAGAAGTACGGAATCAGTTTTGAGAAGAAAGTAAGTGTTTGTTTAGTCACATGTTATTCAACCGTATTTTCTTTTCATTCAGTTGGAAATTTGCGATCCAGCGGATTTGACAACGGACTATCTGATGCAACAACTCCATCCTGAAATTGCTGCAAACGCGGCTAAATCATCGTTTGCTAAACCGAAAGCACCAGGTTCGCGCGGCCCTCGTAGATTGTTGAAAACGACCGATGAATCCAATGATTAAACTGATTGTCTCTCTCATTGTGTTCTTTTTTTTTGTAATATTCTGGTCTTGATAGTTTTCCTCGGACATATTCAATATACACATTTACAATAAAATTTCTTCATCGACTTCTTTTCCTGTTCTGCGAACGAATCAGCCAGACTTTGTCAACATTCTTTGTGTTCCAAGTAATAAAAGATGACGAGTGAATCTAATCGAATCTTTGAAGGCTTATTTGGCATGACGGCGAATTCTTTCCTAATCAAATATGAATACATGTACTCGCCGAGTGATCCGACAGGAAACGTTGAAAAAAAAACTAATTGAATTACGGAAGAAAGTACAGAATTGTTTGATGCGTTTCAATGTTCAATTGATTTGACCTTGGCCAACCATGTCATTCAAACAAACTTCTGATGAACTATTATTGGATCTGCTCTCGAAACAAGAAAAGACAATCGTCGGTTTTCTTCTTCTTCTTCTTCTTCTGACCTTGTTGCTAATTGATCATTCACTATTTGATTTGCAATATTTTAAAAGCACACATAGACATATGTATTAATATATTCTTTTCTGTAATTATAAAATCATACGTGATCGATCATTTTGATATTCTAGTCAGTGACTAATTTCGTACTTGGATATTTAACAAAGAAGGTAAGCGAGACTGTGGATGAATGATGTGCAGAAAAGGACTCATCGTGTCTTATCAACGATGATAATAAATGTTTATCGAACTTCTGAAGTATCTCACTTGAGAAATACATACTACCTCATCAATTCTGTCTACAGCCTAATTTGATTATCTGTTAAATAGTTCAAGCGATTAATAAGTTGTTCACGACATGCGAAGCATCACGTATGAGTTTGGTTAACTGTCGAGTGAAGAGATGTCGACAAGTCAAAATTGAGAAGTAGCATTTGATAATAGATATTACATAAGAGAAGCTAGACAAGAAGCCGAAGTCTTTGCTGTACTTTTTCTCTTGCCGTTACTTAACAAACACGATTGATTTTGTAAATGAAATATACAGTTATATGACTTGTTACTTTCAATTTCAACTAAGTAATCCGTTTATTGACGTCTAGTTTTCGTTCGAACCACGTACGAGAGCGAGCGAAGCACATGTATTCAACCGTAAAAAATGTTCAGTTACGACACTTACGATAATGTATGATTTTTATCATTTTTGACGAGATCGACTTCTATTAAATATAAGCCCTGAGTTTACTTCAATGAGATACGCTTGCATATTTCTATTTTCTCCTTTGTCTTCGCATTCATTCATCATAGACGTATAGGATACATTAATTACATCAGACGCAAAAGCTGAAGTGCAAATCAGTACACATGTGGGTAAATGTACTGAAGGATTTTTTCTACATTTATCTGTTGCTGATGAGCCCATCTTTTTTTTTAATATATTCATTTGACAGTGTTCATTAGGGTTTTTTTTTCGAGACCAATTTGTGAACATAGGAGTTACTTTTTCTCCTTTTCTATTGCGATGATTAGACCGGAAAGAAATGCGTGTGCGGTTGCGACAAAGAAGAACGCTGAGAAAAAAAAAAGAAAAAAATTGTGCTCGACAAGAGAGAAAGTTCACCAAACTAGTGCTTGATCATTCCTTTTTCTCGTTCTAGCCCCAGTCAGGACATAAACGGAGACACGAGACATAGACAGTGTGTATGCGTGTGTGCGTATGAGTGTCTTATGAACAATGTTGTCTCCAGCATCATCATCACGGCCTCCACGCAATCCACCAGCGATCGCAGATTCTCAATATGATATGACGACAGGTTATTCATCTTCATCTTATACAAGATGGCCTCGAGCACTTGCTAAAACTCCGAACATTGGTCGAGGAAGTCACTCGATATCAGCTCGCCGCAATCAATATCAAAACGAACCATTCTCAGATATTTTACATAGCCAACATCCTCAATCAGGAGGTCTTACTTACGCAACAGTTCACCATCCACGACGTTCATTATTAAGTAATCTTCTGCCGTAAGTAAACTTCTCATTTGCATTCCTAATAGACAATCTAATCTTCACATATGAAATGAGTTTTTTCCCACATGAGACAACATTTTGCTCCTTCATACAAATAGATTCCAATCAGATGACCTCTGTACGATATCGGTATCTGTAGGAAAAAAAAAGAGATCATCAATTCTAACCGAAATATTGACATTCTCAATGTGACATCAGGAGATAAACATCGAAACGAGTTAATTATATCACTGGCAAAAAAAAACCATAGATAATGTAATCTGAATTTTTGTTTAATTTAGATAAAAAAAAAACTTATCTTTTTATTGATGTCCTTCATCTCGTAAGACTCGCGTCTTATTTTTCTGCGAGTCATTACCGTTATATCATCCTCTGTTTCTTTTTTTTTCTTTCTCTCCCTCTCCGCCGTCTTTTTCTACCGTCATATTGATAAGGTCATTGCCGGTAGCAAACCAAATACAACATATCAGTGTTCTTGACGACATTTGAATCCAACAATCAATTGTTTATTTTTTCCTCTCGCTCTCGATCGATATTTGCGAGATGAGATCGATCAGGTATGATATGAAATCAATGCTTAATGGACCAAACATTGTCCAGCATCAGAAAAGGAAAAAGAGACGAGAAAAAAGGAGAAGAAAATTCGCCTATGAAATATTGTTTCACCTGTAATAATCAATCTACTTTTCACTTGTCGATTCTTTTTTCTCTTCGCTTCTTTTTTTCCTTTCCAGTCAATCATGAAACTATCTTTGTGTGCATCAATGTATTAAATACAGAGTCTTGTCTCCTTTTTTTTCTCCCGTACATTTATTCTACCTTCTTTTCCTTTGAAGCGTGAGGTACAATTGAAAAAGAAGAAATATTACGTCTGGTTTGTTTCGTTTGTTTGCATTCGATCTTATTTATCACCTGCTGTTTCTCTCATATCGTCATTTTGTACCTCAACGGAGTTAAACTTCGAAGGCTCTTTTTGCGCTTCACTCGCGTGAAAATAATATATCGCTCAGACGCTTGTTATCGCTCTTCATTATTCCATGCAAACGACTGTTTGATACACCCATACGTGTCCCTTTTTCTCGAACATACTTCTTCGAATCTCGCATTCACGAATTCGTCTAAGATCAAACAATGGCATTTGGACAAATTTCATACCAAGCATCAACGAAACGTCAGAGACAACGATATCCCGAACAACATCGTTCGCGTTCATACGATGATTTACTAGCCGAGTAAGATATCTCGCAAACTTGCACGGTTTTTTCGTATATGCTTTCAACTAGAAATTTTCTTTCTTATTTGACGAGCGTGTAATATAGTGCGTAATTAAAAATGTGAAATGATTTGAGACCATCTACCGTTCAGTGTTTTTTTTACTTGTGTGCATGTAGACATAAATATATTATTGAGAATTAGAAACGAAATTTATTCATTTGTTCGATGGATTAGTTGAGAAAGGAAAAAAGAGAGAAAAATAATTAGAAACTGACAATAAGGAGAACAAAGATGACATTTACAATGGTTACACTTGAGAGGTCATTGTATACATATATGGAGCGAATAAGAATAGAAATTCTCTATTTTGATTGTCTTTCTCCTTCACATTTTACTTGCGGTTTCACATTTGGAGGCAAGAAGAAAAAAAAGAGTGGAGAAAAGACATTGTCGTCGACGTGCTGCCTCGTCAAGTATCATTTCATCTGTTCGCTTGCGTTCGTATTTGCTAAGGCGAGTGTACATACATGAAAAAAAAAGAAATTCGAAAAGAAAAATACTAAATGAAAAGAACGAAAGAAAGAAAAGAAAGAAGACGATGAAATGTTATTTTCTGTTGTTGATATATAAAATCATCATCTGGCCAGTTCATTTCTTCTTCTCTTCTTTTCATCGTCATTCTCTCGCATACTTGTGCTTACTATTGCTTCAAAGATACTTCGTACCGATTACATAGACAACGGCGATGACGACAGAAGCAAAAGTTGTACAGACACACGTTCACATTGAATAACTCTCTCCTATCGTTTCTCTTTGACTATCTTCCTCCTTCTTCTTCATACAAAAGACCATATACGCATCGGTATAGTTCATCTTACACTTTCGAGTATACTGAGTTATTATATAAGAAAAGAAGATTAGACAATGATTGCTGTGCAAAGTTCTGACATTGATTCAATTGGTTTTTCTGATTATTACACTCAAACATTAGGACATAGCAGGTAAAACAAAGCGAAACAGACGAAAACTACATAGAAAAACGACATATTTTATATTGTTCAGTTATTCATCATAAGCAAAGATATAATTATTTTTTCCCATTGTGTACATAACGTACACATGTATTAAAAATCTAATTTCATCATACGCTTAATTAGAAAAAGGCTTGTCATATGCTTATATAATTGAAGGTTTCATTAATCATAGAGTATGAACAGAATGAGAGAGTTGAACGTTGAGATCCATTCACAATATTGATTTCCTATTGATCTTCTATTCGAAGGATATCCAATGGTGGTCCACCTGGGAGTGTACGGCAGCGTATGCGGCCAACGAATTGGTCTAGTTTAGGCAGCCTGAATAGTTTTGGTGAGTCAACCACCACTCCGCCATCGTCACAAGAACATACAGGTAGTAGCGGAAGCAATACAAATGGCAGTGGACAACAACGAGAAACACTACACAGCCGATTTGACTTCAAGCAAACATTGGGTAAAGGTACATACGGTAAAGTGAAATTAGCGTTAGACAAACGAAAGAATGAACAAGTTGCAATAAAAACAATCAAAAAGTCTCGTATTGAAAATCCACACGATCTAGCCAGAATTCGACGTGAGATTGACTTTATGACAAGTCTCAATCATCCGTATATTATTCGAATAAAAGAAGGTAAGAAGACGACGGCGTCGCTCCGTTTTGTTTGCTTTGAAAAGAATGTCTTTTATTAGTTTATGAAAGTCGAGAAAAGATTATCCTTGTCATGGAATATGCGAGCGGTGGTGAATTATATGATTATCTCAATCGGATGAAACGCATACCAGAATCTCAAGCACGTGCGATTTTCCGACAAATTGTTTCAGCTGTTCATTTTCTACATAAAGTATAGCCAGCCGAGTAGAAGATTTTCCAAGGTCGTTAACTTCGCTTTCTTTTAGAATAATATTGTTCACAGAGATCTCAAATTAGAAAATATTCTAATTGATCATAATGGTGATATCAAAGTAAATAGAAAGAAAAACAGATCTATTTTGTGTAATGATCATATATAATCGTCTCGGTTTTCTTCTAGTTAGCAGATTTTGGTCTGAGTAACAATTGGTCACCACGTCGATTACTGTACGTTAGAAAAACTCTTCTTTTACGGATGTATGTGATCTTCTAGTTCTAAATAGGCATACCTTCTGTGGATCTCCTTTGTACGCATCGCCCGAAATCGTTTCCGGTATTCCATACTACGGACCTGAAGTACGACGATTTCTTTTCACTTTCGCTTGATAAAATCATGTGATCATTGACAGGTTGATTGCTGGTCATTGGGTGTATTGCTCTATACCCTTGTCTATGGTTCAATGCCATTTCAAGGTGGTGATTACAATCGACTTGTACGGAATATAACATCAGGTGAATTCATTCAACCTCGTGAACAATCAGGTAATTAGATTTTTTTCTGTATTTCTATGAAATAGATATTAATCAATGAGCAAATACACACATATATATATATATATTTATATATAGAGAGAGAGCGATATGTGTGTACACATAGAAATATTGTCCTCTATCAGTCAGTATTCGAATCGATGTAGATCGATTCGGATAGTGTCAGATGTCAAAAGAGAATCGATTGATCCCTTCTCCACTTTTCGTATCATATTATTTCTTTAACAAATCGAAAACGAAATCTATAGGCGCACTCGGTCTTATCCGTAAATGTTTAACGGTACTACCATCAAAACGTTTCACTGTTGATGATGTTGCCGCGCATTGGTGGGTTAATCTTGGTTATAAATATCCACCCGTGCATTATTATTTGACGCCAGCAATGAAAAAAACTGGTCTCTTCATTCCATCCCATCTGCCCGCATTAACGTACAATGAATCGAATGGCAACGCAGTAGACTCGAATTCGAAAACAGTATCATCATCAACACCTGGTTTCTCTCACCAATCAGTTCACAATGGTGACACGACAGATAATTCAACGAAATGTCGACCATTAACGAATGGTTATCACTCAGTTCCTCGAACACATCGATTAAATAGCAATAGCGAACGAACTTCCAATTCAAGCCGACGGACATCTAAAGAAAGACATCATGATACGACATCATCTAAATATCCTCCACGTATTTAATGATTGCTCTCGAAAGAAAAAGAATCTCAAATCATATTTTTGTTTTTTTTTCATTGTGTTTCTTTCTCTGTCTTTCATTTACTTCTTTGCCACATCTGAGACTAATCCATTCCTCTGCTTGAGCATGCGCGACTATAAACTGAAAACCCTTATTTGGTGACGGATTGCTATTTTTTAACATTTTTTTTCTATTTTATTTCATTAATATCTTAGGTGCATTTTCACTTATCCAATATTGCTTGAAACCAGACGCTAATACACGTGCTACAACAAAAGATATTCTTCGTCACGATTGGTTAGCTCACGGACCTGTTCTTTCAATTCGTTTGAGTACGACAACAACATCCGCATCACAATCTATTCCCGACCAACCGAAAACCACCGATTACGACAAGATACGTTTACGACCCAAATCAACAATAGAAAAGTCCTTGTCACCAACAAATTCCCTCGTTGAACTTGAACTACATACAAGTTCATTCTTTGATACAGCTCGATTACGTGATAAAACATCCGTAAACAAAGATCAACAACGACGTAATCGAGTGTCAGCAATACCTATACCTACACGTTATCTTTCATCAAATAACAACAAAACAATTTCTTCCTCATTAACTCGTCCTGTCCAACGTCGACCAGTTAGTCTAACACTTGATGATCAACATTCCACAGATGATACATCGACCATACATTCGATTACTAGTCGACGTTCTCGACAAGTTGGATCTCCGACAACGACAACATCAGGAACTACCGATCAATTTCAGCCACAACAATACTCTATACCTGCTCCATCAGATACATCACGTTATCGCTTCTCGACCGAATTAGATTCAGCATTAAATGATTTAAAAGCCACGGCAGGAATTTATAAATATGCTCCACCCAAGAAATCTGTTGCACCGAGTGTATTTACAACATCGACGATTAAATTTGCACCTGCACCTCTTCGACGAATGAATCCATTAAAAGATCAAGAAGATTCGTCTTCGCCTAGTACAGCACAGCTATTAAATACTCTAACCTCTAATTCGTCTTGTCATGTTGACGATAGTATTAATCATGCTACTTCTACTACTAACAATAATAATCGACATTCATTTTTAACTTCATTTGAATTGCCAACCAAATATAATCCAGATAAAAATCATTTGCTCGATGATAACAATAATTTCGTTTCATTAAAAGTATATGATTAGTAAGAAGAAATCTTTCGTTTGTTTGTTTGTGTTTTTTTTTCTTCATTTTCTCACTTTTCTGTGATATTTTCGTTTCTTTCCTCATCATTATCTTTCTTTCGCTTCATAAAAGACAACAACAGTAGTAGATGTTCGTACAATTCTTTGGCTCCTCTCCATTTTTTTTTATGTACATCTAATTATATTACGCGTCTTATCATTGATCTCTTCTTCCTTTGTTCTTTTTTCTGTTTATTTCAATAACAGTTTTCGTGTGCTCATTCTTTTTCTCTCATTCAGATTGTACAAAGAAAAAAAGAAACGATATATATTGCTGCTATAAAAATATTTATTTCTGTGTGCGTGTATGTTCAAAGGTTGACTTTCGTTCCCTTTCTTCTTCTTCTTCTTTCTTTTTGTCTCCTTTTGTATAGTGTGAGAGTGAGAGTGAAGGCGTAAACCTTGAAGAAAACATAATAGAACAATTGTGTCATTTTGTGCCTTCTTTTTTTTTCATTTGAATACTTTAATTTTACATTGATAACAAGGTTAAGTTTATTATTGTAAAAGAGAACAATTTTCAAGGAGATTTATTCGAATAATCCATTAAAGTCATCAACGATATGTCGAATTATGAAAGTGCAGGAATCAAACGTATGCCGTGCCATCGTGCACTTTACTTAAACTTATCGCAAAGATATGCAACGAACTAATCTTCTTCTTGGTGGTTTTTTTTCTTCTGTTGACAATAAAGATCGTGTGTGACATAAGAGATCGCAATTGATTTTCACTTTTCATTTCTTGTCGATGAACAACAAATATAGACACGCGTAAGACAGTAGAAGGTCAAGAATTTGACAGAAGAAGAAAAAAAAACAGGACAATGGTTGATGACAACAACATCAAATTAAGTCTAGAGGTCGCTGGTGTTTCTCTAGAGAATCGACTAAAAACTGTTTCCGTAAAAAAAAATACAGATACACAGAGAAAAATGAGATCCAGTACGTATATGTATATCAATGCTCAGATTGATTTCGTCTATGTACATTGTTTTCTTGGAAAGAAGAACGTGACGTTATATACAGATGAGAAGGAGAGGTTTGTTTCAAACAAGAAAATCACTGCATCCGACGTCGAAAAACAAAACAGAAAACGTATAACAACACCGAGCAAGTTGAGAATACAACAATATGTACGTACGAATGAGAAAGAGGAACACAATGTAGGAATATACAAAATAATCGAAGATTTTTTAATGTTTTGTCGACATGTTTAGCAAAAGTAAACCCATCAACAGCAACTGACAATTGGATATATTGTAACGAAGAAAAGAGAGAGAAAAAACAAACGTGAACACAATATGCGTCTTTTTTTCCTAGTCTATTTATACATATACATAGATAGGTGGAGATCTTTTGTTTTCGCTTTTTTTATTTTAACAGAATGCATTCTATTCTTTATTTGTTATTTATATCAATAAATAGATTATTGAAATAGAAATTAATCACAAAACTTGCATACGTTGAAGACGTTGAGTTAATTTTTCCGACAGTGTTGAATCTGATGTGGATAAACGAAATAAAAGAAAGAGACCGACTTTATCAGCGGAAGCGATCCAACCATGAGTGCCTGGATTAGGATTAAAGCGAATCTAGAATACAAAAAACAGATATGTCACTATAAACATCTGGAAAAAGATCATTCGTCGTTTACTTTGCGATATGTATGCACTTTGTGAGTTTCATCATTTTGAGTATCTACATTACTACTTGCGTATTCCTGAAATAGAAACAAGTGTTCGAATGATTTAGAATGCTCCAGGAACGAGAACACGAATATGTCGATGGGAGTAAGAATGTACAATGCTATTCAGATGATAAGACACAGATTAGTGAGATTAGAATAGCTCGTACGCATTTCTGGAATATCAACACAAACTTTTCGTTTGTATTGAATTCTCGTGACACATTGGTTTCTTATCACATACAACTTTCGAAAAACAAAAACGAATTTTTGCACTCAAGATAATTACCGTTCTTTCAATAGCAATCTGCACACAATATTGACCAGTGGGACTTTGGTTGTATTCTACAATCGAAGAGAGAATGATTCAAATAGATATTAGTCGATATATTTACGTTGCATAGAAGGATCTCCAGGCTGGCCAGTACCAGGACCAGTTAAATACGTGGATAATTTCGCTACGCACTAGAAACGAACAAATATGTCGTTGTTTTCAACAAGGATTCGTTTGTCTTACAGCACTGGGTCGAAATTTCGGATTACTTTGAGGCCATGTTGTTGGATCTCCACGTGAAATCCACACCGTACCTGAACAAAATTTTGATTCTAGATTACAAAATCTGAAACAGTCGTATCTTTACCATCGAGATCAGCATAGGCAACTGAATCGATCCATTCGGAGTAATCCAAACTAACAATTTGCCATGCTGATAACATGGATGTTGGCATATGATTAGGAATATTCTGACCCGGTAATAAAATCGAATGCGTCGGCACCGAAAGTAATTCATTTTGATTACTAAAATCAAGTTCAGTCAATTTTCTTCGAATCTTAATATGCTTCCACTTACTTGGCATGTGCACAGCCAGCATATAGTGTATCGTGAAATATTGATGATGCAAATTCGCTTGCATTCGACCAATGACGATAGCAGAAAATATTCTCATCTCGAGTTGTCCATACTCTATGAAAATAGAAAAGCAAAGTTGAAATTAGTCGCTTTCAAGAAATGTTGCATGACATACGTCCAGGATTGTTTGTTTTTCAAACTAATTGCAATTAAATGTTCCGAATTTCTTAAGAATTTCACATCTTGTATATGAGTATCTTCTATGAAGAATCTTCTCACAGGATAAATCAATGAGCAATTGGTTGTCTAAAACAGAGATTCGTCGTTGTTTTCATTGTAAAATGAAAATGTAACGTTTTACTTGTTCAACTAAGGATTTCGAATTTAGTTCCCACATGAGAACAATTCCATTTTCATATCCGGCACATAACTTATTCGGATTTTCATGACACCAATCTAACGCTGTACATGAACCATATTCGGCACAACCAATACTACCGTCTTTGCGACGATTCAATGGTGGAACTAGTTGAGCTCCACTACTGATGGTACATAGATTTCTCGATGCACCATGAGGAACACCGAATATCAAGACAATTCCTTGACTCGTACCGATTGCTAGATAACTTAAACATGGATCATTCACAGCTGGCCGATCGGGTAACCATTTCAGACATGTCACTTGACCGAAATCAGCAGCGACAGTTACGTGTAGATTAGGCACGTGCAGACTTTGTCTTAGCCGGCCACAATTAAGTATTAAAAGTAAAGTTGAACCAGGCGGAGAACGACGATCAGCATTAGCATAATTTCCGTGTAATTGATTGTTCGCATCATAGGACCATTGTTCAAGTGCGAGAGCGACATATTGACTACCGATAACATCGACACCACGTGGTAGCCATTCAATACAACGAATAGGACGGCCAACGTTGAGGACAATAACATGCGAAGCAGCAAAACTATCCAACGGATTGAGAAATCGATCGCAGGAGAGCATCTTCAATTAGAGAAACACAGAAAAGATTTAAAAATCGCGAATCTGTGTGTGACCTACTCGAACACGTAAACAACTAGCACCATTACTTAAGCAAGCAGCTGACTCATTTTCAGGTATGAGTTGTCCGATGATAGTCGATGGTGCTGAAAATGGTATACGACCATTAGGTGGAAATTTGTATCTACCAAAAGCAGCACGAAAGGCTCGATCATTGATGCGACAAGGATCCTCTACAATTGCGTATAGAAAAACACATTCAATCTACATGTTTGCTTATGTTACCTGGACATATATCATGTGAATCATCATGATAAAGTTCTAGATGATCGCATACACTGCTCACCGATGAAAATGGAATGCCACAAAATTTACAAATTGCCATAACTAAAAGAAGAGATTTTGTTTCAAGACAGAAGCAAAGACGGTGAAATCGTTTTACCAGGTCCTAGTGGACAATCCGTTTTCAAATGTTCTTTTAATTTTTTCAATGCTGTAAACTGTGTTTTTCCTCGACATCGATGACATTGAACAGCACCTTCCGTACGTAAGCGTGTATTGATTTCTTGTTCCTGTTCAGGCAACAAAGAATCAGTAGCGAATTCAATATGCTAGACAAACAAGAAGCAATTCCAAATCGATTCCGATCCGAGACAATGATCTGTCTACCTCTCTCATTCTTGAACGAGCAAGTTCAGCCAATTCACTACTGATATCCACACCACGTGGCGCTGATATAGCAGTATTTTTGTTTGGATCATTCTAAAGATGACAATAGGTGAACAATCTTGCAATTTTATGATCATTGATATTCTCATTGAATTGACATTTACCATGTCATAAAACATCTCATTGACATTCAAACGTAGAAAATATTTACTTTTATCATTTGATCGTGAAGAACAACTGGACTAGTCATTGTCGGAGTTAATGTTGCACCTGCTGGATTGATTAACGGGTGTTTGACATAGTTGCCGAGGGGTGTTGCTGGCCCTTCAGACGATTTCGTTTTCGGGGGTCGACCACGTTTGCGCTAGAAGTATTCTGTGAGAACAGATTTGGTTCGTTAGATTCGAACATACCTTAGGATCATTATCATTCTGATCAGATTTGATAATTGGTAATGACATATGTTGATTTAACATTATTGGTGGAATATTGTACGTGTCGAGCGCTCGGGGTGAAACGCCTGACGCCATCGTTATCATTTGATTCATCATTTGGGGTGCTGGTGGTGTTAAATCGTTGGAATTCTTCTTTTTCTTCTTCTTTTTTGAGTTCGGTGTTCCACCGGATGCTGTAGCGGCAGGCTTGCGTGAAACGTCAATTTTATCTACGTTTACAGCGCTACCTTCTTCTGTACCCTTGAAAATAAAAAAAGAATAGAGTCACTCGTCATTCGTTTTCTTTCGTCGAAGCAAAACTTACATGTCGAGCTAAATGTGTCCGCAACGAACTTCGATCAGCTAATTCACTTCCACACATAAGACAACGAAAAAATGCTTTCGGATAAGGAGATTTCGTGCATGAATTGTATAAATGATAACGTATGCCTTCTTTCGAAGCAAAATCAACTGTACAAAATGGACAAACGAAACGTCCTTCACGAAATGTTGCTTGTCGTATGACATTAAAATGCGGCAGATCAGGATATGAGAAAAGTCCAGACTGGTGTCGTATATGAGACCATGCTTGTGGAATAGGAATCAATGCTAACATATCACGATGAATTTCAGCTATATCATGTTGTGTCTTCACCGTTGTTTGTGATTCATCTTTCTGCTGTAGCTGTTGTTGTTGTTGCGTTTGTTGAGGTTGAGATTGATCAATATCCACTGATGTTAGCTGAGGATCTGTATCCATTGGAACAGAAGACGAAGAAGGTACAGTAACAAGAGGTAATTGAGATGGTTGATCATCTGGAATATCTTCATCGAGTGCTTGATCATGAGCAGTAACTTGTTGTTCATCGTGGACTTGTTCATCAGTTGGAAGAGCACCGACTGATTCATCATTCGGATTAGTATCTACAGTTGCGCCACCACCTGTAGCAATTAAATGCATTAAACCACTGGAATCGATTGCATTTTGTTGTGGATGATCATCAGTAGCCCTGAAAAATACGATGATTTTCTTTGTGTTCTTTCAAAATGTATGATTTACCATGGCCATTCGTTTGCAGTTGGCTCTTGTTGGTTCGATGATGACTGTTGTACATCACCAATTGAAGACATATGATTTGAAGGCGAATCTGGATCAGCCATTGATTTTGGTCACCGATTTTTTTACAGCATTTGTCTTTGATCAAATTCCTAATAAATAATGACATAGTGAATCATCAAGTCGACAATAAAACGATATTAATTGATGTGTTCAATAGATTAGGACAACGTGTCTTCACTCTCTTCTTCTTTTTCTTTCTTTTCTTTTTCTTTCTCTCTTTTTCTTCGCACACGACTTTTCCGAAAATCCAGAACAGAAGAGCGAGATACACATACACACACGCAGAAAGAGAAAGAGAAGAAAAAGACTCGTTTTTTCGCTCCTGCTTTTTCCTCTCGTCGTTTGGTTTGTCTGTTCGTCTTTTTCACTCTCGCACAGATGTTAAATATCTCTTTCCTGCCTCATTGGTAACTGTCATCATTACTATTAACCCATACTTCGTCGTTCTTCCTTGGGAAGGTAGCTGAGAGAAGGATTGAAAATATGATGGAAAAGAATCAATACAATCGAATACGAAAAAAAACGATATCTACTATTCAACAGTGAAAATCAGCGAACAAACCGACGAAAGATATAGAAGAAGAAAAAAAGCATGAAGAAAGGGAAGAAGAGAGGCGCGTAAGAGTAAAAGGTTATTGTTTTGCCATTTACGTTGACATTGATACTCTTCATCAGAAATGACAAAAAATTTTCGAAGAAAAAAACTTCTTTTTTCTTAATGAAATAAACGAATTCTTGCCGAATGTAAAAAATTCCATTTAAAATGCATTACTTTAGTGCATAAGTGTGTTGCATTCTTGTTGGTTCACGTCGAGCCAATCAGATATCGGAGATGAGTTGCTAGCTCTAGCCATCTTATTATTGAAAGTCATGATAATAAGAGATCGGAAATACCACATATAAACTTAATTCGATTGTTTACATTTCTTTTTCAGACGATATGCGTGTACCATACGCATCATCTTCTTCTCAAACCGACCTTGTTCATCAAAACTTATGTGAATATCTCGATTCTGGCACGTATTGTGATTTAACTTTGATAGTTGGCTCTGAAAGGTTTCCATGCCATCGGATAATCCTTGCCAGTTCATCCCCGTACTTTCAAGCGCTTCTTACTCACATGTTCAAGGAAAACGGTCTCAGTTCGATCGAACTACATGGTATTGAATCGCAAACATTCGCAATTCTCCTTCGTTATATATACAGTGGTAAAATCGAGCTCGATGACAAGAATGTTCAAGATTTATTCATTGCCAGCGATATGTTTCAATTGAATGAAGTTGTTCAATTTTGTTGTCATTACTTATCAATAAGTTTAAATGAACAGAATGTCATTGATGTGTGGAAATTAGCGAATGAATTAGAATGCCTATCTTTGAAAGCGGATGCTGAACAATATCTAATAACACATTTTCGTAATTTACTTAAACTTGATCTGATAAAATCAATACCGCGTGATTTGCTAATCACAGCCATTTCAAATGATAATCTCATCGTTGATAGCGAACAACAAGTCTTCGAGGCAATCTTAATCTGGTATTGTAATAATCTGGATCAGCCTGTCGAACAACTACTTGATAACGTTAGATTTGAACTTATATCAAAAGAACATCAAAATATCATTCTACAACAAATTGAAATTGTATGTACTTGAACCTAGGAATTCTTTCAATCATCTGTCTTTTTAGAAAAACCCATCGACAATACACCGCATCGAGCAGAGTATCCATCAACGTGAACGTTCATTGTGTAACACTTCCACTCGACGTGGTGCAAAGCAAACATGTTATATATTCGGTGGTTATGGTTTGTCTACCGACGATACAAATGCACATCTTTTGACATCATCCTATCGTTGTCAACTGCATACCAGTGATAGTCCAATATCGTATACAATCGAAATCGAACAAGTTCATGGCGATGAAATGCGCTATCCGCGAATGCATCATCAAGCTGTTGCACTCGGTAGTTTAATTTATGTTGTTGGCGGTGAAGACGGTGATAATATTTTCAATTCAGTGGAAATTTTTGATCCATTGTCAAAAGTCAATAGTAAACAGTGGACTCAAACAAGTTCCATGATGACTCCACGTTGCAATTTCGGTCTAGTCGCTTTAGATTCAAACACATTGTATGCCTTAGGTGGCCATATTGGTGCTGACATCACATCGTCAATCGAACGATTCAATTGTAAAACTGACGAATGGATTCTATTACCGTATCGATTACAATCACCATGTTACGGATTTGCTTGTGTGCATTTAAATGGTTCGATCATCTGTATAGGTGGTTTTTGTGTATTTAATTTACCTGTGAAAACAACTGAAATTTTCAATACGACTACTGGTCAGAGTTATTTATGTACCGATATGTTTGAAGCGCGTGGATTTTGTTCGGCATGTCTTGACGAAGAAAGCGGGAGAATCTTTGTTTTCGGTGGTGCAGATGCTAATGGAAATGCTTTACGCTCTGCTGAAGTTTATAATACTTCCGGTTGCCGATGGTTTCCTTTGCCGCCAATGATATTCAACCGTATTAGTCCATGTGTATATCGTGTCGGATATTTGATCATTGTTTTTGGTGGACGAACAAGTCTCGACCGACATTCCGAAATTCTTCGAACAGCTGAAATTTTCCATATCGAGAAAAATATTTGGATAAGAATCAATGATGTTCCACTTCAAGTGTACGGAGCAGCAGCGATTCTTCGTTAAACTTATTGTTAATTTGTTTTTAAATGTGCCTATTTTTTATTAGTATTTAAATATTCTATTTTTGCAGCCGAAATAAAGAGAAAGCATCGATCCTTTGTTTTGAGAACGTGCGGTCTCAATAATTTCTTGCTCTACATAATGAAGGAGGGAAGAGAAAAGAATGCTAACTATTATTATTGGATACTTAGGAACTAAAAAATCTGGAACACTCAAAGCGAGAAATTGTCAAATGAAGGAGAACATTCTTGTTTCTGTGCGTACATTCGCGTGTCGTGTCGAATGGAAAAAAGAACAGAACAGAACAGAACAGAATAGAATAGAAAGAAGAACGTATATTTTGTTTCGACTTCGCACGGCGTGGGAGCCGAGAGCAGTTTTTATCGTGTCACGCCGTAGCAAATCGTTGCAAAAGAAGCTATGACGCACACATCGCTTCTCTCGTACTGCGTTTGTGCGTTCTTATCACAAGAAAACAGGGCAATGTACCCGACCGCAAACAGCCGTTATTATATATATAGCTGGATGTGATATGTAGCCCAAGCTGGTTTTTAGTCATCGAGGATGAAATAATCTCTTGAATGATTAGAACGCTGTCCTACTTATTCATACGTTTGATTTCTTTCTTATAATGATATGTAGATCAATCACACGCAAAAACGGAGCAATCAATTGATGGATATGTGTCCTGTTAATGAGAAAATGACCAATGGTGTATCTAAGCCAAATTCAATGGATCCAACGACATGCTCAATATTACTAGTGAGCCGATTTAAAACACGATCGTCATCACCACCGCCGCCAACCTCGCTTTCTGTATATGACTCCAGTGATGAATTGGATGAATGTAATTCTCTTACTGAAGTTCAACGCGTAACGAATAAGAAATCACCAACGAGCCCATCAAAATCGATTATTCTTCCTGGCCCTGAACTTAAAAAGTCACAATCGGTAAAACTCACAAATATATCGCTCGCCGATTCAAGTCCAAAAAAAGCTGTTCGTTTTGCCGACGATTTCGGTTTAGCTCTAGATCAGATTCGATTGATTAAAACCGATGAATTACCACGTGTTCCCAGTGGAGCCTTCAAAGATTTACAAATTTATGACTACGAAAATTCATTTAATTCCGAACGATCCAAAGTAATCAGCTATATGCAACCACAATTTGAAAACCCGATTCATGCTATTGATTTTCACAATCGTCTTTCACAGCAGAAGATTCTTCTGGAACAAGCGAGTAAGTCGGTCAAAATTCGTTCTCATCTAATAATTCAATTATAGATGCTATTGATAATCGAATCTATGGCACTGTAAAACTGATTTCTTATGGTTTACATAAACGTGTGAAAATTCGTTTAACAGCCGACAATTGGTTGTCTTCGAAGGAGTACGATGCTTCTTATATATCAAATTCTTACGATAGCACCTATGATCGATTCTCATTCACAGTCGACATCGAACGGCAGCGAATATGTGCTGGGAACAACATTCAATTTTGTCTTTGTTATGAACCATTCGGCGGTTCACAATATTGGGATAACAATTACCAACAGAACTATCGATTTGACTGTTTGTCAAGAATAATACCCGATTTTACTAGTTAGATGAATGCAATCGAATGATCTGCGTTACTTTTCTAATCATGTGATTCTTTTCAATGATAGTATTTAGACCCTCTTGTTATTTTTGCTTTCCCCTTGTACAAATTCTTGTTTTCTTTAGATTTTTGAATATAATCTGTAGACTAGACAAGTTTCTGTTCCTATTTTGTTCAGTATATTAAATATACAACAAGGAAAACAAAAAAGAACACAAGAGTTATCAATGATTTAGTTGGATTGTTCAATTCGTTCGATAAGTGTGTCACACAATTTTTGATTACGATGCTTATGTTTGACATTTCGAATTTCGGTAATAAAACTTTCCGGTGCGCCTTGCAACTCTGTCGCGAATCGAACAATCGTATCTGAAAATATGAAAGTCATTGTTAGACATCAATTCGCTCGATCATTCATTTACCGAAAACGGCATTTTGTACTTGAGTATTTTGATCATCCATATGTATTAACAACACTTTCGCAATATCTTCCAAATGCGAACGGTAAAGTTCAGCATTAAAATCTCCATGGAACGCGTGAACATATGCATTCAATGTTGAACATACAGCAAGTCGAATATCATCATTGACATCATCTAAACGTTTGAGTAAGTCTGGATATGCTTTGTGCAATCGATCGTTATCAATCGTTCGAATAGCATCGTCATTGGAAAATAGTGCTTGAAGAACGTAACAGCTGTTCATTCGAGTTAAACGATCGTCATCATCTAACATGCCCAAAACGGAAACAAAAATATCATTTGTCGATGATGAACACTATCGATTGAAAAAAGAGAAGTTTGCTTCAAAACGGTATGAACGTTTTCTTACCTGTTGAAAACTGAATGATTTCGCTTGGAACAATGACCACAGAGTAGCGATCGCTGTTGCTCGAATAGCACCAGCCGTCCGACCTGCTTTCCACTGCATATTCGGCAAAATACATTCGTTGATCAGCATCGTCAAGTACGGTGTTATTTCCGTATTCACATCCGGCTCATCGATGAATTGAAGTAAGCTAGCAATTATCAGTAGACATTGATTGCGGACTTCAGGGTCACGCTCAGGATTCATTACTGTACGTAGTATGTCAACAATATCTTTCAGAAAATGTCGATTCGATGCACCTGAAATTCGTATTTCTTTGTACTTATCGATTCGAGCGCGGTTTTGTTTCTTACCTGCTTGCATGATGAATGTTTCGAATATGAAACGTTCACGCGTGCTTCTTAACCAATCATTGGACGTCTGTTTCAAATCGTCGAATAACTCGTGAGCATATTTTTCATAGAGATCGTGGACAGAACTGCTTCCGAATGTCTTCGACGCCAAAACATCTAATGTTTGTTTGCACTACACGAAAGAAAGACAGCGGAATATGAAATCACATGGGCGATGCTCAATAATATACTTGTTGCCTAAGTTCATCATTTTCAACAATCGACAAAAGACTTAGGATGCATTTGAATATGCGGTATGCGTACGGTTCCAGTTGTTGTTGACATTTATCAACGAGAAGTTGACAGATTTTCAGAAGTTCACTTTGAACAGTTACTTGAAAATTATCTGTATATTCGGACTTGAGAATCATTGCTAATAGTTGATCTAGGATCGTTTGCGATTCGATAAGTTCTTCGCAAGTAACGCCTGTTAGAAGAGGAGCAATTAATCGAAGTAGACCTAAACTTGATGTTTGTTCAAAGTGTGGCCGAATTAGGTTAAACCAAGTTTTTATTGGTACGAAGTATCCGATGTAAATCAATGCTTGGTTCACCTGTTCACGAACAATCGTTTCATCATCAACGATCGCTTTCGAACAAACTTGAAGTGTATCTTCTAAGTGTTGAGTAATCGTTTCTTCCGCTTGCCAAACAAGAATTGCAAGTAATTGGGAAGCTTTTATCCGTCCTGAAACAACCCAATCAGTTAGATCATTACGAATAGCAGGAAGAATTCGTATCAAATTCCGTTTAACCAATTCTCGGCAACCAAGATTCGGTCGTGTCACTAAAACAACATCAGAAATCGATATGATCGACAGCATAGATTCTGCTATTCACTTACAATTCGGTGGATATTTTGTCGGCGAACGTGGAAAGTTGATTTGATCTTTCAAATCCTCTTCATTCTCTTTTTCGTATTTCAAACCTAAACCATATTCCTGTATAAATCATTTCAATTACTAACCTTTTCTGGTCAACTTACCAATATCCCACCAGAGTGAATCAGCTGCTTCGCGAATTTCTTCGATTTCATCGGTATAACCGGTTAGAAGAAGTGGTAACATCATATGAAAATATGAATATCGATCACGTAATTCGAGCATCCAAATACCGATCACATTGATGACAGCGAGACGTACAGTACTTGTATGATCGAAGAATCTCTGCGCTAATGGCGAGACACTCTCTTCAACAGATTTATTATTGCCGTATCGAACAACGTTTCCTTTTAATGAAAGACAAAACAATGAATTTCATATTTAGGAATGATCAACACTTACCTAATGCATTGATTGCTTCGACGCGTACCTTTGCATGTTGGTGTTTCATTGTTTCAACGATCGGTTTAACGAGACTCTCCGACATGAGATGAAACCTTTCACGACATTTTTCCGCAAGTTTCGATGTTAATTCGCAGCTAAGTTTTCGTACTTCGGGATACGGATCAATGATCGTTCGTTTCAATATTGTAACCCATTCGTTCAAATACAATGCTAATTTGCTGCTATTTGGATAAATACGACAGAGTTCGAAGAGAATTGAGACAGATTTCAAACGAATTTCTTCCGATGGTTCGATAATATCATTCATACCCAGTCGTTGTACCAATGCTGGCATGATGGAAGCTAACACTTTATCGATATTTGTTTCTTCGGTGCAATATTTCGTGATATACATAGAAATGTATGTTAATGCAAGATCACGATTCTTTTCAGCTGGATCAGAAAGGATTTTCAACATAGATTCCATAATGTTCGTCGGAGGATGCAAATGATCATCGGTTTCAGTCGTTGATAGTGTGGATTTAAGGTCATTGCATAAACTTTGAAGGGCTTTCTGTCGAGTAATTTTGTTCGGATCAGAAAGAAGAACAATATTTCGATTCATTTCGCTTTCAGTCAACATTTTGAAACGAAATTTATCTCTCTCAGATTTAGCGTTCGATGAAAGTGAGTTTAAGCGTTGAAAAATCCAGATATAACCATGACTTTCATTCACAACTGTTTCTTTTTACTTGTCGTCATGAAAACATTCTCAACCGCATGATAAATAGATGTCGCCTTATGACAGTTTCAAGAACAAAAGTGCAATGCTTCGGAATATGTTATGAACAAATATTTCAGCACGGTTGTGAGCTGTCGACATCTATTTAATCAGTTTTTAAATGATTCTGTGCTACTCTCCATCGTTATTTCATATCGAAAGTAGCGTTGAATATATCACTTATACCTTGCTTGGCTTAAATCATCATCCACACAAGATCAATCATATCAAGTAAATTAAGTCACTTTTTCACTTCATTTATTTATTTGGAAATTTCCCAACATTCCCGTACAGTAATCAGTCGACTAAACTAAATGTATCCATGTCCCAAAATCTTGAGATCTATATCAAGTCGTTCGCCTACCAGGTATCATTTTGCTAAACGTATAATTACTAACTAACTGCTCATTAACTAATTATACACTCGTGATAGAGAATTGAATGTTGCTTCAAATCAATCGCGACTTATTTCACTGCGTCGTTTAACGATACCTATCTACCCGAATCCACAATCACTTAAAAAACCATTTTCATTGATATTGAATAACACTCTTTTTGATACTTGGTAAACAAGTCTACACGTGTGATTATAAATTTCTTTTCTTTTTACTCTATTTGATTAGCACGACTCCGGAAGAGCATGAAATGCATGAGTTTATTCCATATACCGGTAGCGAAGACGATGTAAACACGGTGCAGTTGTCTGAAATGTATATGCCAGATCATACAATTATCAATCAAAAAGTAGATGAAGAAAAGCATGCTTTTTCATCAATTGAATATCCATGTTTTTTCTTATTTTTATTAGCCATTATCTGCAACGACATCATTTCCACATCGACATAATCTTTCCATGCATCGAACGTTGACACATTTGAAAAATAAGATCAAACCTCATCGAGCAGTGAAAAAAACTGATGACTATGAGAAAAATCATGGTTTTCTTGTAGTTGAAGACATTGATTCGGATCTAGTCTTACTTTCTGACGATAGTTTTGATCAACAAGCAACGCAACATGCTCAACCGTGTGTGCAAGTTAATGATCTCAAATTTGATTCTAATCAAATCCAATGTGATGCGGCGTTCGCAGGTCTATGTAATCTATCATCATTCGCTGTGTCACAATCAATGCTAGGTGCAGCAAGAATACTGGACGGTAATTGTCAAAATCTATCGCTTCTCTAAATCTCATCTGTTGTTGTTCAAGATGATACTGATGGGTTCGACTGGCAAGCAACGCGGGCTTCCGATGAGTGTACTGCACCCGAAGCTGATCTATTAAACTTGTCCAATGTACAGTTATCTGAAGCGATAGTAACTTCACCATCTTCGACCAATTCGTCACACCATCAATATTCCGATGTTGATCGTTCGTTACTCAGCGATACTGAATATGGTAGATCGTAACTGTCCGAAATTACTTGAAAAATGTTTGTCTTTAGTTGAAGCGCAACGATTGGATTTAGAACGACTCACAATGCTTGAAGTTCGATTAGTTCAAACACGACGAGACTTAGAGACAGATTTAGAGGTGAATAGAGATACGCGAACAATAGATGCTATGTCTTCCATTGTTAGACTGATTTAGAATTTAACGACTTATTCAACCAAGCATTCCAAACTAATTTAAATCTTAAAAAGGAACTTCAAGAATTGAAACGTAAATTTGTCAATGCGATAAATAGCTCCTTGAAAATTCACATCATCCTTTTTTTTTCAGAGGATTACGATCATATCTATTCAACATGGTCTTGTAAACAGTGCTCGTGTGATAATGAACCGTATCACATAACCCAATTGGATGTATGCTCGACTTGTGAAAGTCCGAGTCCGTTGAAAGAAGGTAGAAATAATCGTGATTTACAAAAGATATTTGCACGCCAAGATCTTTCCTTCGTTATTTTAGCACGACTAACGAAATGAATATACAGAATCTTCATGTCTCGTGCTCGGAATAAGTTTTTGTGAACCTGCGCATGAACTCTCTGTTTTAATATTTTTCAATATTTTTTCAAAAAATACATGTAATAACTACTTGTTTTAAATGGATATATTGTCATTTTAGATAATCATGTCATCTGCGACGAACGATACGACAAATCAAAACAGTGACAAATTACCAGTACAAGAATCAATCGATTCTCCTCATATAGGTGAGATCATATGACACTAATGTTCTATTGTAACAAGCTCATTCTTCGTTTCATACAGAAAATCGAACATTTTGGAATGATCCGGCAGGCAATCGGATTAGTTTCGAAGATGCGCCGCAACTCGAGTACGACGAACACGACATCAATCTAATTGCTGATCGAGGTAACGAATCAAAATCGATGACAGTAGATACATTCCGTCTGTATGTAAAGAAGTTGATGATTATGGAATAGAGTACGGTAAGACTCAGCTGTTGGATTAACTAAACTAAAATCTTATTCGAGTGCTTTGATGATATTTACTTTTTGCAATGGTGATGGTGTATAGTATATAACGCTTTTCTGCTACTAATCGTCATGTTTTTTCACCTGATGAGACGAAAACGATGAATTCATGTTTAGATCCATCTTCCATTACCGTTGATGAGTCATCAAGAAGTCACAGGGCGTTGAAAGGACATATCACATCTGATGGAATTATCGATGACGATTTTGAGAAGGAGTTAGGATACCAAGCAGAAGTTAGCTGCAAACTTTTTAAATTCGAATGTATACATGATTTATCTGTTGTAGGTCGTTCACGACACTGAAGATCCAGATTATAGTTTAATCAAGAAAATTGCTGAATATGGTATCGTTGAATTGTGTGGTGAAGATAGATTTGGTCGAAAAACGATTATCTGTTCGGCGTGTCGTTTACCACATGAAAATGTTATTCGAAACAGTGAATTTCAAACAGTAGACAAATTCTATGATTGTTTACTGAAGTAATTTGTCTGGCTACATCGAACATATTGTTGTCCAAACGTTTCTCTTCGATAGATACATACTGAAGACATTTGATCAATATGCGGATATGGACTACGTGATTATCTACTTTCATTATGGCCTACATTCACATAATCGCCCGTCGTATACTTGGTTATTGAAAGCTTATATGAATATAGATCGAAAGTATGATTCTAGCACGATGTTACATTGATGAGAAAGGTGCATCACTGTGATTTAGATACAAGAAGAATCTGAAAGCATTGTATGTTGTTCATCCCACGACTTGGATTAAATTTCTTTGGCCATTTCTTCGTTCGATCATCAGGTAGACTATGTAATACATTCATTCTCTTTCCTAAAAGTAAAATCTTCGTTTTCTAGTGTAAAATTTTCCAGTAAATTGATTTATATTAAACGAATTGGTCAATTAACGGAATATGTACATTTGGAGAATATTAAAATTCCAAGTGAAGTCAAGTCGTAAGCTTAAATACTGATAGACAAAACGGTTTTTCGAACGAAATGATTTGTCGTAGTATTGATCCACTCGTTCCAATACCAATTCCACCACAAGAGACGAAACCAACGACGAAATTCAACGTTTCACTTCAATTGTAATTAAGCTAAGGAAAAGTTTCATAGTCACGCTTATCTCTTTCCCTGTAGCATTCTCGGCCACGAACAAGGTGAAACCATTCCACTTGTTGTCCGACAAACAGTTGATTTTGTCAAAAATTATGGTATCAAAGCATTATGTCAAAGAAAGCCAAATAAACCTTTCCCTTCTCCTCATAGGACTCAATGAACCTGGAGTATTCCGTCGCGCGGCTCCTGTAACCTTAATTAAACAAATTCAAGAACGATACAATGAGGGTAATTGTTACTCAAACGTCTCTTTTCTACATTAATTGATTGCTTCTAGGACAACCGGTCGCGTTTCAACAGTACGGTGATGTTCATCTGGCAGCATGTGTCTTGAAAACATTCCTACGCAACTTAACAGAACCTCTGCTTACCTACAAGTTGTATCCTGAACTTATTGGTCTTTCAGGTAGTGAGTATTTTGATTAACAGCACTTATCTCTTGTGTGCAAATATCCTTATTTGGCCAAATCTTCTCCTGCTTATCACGCGGTATACGTTTGACTTTTTTTTGTTGCACTTGTGATTCCTGAAATAGTATTACTGATGATCTAAACATAAAATCTTCTGTGTCTATTCTAGCATTGAAAAGACAACACCAAATCGCTGTTATTCAAGATTTGATTATTCAAAAACTACCACAACAAAACTATAATGTTCTAAAATATTTGATCGAGTTTCTCAATTTAGTAAGGTTTCCGATGCGAAGAAATCCTGATGTCATTTTTATTCTAGGTTTCGATCTACTCGGATACGAATCTGATGACTACAACGAACCTTTCGATTGTTTTTGGACCGAATCTCGCATGGTCTGATGATATGCAAATGAATACATTGGCAAATATCTCATCAATTAATGCCGTTACCGAAACATTAATTGCTCATTACACTGAACTTTTCCTCAAATAACCGAGCCATGTTAGAACAGACTGTTTTCTTATCTTTTTCTCAATTCTCAATATATTTTTGATCTTGCCTTTCAAATCAATAAATAAACATTTCGATTCATTATTCGTACTTAGTAATTGACATCGTTTCAATTTAGATCGATAACTTCTTATTCGAATATGAGCGATGAATGCAGATGAGATTCGTTTTTTATCATATTATTTAATTCCAACTGATTGGAAGATTCATCTGATTGATCGAAAAACGAATGAAGCTCAACTTGAAGTATAGCATGCATACACAGAAGCAACTGCTCTTTGCATAAAACTCTCTATTTTCGCATTTCGTTTAGCAAATCCAACAGATTATTGAAAATGCTCAACTATTCGCTTTTGACACAGGTGAGACGATCAAATATTCGAACGATCTACCAAGTTGTCACTGTCATTTAGAAACAATGCCAAGTTTCTATCATCCCAATTTTCGATCGAACTACACACGACACTCAACACCATATCAATGTCAATCAAATTCCTGTGGTAAGTTACAGAAATTAGTGAATTTCATTCAGACAAGATATGTTTTAGTAAGTAAACCATCTCTTCTTCAAGTTGCTGTTCGTAGTCGAAATCCAAGTATAAAAAATGTTCTCCTGTTCGATCTTCAAGAAGTATTCGTCCGCTCAAATATGCATTTTCGTGAATGTTCAACTAGTCGTATCATCCATCATTTAATTCAATTGATATTCAATCATCCGTACGCATTTAAACTTTCTCAATCAATTTTCAATGATCTAGCGCATTTAAAATGTTCCTATGTGGAACATTGTTTTCATCAACCGAAACTTCTTCACGTCATTGAATTATCTGATCTTTACCGGAAAGTATTTCCTCAAGAAAAAGAACAGCAAATCTATAGTTTACAACGCATGACCGCAATGACATTACACTGTCAACTAGACAAAAGACAACAATGTGCAAATTGGTCGAAGCGACCGCTCGGACAAGCACTGAAAGATTATGCGGCCATCGATGTAATCGTCATGATTGATATCTATGATCGATTAAAAGTGAGAATTCTACAGAATTTATCTGATGATGGTGATAATAATCATGGATCGATATGGTCTGTTAATTGATTCAGTTTTGAATATGTTCAACAATTGACTTCATTTTCTTAGGAACGATTTTCAATTATCTATCGAAAGTTCAATTGATTTAAACGCAATAAATCTTTATCCATGTATATGTGGTGAACAGTTTATCACCACCAAATCCAGAAAGAAACATGCGCGAACATGTCCTCTCGAACAACAACATCTCGAACAAGAAGCCAATATGGTATCTGAAAAAAATGCGTCTACGACTAAAAAACCGGAGAATATATCGAAAGCAGATCGATCAACTTTACCTGAACTTGATTTCGATGCACCTCCACCACGTGGCCGTGGTTACCTTCCGCCAGCCTTGAAACGTGTTCATCAGTCAATGAATCAGATATCGTTCTACGATCAAGTTCGATGCTCATCATCGTTCGATGACTTCCAACGTATCAGTGAAAATCGTCCACCGAACGCACAATTCTTTCTGGAAGATGATGATACTGAAGTTGCTCAGGCTTTCGGCCTTCAAACTGCAAAGGACTCTTTCAAACGTAGACCTATCAATTTATCAACTCGTATCCAACCAATCACATCTTCAGTGCCTGTGTCAAAATCAAATCTTAAAGTAGCGGCTTACCCACCGAAAACTACTTCTAGTACTTGTAAAGAAAATCGACTACATGTAATCATCGGCGTATCTAATCCCTTTTTTCTTTGTTTAGTCTCATCCACTTTTGGACGAACCTGTGTTAATGAAGATGATTTGCTCGATCGTTTGCAGGATGATTTTGATAGTCAACCTGACTTTCATTGTCATTTATTCGGTTTGGGTGGCCGCGGTCGACCATTATTATCGACATATCAATCTCCACCTGACCCATCGATCCATTCACTGGAACGTTCCACTCAATTTTGTGATAACTGAAGTCAATTGAATTATTTTATATATTATTTTCTCGCTTTCCTTTTTGTTTGTTTGTTGTGAGATGAAAAGTGAATTACACAACGTGTATAGTTTCATTTTGGATTTCTCTGTCATTGCTGTTGATTATCTTCGATAAAATACCTCGAATATGAACATTGATCTTTTCGAACAAACGAAAGTTAAAAAACGCGTTGTTCTGCCGATTTCTTTCTTTCTTCTCTATTCTATTTTTGACACTGACAAGACTTCATCAAGCATTGCCCAAAGAAAAGAAGTGTTATGAAAGGATGACAAGTATGTTATTGTTTAACTGTTAAATGCATTTTTATAAGAAGAGGGAAAAGGACGAACACATTGTATTAATAAAAAAACATAGTTACAAAGAAAAATCATTCGTTTTCTTTTCTGTTCCATCATTCTTTTTCACTCATCCTTTGATTAAAGTCGAAAGTATGTATCAAAGAGGTCAACATGGCGACTATGGAAATTATCCGTACATACCACCGCCGGATCCGATGACATCATTAAATCCTATGACCTCAGTCGGTTCTATGTCAAATTCAAGGACAAATTTCCAATATCAATCACCAGTATTACAACAAATGCAGCAGCAACTATCAGTACCACAGCCACTGCCACAGCCACGCATAACTTCGAGTTATTATGCAACCACATCGCTTATTCCAACGTATACTTCCGAATGTTTTCAACGTTTCTATCAGCCAACGACAACATTGAACGATTTAGCTGATCCCGGCTGGGTATTTGATGATGTAGCACCACCTATCAATTACCAGAACAATATCACTGCTGTCACAGAAGGATATGCACCAGCAAATCCAGTAAGACGATCGACAGTGAGCGAAACACGTTTGGCAACTGCAAGTTCCATGCGTGAGCAATTATTAACAGATATTCTTCGTGATATGGGCGACATCAACGAAGAAATCAGTTCCATGGAAGGTCAATTAAATAAATCTCGTCAAAGACCATTCGGTTTTACACCGATGATCGACAGAGATCCACCTGATCCAGACGCCGAATTGGAGCCAACACAATATCTGTCCGAACCAATTGTATTTCCCAAACCTATGGAGAATGGCTCGACTTGGAGTTAGAATTCGAATGTGTATCTACTATTCATAATGACTGAACGGATATCTCTTAAAATAAAAAGAAAAAAAAAAAGAAAAGTCACCCGTTTGAAGTTCTCTTTGTCGCGAGCTCTTGTTGATTTCATGGACAAATCCTCAATACACTTTAATTTCAACTCGACAAGTCGTTGTGTACAATGAACGGTCTATTCTCAATTGTCTTGTTGAGTATTTAAGAATAAACAATCTTGAAATTCATCTTATGATTACACCAAAACGATGCTTTACAATAGTGTCTCACACTTCGAAGGACATGTCATACTCATTCAGTTCGTTGCATCCTGAACAATGCGATCCTGCTAGTCATAAGATACACCCTTTTCAAGGATACAAAGAGTATTTACTTGTAAACATCGAATTCTGTGCACTTGAAAAAATATGTCGAAGTGCTTTATTTTTCGATCATCGGATGAAAAATTCCTCTAAATATTCAAACTTTAGAATGTTTTCTATTCGCACACCAAATGTGCTATGTCTGTACACACCAAGTCAACCTACTGATGCCTTAGAACGCATCATACGATGTAAAGTTCGATTCTCTTTGTCTTTTACATCGTTAAAATCCTGCATATGCATTAGCTAAAAAACAATCGAAAGAAAAGTGCCGTAAAAGGACGATAAGTATGTCATTGTTTAGTTATTAAATGTATTTCAGTGAACGAAAAAGAACAAAAAAAGAGAAAAATGAAGACATACATTTAACATATACAAACATAGTTAAAAACAGAATCAATCATTTTTTCTCTTTCTTTTCAGTTTAAACATCAATTCGAAATAAAAAAAAAGAAGAAACGATGCATCGAAAGAGTATTAGTACTGACTATAGAAACTATCCCTATGTACCGCCAATTTATACGCTACCTTCGCGACCATCTCGTCAAAACTACGATCCGATACAACATACAGAACAAGTACTCTATTCTCATTCGACATTGAATTCAGCCGATGCTCAACGCCAAATTCAACCTTTGCCAGCGATTCCTGACGCATCCGATCCGTTGACAGTTTTCGATGATCGACAACCACGTGCACGTCTTCGATCAAATACGAGCTCACTTTCGTCAGGATATATTCCACCGAACCCTTTACAACGTTCATCCGTAAGTGATTCACGTCTTGCAACGGCCAATGCTATGCGTGAACGATTATTAACCGACATTCAAGATAATATCATGGAAATCGAACGAGAACTTTCGACATTGGAAGTACGACCAACAATCGCGAATTACATTCCACCACATCATTCGGCCATGAGTCAGAAAAGTGTACAACAGAAACGTGGTCATCTTCACATTTGTAAAAATTGCCAGACAAGTATTGACGAACGATCCGATTCATCGATTGAAGAGGAAGAAGAATCTGAGAAACGCCGTAAATCTAAGAAAAAAGTCTATCAAGTTATTCCGAAGACAGCCAGTCCACCGGGAAAAACGTTAAAACGTTCGACAACGAAACTAATTGAGCCGCAGGCCTACATTGGTCAATACCATTACGGAGCTGAGATTGGCGAAAGTGAAATAACAGGCGATGTACCGGAAAATGTGACATTCGAATCTATAATCGAACAGATTCCTGAGTTCAAATACGAAGCATTATCAACCGAACAATTTCTTCGTACCCAACCACCTTTACCGTTGAATCGTGCATTGATCTTTGCTGTAATGTATGGTGATAAAGAGAACGTGGGCGATAACGAATCTGCCGATGACTTTCGTCGAAAGAAACCAACGACAATGAAAGCTGAAGAATTGCTCGTTGCTCCTCTGTCGGATATCGAATCTACAGATAAAATAATTACACAAAACTTTGAAGCGTTAATTAAAACTGCACCTGAACCACCAAACATTGGCGAACCGCCGGATCCATCCGAGCTAAATGAGGATGAAATCATGCGAACTATGTTTTCCAAACCGCTGAAACACAATCGTCTTTCCACAAGAACTTCAGAATCATTGTCAGGTGCACCAGCAGGCCATAAAAGTTCGGATAAGAATGGTCCGAGTGGTAAAGGTTACTTTTTTAGTGATTTTGGAAACGAAGGTGATGTTGAAGGCGAAGAAGATCTCATTTCTCTTGATCTCAGTAATTTCGCAGTACCAGTCTCGTCCGAAATGGTATCCGATGAAAACGCACTAGGGCGGCCGTTTGCAACATCTTTACCGAATCCCCATGGTAAACAACAAGTTATCCAAAACGAACACGATAAAGATGCCGAAAATAAGAAGCACGGCGCAGACAATACAGATAATCTGAACAATTCCTCTACACAGCAAATGCTATCAAATTCAGCAACTGATATATCTAAAGGGCAATCAACCAAGCCGAATGAATATGGACTCAATAATCGACGTGCATCACGAAAAATGTCGACTGTGAACACAACGGCACCGTTACCTAAATCGACGAAATCATCGTTTCATTTCGATTCATCATTAATTGCATTAGAACATAAAGAACTAACTAAACCACCTGCCAATCCGCCTGAAAAACGACCCGTTTCAGGTAGTAAGCAATCTCGTTTGGTTCGACAACGATCATCTTCTCTTCGGCAAGATTCCAAAATTCCGCAACCGAGTACTGTCGCTCGTCAACAATCTATTATTTCTCCGGAAACAAATACTAGGCAAGGAAAACCTGGAGCACGGCGTACTTCAGTACTTCCTGTTCCGCTCAATCAACCTGAACGTCCTAAAGATCGAATTTCAACATCAAGAAGTACGACGCCCGAAAGAAGAAATTCCATTCCTGTGCTCGATCAAAATGTACTCTTTTCGTTACTGGATATGGTCGACTTAGATGAGCCATCCGTAATCATCGAAATAGATTCTAAGCCAAATGAAGAATCGTCGCATGATACACTTAGAGATCAAACTTTGTCAATGAACGAAGAAGAGGATGCCCGTTGGAAAGCAATCTCATCAGTCGTTATTCAATCGGATCATTCCTTACACGAAGATTTGTATTTGCCTGATCTATTTGATACAAACATCGTATCTACAGAAGATAAAGATACATACCAAGGATCGACAACTTCGGTTTCGACTGCCAATCAATTAAATTACAAATATCAAACGTCACATCTGCATGTATGTCATGTTTTTTCTTGTTTGTGAATAAAATCATTCTGATCAAACATTTCATGATGTTGTAGACGGATGATTTGACACCGATGGAGAATCGTCAATCATTAGAACAACAATTTTGTGTTGTATTTTGCAATAATACCTCTCATCTACCAGTGAACCAAATACCCAACTGGAGCGATCGTCTGAGTACTTTCACTACCGACAAAGTTCGCTTGAATATCCATTTGTTGCTCATATGTACAGAAACTTTCATTTCTAGAAGTTACTTTCTGATAAGTACGCATTTTTGAGACAAAATGTCAACTTATCCGATACTTCGGACTATCTAACTGATAAACTAGAAAAGAGTACAGGCACACAAGCCTTATCCGAGCAAGTATCATCCGTAAGAATGACTATGCTCAAATGAAAATCATTGTGCAAAACTATTTTTTCAGATGTTACTTGGTCAACGAAAAAGTTCACTTCATGACAAAAGTCAATCATACTCATTCGATCAATCGAATTCCCAAGTAAAGCGCTATTCAGTAACTTGCTTGTTGTGATCAATATTAAAACATTTCAGATTTGTTATACCAACCCGAAATGGCATAGCGTATCAAATCTATCGAAAACTACTTCAGGCCAGCAGACAAATACGCTACATGATCTTTCAGACATCAATTCACGTCAAGAGGATTGTGAGGTATATCAAAGAAATATTTTTTCATTCGTCTGTATGTTTTCAATGCAACTGAAGATGCCTCATCCAACAGCTCGTCGATATACTGAACCTGATGTGCGCCGTGCTTTTCCTTCAAATGAAAATCTTCGAAGAAAATTGACATCTTCATCCGAACTCGATCGTCGACAAAGAACCGAAGATAAATCATGTTCATCTGTATGGGATAAATTTGCTCCTACATCTCATAAATGATGATATTTAACTTTAGGAACAATATGATGGCTTCGAATCGAACACACTGACGGATATAACACTGAGTGATTATTCGACAATCTTCTTAACACAAAATTCGAAATTAAACGAAGAAAATTTTAATGACAAATATTCCGCTGAGGTAAGATGACGGTTGCTATGTAGAATAAATGATTCTCTTCTTCTTTCATTTTACACCTGTTACTTTTCGCTTTAATCAACAACAATAAAGTAAAATGAAGGACTTGAAAAGAAGAGAAAAGAGTGCGAGTATATTTATATGGTGTGAACATTGAGGGAAAGAGAAGAAGAGAAAATTCTGACAAGTAAAAAGTGAGCTCTTGAATACATAAAAGTGTGATGCGAATAAAGACGTACATTTCATTGTTGTTGACGACTTCAACTTCTTTTTTTTTCTTTCTTTGTAATTTTTAAACATCGATTGTCTCTTTTCCTTCCATGCGATGTTTACACGACGATAAGAACGAAAAGAAAAGAAATCATCTTCTTCGTCGGCAAAACTTCAATTGACAAATAGTCGATTTTCTTTCTTTGTATTTTCGTATACAAGTGATTATGTCAAAATCGATAAACTATACATTTCTTTATGGTTATAATTGTTTAGAAACTTTGTTTCTCTTTTCCCATTCGCATTAATAATAATAAAAAAGTTTGCGAGAGTGTTAGAAAAATGCACTCTGATCTTCATCTTTCAAATGTTCCATTATCTCAGTTTCGTCGTGTGAATGTAGGTTATGCATTGTTTACGTATGATTGATTTTATGCTTTTTTTTTCTTTGCTCAGACACCGCCGAATCGACCGAAATGGAATTCAGTCAGTAAAACACGTAGTGTTAATTTCATCTACAATCCTAAAGTACCAAATTCCAATTCGGTAAGTCTGTTCAATATGAACTTGGAATTTGAAAATAAATATGCAAAGTTTAGATTCGAAAGGGATGGGATTACGAACTGCGAAGGAAACGTGTGCATAAGGTTGGGAAATATTCGATGTCCTTTTTCCTACAATACAATGTTTTTTTATATGTTATAGTTACCACCGCTTGAACATCCGAGAGAGCAACATGAACATTCTCAACTCGCTATCGAAGCACCGCCATTTAATGGTCGATTAGCCATCGATTATAATTATGACAACTCAGTGGTAATGAGCATATTTTCAATGGCAAACTATTTATTAAAACCGTCGTTATTATTTAGCACGAACGGTCCAATCGAACAACGCCCTCAAGTCGACAACTTGTTTCAATCAATCGTTTCGCAGAACTTCAAGTAAGCAACATTGAATTGTATATTAAAACTTTAAGTAATTATAAGTTTACCTTTACTAGTTAGTTTCCGAGTCTCCTCGATCGCAACGACCTGTTCATCAAGAATGGTATAATGATATGAATAGATCACAAGTAAAAACACTTCTCTCTTCTTTTCATACGAAAATATTTACTTCTTATAATAATAGAGAACGGATGTGGAACAAACAACAAACGCTTCTACTCACCGGAAAAGCACGTCAAGAGAATTTGCACCATTAGTAAATGAACTTCAACTAAAAGAATGGTTATCAATATGTGCGCTTATTTTAGCATCCATTGAATCACAATAGTCTACTCAATGGTACGTTACTTGATCCTTCTATTCGAACGAACCGAGCAACCGAACTCCGATTATCAAGAGATATGGATGAACATCATCATCACGCGCATGATGTGAATCAATCGATGCCATTTGAGATTCGAGGTTTTCAGGTTAAAGGTATGCAACTAACTACACCGGACGATGCGAAGATACGACCATTATTAAATGTAAATTATCGAGCAAGTGAACGTGTGAAAACGCGTCGTATTTATCCATTAGGACATCCATTTCAAGAAAATCTCGTAGGTCGACGTAATTCTCTTTTGCCTATTGAAGAATTTCGACAGTCATCATTCTCAACGTCTGTTGCTGATTTACCACAATCAGTTCATGAAGAGTAGCCTTAAATTTCTCAATTGAAGTTATTGTTTTGTAAAAAGAAGTTACTTTTTTTCTCCTTTCTTTTTCATATTGCAAAATAAAACGAGATATACTCTTTTTTTTGTACAACTAAAACCGTCATTTCATAAGGACGCGTGCAATTACACTTAAATCGTCTTCTGTCTTTTAATTGTGAAAGCACGAAAAATCGAAAAAAATAAACTAAAACTAATCGAATTTGTAAGAAATATTTTTGAATTAAAATAATGCGATGATTCTTGTCGAATCTAATTCATCGAGATTTTACCTAAAGGCCAATCATGTACAAAGCATTTACTTCTGTGTGTACCATCAAAGTTCCTTGATTACGTGTCTACTGATCTATGTCGTAAGAATTATTTTACAATTTAGTTTTCTTTTGCAAAGCAACAAAGATCGATTGAATACAAATCCGTTTCCTAAGAGTTGTCGGGGAGTTTATCTCATCGCATTCGAAGAAATAATCTCCAATGAAGAAGAAAATTGCCATAACGTATATCTCGATAGAAGATTCTTTCCATTGAAAGTTGAAGACCGGACTTCTAACCTTGTTATCAATACAATGTTTATATCAATCAATGAGTCTCTCTGTTTGAATAAACAGATTGATATTCATCAATTGAAATATTAATAACTACCAGAGAGTCTTCGTACTAAGTAATTGAGACAATTTCTGGAATAAATTCTGTTGTAAGTGAACACCGAACAAGACAATCACTGGAAACAATTCAGCTGATCAAATGGATTTCGTATTTTCAAGGATATGTACATGACATGTAGACAGTTTTTGAACAATAATAATGAATACCTTACGAATGAACAAAAGAATAATTAGATGTCAGTGTTGATTTAACAGAGAACTTGCATCATTTGAATACAACGGCCATTGTATTAATATTTTAATCGTTTCAATAAACGAAATAGAATTAGATCTCATTTCTATCGAAATCGCACTTCATCATCTTAATGAATAACTCACGTATTGTCTATCACATTTAAAACTACTTGGATGGCTTATTAATCAATAGGTTTTGAAATGCCATTTCTTCTCAAATGTAATCTCTACATTGATTTCCAATGGAAGTCATTAAAACAAAGAACAATACTTAACAATCTTTGAGTTTTTTTAAAAATCATCAGCCACCGCCAGATCTTGTTGGTTCTTCGCTTTTCACACACTTCTAATTATAGTACGAAAAAGAAAATAACAAACCAATTGCACTGACAGCACTAGGATTCTCGTTCTGGATGGACTCGACCATACAGATCTTGTACTCTCATAAGATAAAGATTAATTGTCTACAAGAGTTCTCAAAACATCGTTTGTGCTTCACCTTCGGTACTTTATTTCCGACGCCATCACTATTCACTGTGTTCACATCCAAGTTTTTTGTAAACGTTTGGTGTTTGTGAAAGAAATTGTCATATAATATATTCTTCCAATCAATCTTCATGCACTAGTATACGGTATATTGATGTTTATTTGAAAGAACAACTACTTACTTAACACGTTGAGTATTCTACTCGAAAAAATTTACAAAAACCATGTAATTGTAAAAGCATCTTAGGAATTCAACATTCAACGCAGTTAAGAAATCACTTTTCCTTTGAATATCATTGATTGAAACAATCCTCAATGACAAACTCGAACAATTCTGAGTGTTACCTGAATTTCCTTTGTTCAAGACCAGTTCTTTCTTGCAATATATGTACAGACAGTAAGTTTATAAAGTCAATAGATATAAATCCACAAGCAGAAACAGAACATCAAAGCAAGTGCTTAGAAAACTACACCAGAATAGATTTGTATTGCAGTGCTTCTATGAAAATGAAACAAATCTATTGATATTTATATCCAACTTGAAGAATATTCGATAAGCCGAGTTTTTTCATATGCAAGCCGAATCAGAAATCTTTCTTATACTAAAAGGAAGATTTGACTTTTTCGTTTTTATATTCGCTGATTAACTTGCCTATTACACAGTTGTCGTTTAATCAATCTTACAGAAATAGATAGATTTTCATACTCATCCACACCCTCACCCATAGTAGAAAGAGAAACATGAACAAGTACTCTTATTCAGGACATGAGTAAGAATGGAAAATTCATCTCGAATTAATCTATTTCGCATAGAGAGCGTAGGTCGATGTCGTTCCTTATGACAAGTTCTTAGCGAAATAGAATATTCCATTGTGAACCGATAACAGAAAATAAAGTTTTCTTCACGTTTCTGCTCGAATCATCGTCGTTTCAATTCAAACTACTAATCATTTGAAAATTCTCTAAACTAATGATACTCTGTCATCTACTATTCATTTCTGCTAGTGACGAGAAGCGACAGTTGTATACATTGACTGAGCAACATGTATGCCTTCGAAATGTAACTCGAACTTAAGCACACACCTTTGTCATCCCGTATTCCAATAGACTGTTTCGGTTGGCAGTTTAGAACTAGTTTACAATATTAACTATTACACTATTTCTTTTCTTGAGGATGACTGTGTTGATCAAGTCACATTCTCGCGCCCAAGATGAAATTGAAGAAAAAAGAGAATATATTCTTCTTCGTACAACGAACAAGTCAGTTTTAGACACCAATGATGTCTATTCCTACTGTCCAAGTGCGACCCCTTCATGTCCATTGGTGATATGCAATAATCAATAAAAATTACGATTTAAGTATATATATCTATGATCAATCGACAATCGAAGAGATTTTCTTTAAAATTTATTGAAGAAAAAGATGAAGATTCGATTTGTAATTAGGATTTTATACATTTTTCTCTCGAAATATTCTCTTTGTTTATGTGCGACACCTACATTTCAAAGCAAAGATTTCTCATGTTGTTTCCGAAAGTGAATGATTTCAATTTACAAATATTGTTTAAGTATTTGGGTTCGTGAATCTTTTCCAACTTGTAAATTATAAAACATCCACGAATCGATCAATTGAACA